ACAATTTTACACCTTTTTTTATTTGCATGTACCTGTTTGAATATGAAATGAAAGCATTCACCTCTTGATGTCTAAAATATTAGACCACAGCTTATACAGAATAAGCTGCCTTTACATACTGTCACAAAAAAACACACAAAGAAATCATTAAACATGTTCAGTTCAGGTTAAACTACATTTTAATTCACCTCAAACAAAGAGAAGCAGTCATAAATAATAAGTTTTGTGACTTGGGCTGAAATTATATGATTGTATAACTACATGGTATATGTTATTTGGGCATCGTGGCATCAAAATGTTCATTATTACTTTGTGAATAGTTTGTTTTTATTTTTGAAGGATTTTTTTTCCCCTTTTTTTTTACATGCTAAACCCTTTTGATAGTTATGGTCAAATTACACCTCCATGTGTGTAGATTAACAAGAACGTCAGTAAAAAAAAAAATAATTTAAATGTTGCTGATGTATAAAAAAATGAAATAAACATCTAAACCAGTTTGTTTATTTGTGTATCTGCCTGATTTATTTTGAATGCGGAAAAAAAATGTCGAAATAGGTGTTGATTTCACAAGGTGTGTTTGCAAGGAATTGTGGGTAAGGTACCCTCAAAGTGTTTACATGTGTTTTCTACACTCCAGCCAGCTTTCGTTGGATTTTGCAGATTATGTGACCAAATATCAGGCCAGGTAAGCACATGAAAGTTTATATTTGAAGATATGGTTTGTGTTGGACTGTCATGCTGCATTTGAATGCATGAAGACTTTAAAAACAAGTGTTTGGTTGCAGATTTCATGACAAAAACAGTCAAGTCAGAGTAGTTTCAGAACAGGAGAGTACTTTAACTAACTAGAAGAGTTTGAAAATTATCCGGGGGTTTTCTTGTCCACATTTGCTAAGTAAAAGTAGAGTGGTTCTGGATCAGGATCAGGTCCAATCTGGTCTAAAATTCAGGGTTTAAACAGCAGTGTAATCAACATGCTACTAATGCAGGTAAAGGAATTTGAAGTGGGGTCCAGACAGAACGAAATTATGTGAAATATCCATTCTTTTTTTTGCATTTTAGTAAAGCAATCAAAGTTTGCATTCCCAAATTTGTGTTATAAAAAGTTTTAAGTTCCTCCTTTGCAACCTAAGCCAGATCCGACAAGTGTAGTAAGGTCCGGACCTGGTCTAATCTGGTCTAAACTTTGAGTTAAGAAAGCAATTTAAAAAGAAAATTTTAAACCAGCTGCGGTGCAACACAAAAATAATGAATCATATACGCCTGTGAATATTGTTATACTGAACTCAGCCGCTCTGTATCTGAAGTATTTTACGATCCATATTTGCAAAACAGGCTGCGCACTGCCAAGCTTGCTTTAATAGTTGAAAAATAATCAGCAGTGTATTTCATATCGATACCCTCTGGCTGTGTTGTCTCTGGTGTTCCCGCACTGAAATCAAACTGCAGTAATCTGAGATGAGCAGCTGTTAGAGGAAAAATAACCTCTGATGCAAATGTTTGGTAGACTTACTGAGCTGATAATACTCAAGGCTGAGCTTAAACGTCCATTCCAGCTCTGAAACGCTGCATGAAGAGAGGAAAGTCCCGAAAGGAGGGGCTCAGACGCTGCACTCAGCGCTCACTCATTGTTATCAGCAGCAGAAATGTGAAGTTGGTAACTTTCAGACTGTGGTACCTGACTTTTAACAATGCAGAGCTGGTAGCCTTGAGGGGAGATTGAAAAGCTTTCAGTGAAGAAGTCAGAGAAATATCAAGTAGTGAAGCTCCGCAGAAGAAATTGAGAGTCAGTGAAACATCAGAGAATGTCAGACTTATTTATCAGGACACAATAGCCTGTCAGTGGTGAAGTATTCGTTATAGCGCAAACAAGACTTTTTATATCACTCAGATTTACTCAAACTGTTTTGAATTTGATCTGCTGTGATTGAAGATTGGAAAAATGTGTATTTATTCAGACAAAATCTCAGTGATATCAGCTTTAAAATATTGGTCCAGTCATGAAATACTCTATAATGACTCTGTAAGACATCTGCAGATACAACAAAGACACAAAAGAAGAGTACATCCTGGGAGGTGATTCAGCATGAAATGTTAATTCTTATTATGAGCACAGAGTCCCTCTGCATCAGGGGGGATCATCTGCAATATCTTTTCATGTGCTTTAATCCAGCCTCATATTTCCCAGGTAACAGCGTCCTCTCACACCTGGGAGCAGAGAGGAAGAGGAGGAAGAGCCCTGCGCCGGCTGCTGAGGATTTTAATGAAACGAGCCCCTCGGAGGAGACCTCTCTGAGCAGGAGTGTGTTTACTGAACATGTCCCGACAGAGAGATGGAGCTCAGAGTACCGGTGTGAAACTGTGTATCATAGAACAGCTGCTTTAATCTGCACCCAGGACTTCTTTATGAGTGCACTTAAGTTCAGACTCAGGGACATAAAAATGGAGAGAGTGGTTGAAAAGCTGTGAAACATGACTGATATGAAGCTGGTGCTGATAATGACTGATTTTAAAGAGTTAAAGGGGCATTACGCATGATATCACAGCTTTATAGAGACCACAACTGCAGAACCTTAATTATAGAACCTGATATGTCGTGAATTTGAAAGAAGTGTTTTGGATTTTAATGAACTTTGGTTCTCCTCCACTTACTTAAACTTCATCAGTTAGAGTCTCCCACGTACATTTACTTTAAACTAACGCTCACAATTATCTCCTTTATTTTTCTTGTTTTTTTTTTTTGCTTTTGTCACAACGCGGTGAGGGGTGCCTTGTCATTTTTATGTTTTATTTTGAAAAAAATAACTCTCCTCTCATTTCAGGTCACTTGCCCTTTTTTCTTGTGTCACCGGTCTGACATCTCCCCTGATCCCTGATTGTTTCCACCTGTTCCCCATTAACCTCATGTGTCTTATAGACGGCGTCTCGTTTATTCGTGTGCCTCCAGCCATCATGTCCACAGCCTTGCCCGATAACCTCGTTTGTATTCAGGATAATCCTTGCTTCCTCTTTAGAAGAGTGATTTTCTGTTGTAGTTTTTCCAGTCGAGTTTCTGGATCTAGCATTTGTTTCATAGCCTTGTTGTATTTTTTTTCCTCCCTTTTGGAGTGACTTTGTTTTCTTACCGTTTTTCTAGCCTAGTAGTACAGTGTAGTTAAGTTTGTAGCCTCCTTTTGTTTCCCTCCTTTTGGAGCGTTTTTTGTTTATAAATTTTCATAGTTATTCCTCTGAAGATTAGAGAAGATCAGCCTATTACTTTGTCCTCCCTTTTGGAGTGAATTTTTGTTCTGTCTTGGTTTATTTTGTTTCTGTGTTTTGTCTGTTCACTATTAGTAGAGAGATAGGCTATGAAAACCTTCTATTTGTTTGTCTCTCTATCTACTGAGAAAGAAGACAATTTTTCAAAATAAAGTGTTTTTTGATCTTTGAACCTCTGAGTCCTCCCTTTAGCCCAGGCCTGACACCTTTTAGTTAACTTGATAATGAATAAATCTGCATGTCTCTTTTAAAAAACATTATTAGATAATGTTTTAGTTTTGTAACATCATTAAAATTCAGACATTTAAACATACTGTACAAACATACAAACATTCATGCATACAATAACTCATACATATATTCATTTACATATTAATCAGTTTATGTGTATGCATGTAACAGGAAAGAATTAATGAATATATATGTTTATATTAACAGTTGTATGTATGAAAAAAATGACTGTATATAGATAGATAGATAGATAGATAGATAGATAGGTAGATAGATAGATAGATAGATAGATTGATTGATTGATTGATTGATTGATTGATTGATAGACTTTATTGATCCCAAACTGAGAAATTCTCTTGTTACAGCAGCAAAAAGAAAATACAAAATAACATTAAATATAAGAAGAAGTAAGTACAATGCAGACTAAAAATACAAAAAATACTAAGTATATACAAGAAATACAGACTAAATATACTAAACATCCTTAGAGATAAAAGTGAGATATGAATATATAATAATAATAAAGTATGAATGTATATATGTTTGTGTTCAGATACATGTATGAAAATATGCACATACATAAATGAATGTTGTATATCTGTAGAAATATTTGTTTGAATGTATTTATGTATACTTAAATTTACGTGTAAATAAGTGTGTAAGATTAAAATATGTATGAATAAATTTATGATTATTCATTATTCATTATTGGTCATTGCAGTGTCCTTTTAAAGATTTCACTGCTCATACACATGCATCGCTGCCATGATCTATCAATAAACACCCAGCCAGCTGGAGCTGAAATGATCTGCACTTAAGAGATGACAAGCAGAGAGAAGCTTAGGTCTGGAATCAAAAAGGGGAAAAGTGTATCAAGTGAAAGCTAAATGTCAGTATTTCACATTAAAATATTCAACTTTGTCAGCTAAAATCACAGCCACCAAGAGTTACATTCATTTGAGTATGAAGCCTTTATTTTTCAGGGCTAGTTTCAGAAGTACTTTGTCACCATCTACTGGCAAATTAAATGTATGATCTTTTATGTCTCATAAGGGAAGATGGAAAAGGGAAAATATGAATAAATAGTAGATGACTTTTTGAGACACAACAAATGAGACTTCAGACAACTGGACTTCCCTACTGAGGTAAATAAAGTTATTGTTATTCTTATTATATTAGTTTCTACATTAAAAATAATCTGCTTTGTGAATGGAGGATGAATAAATAGAAAAATCTACTCTATCAGTTTTCTTTAAAGACTTCTATTTCTGTTATTATTATTTGTTTGTTAAATTAACGCTTTAGTTACTTTTGCTTGTCTTTAATTTCAATTTAAACCATATTTACACATTTAAAATTCATACTGCTTTATGGTGTTGATCATTTTTGGTGTCCTGTTTTCTACAGAAGATGGCGCTATGCAACTGAACTTTGCTCTCCATCAACATGAAACGAAAGAGGAAGTGTCCTGCTTCTGTCGGACACGCCCCCAAGGAAGACCTCCACTGAGCCATTTCCGGTTGTAGCTCATCGCGCGGGTGTTTACCCGAGAAGAACACGCCGATAGCGATTGTTGGAAAAGAAAAAAGACACGGAGATCGCGACAAAATAAGAAAATGACCTGATGAAGCAAGATGCAGGTGTCTCATAGCCTACCACGGTTAGGGACGAGGTAGCTACAAAGGTAACACTACTTTTTATTACCCTACAGTCTGAAATGTTTCAGTCCTTGTATTCAAGTTGCAGAAAAACGGCATTTTAAAGTCTTATACTTTATATTTTTGTTCCCCCTTTCTTAAACTTTTACATTTTGAGCTATTTTACAGTCATAACCTTACAACTATAATGTGCTGCTCCTTACTCTACATCAGGGGTGGGGGACCCGCTGCTCCTCAGCCTCCTTGGCGTGGCTCCCTTTGGCCTTGCCAAAAAAGAAAGACATTAATGTGAATAACGTTTTTTTTTATTTTTTATTTATACATATTTTTGTTGTTTATTGTGTTGCACAGTTATATTGAGGTTCATGTTGATACTTAACATTGAATTTTAAAAGATGTTTTTATCATTTGTCAACTAAAATATGCGTCACATCCCTCGCCTTTAGCCTACCTACAGACAGTGTTGCCAGATTAGGCTTTTTTCGCCCAACTGAGCTACTTTTGTTAATGTCAGGCGGGGAAAAATACATTAGGCGGGTGAATAAAATTTGGGCTGCTTTTGTCCACATTTGGCGAGTTTTTTGTTCTCATTATTGTTCAAGTTGATGGAAAGACGCTGACTCTGTACTCAGTGTGTGAATTATATTTCAAATAAAGTACCCTAAAGCTTCTATGAGTAGATAAACAGACCTGTACTTCTATCTCTACTGAGTTCAATGTCATTTAAGTAACTGTACTTTTACTTGAGAGGAATATTTCTACCCTCTGACAAACTTTTCTTGGTGTTGAAGTAGTTCACGTCAAACGAGTTACAGAGTCATCTTCACACTGTTGTTACAGTCTTTACTGCCTAAAACTTAAAATATGAAAACCTGTCTGTGCCTAAATGTATATCTTTCCTTGTTTTGTGGATAAGCAGATGATTTTCTCACCTAAAGGGATGATCTTCTGTTTTTTGTGCCAGCGCCCATTCAGAATGATGCTGCCGTACACCAGCACGTTGTTGAATAGGAAGAAGACTTTGGGCTGTGGCCTCTGCTTCATCAGCCGGCCCTCTTCAATCTTAATTTACATGTTAATTAAATAATAAATAAAATAGAAAAATACAGAGTTATGTGATATATTTGATTCAGCTGACCAGTTAACAAGAATATGATACAGAGCCTTTTTTTAAGAATGTTTTATTCTGTTTCAAAAGCAGCATTTATAGGAATCTTAACATTCAACAGAACTGAAACAAGACTGCACATGATAGGAGATTAAAAAAGTCTGAAGTGATGAGTATCAATAAATGTCAGGTATGCTTCACCTTAAAAATTACAACTTTCTCTTGTTCTTTCAGGACTCGACACTGGACCACCCCTGGAGTTGGGTGGACCACCATCATCTTGGGGCAGCCTTCCTCCCTCGGCGTCTCGCTCAGGTAGAGGCGCTCAGCTACTACTACTACTACTACTACTACTGTAGTCTGATTATCAGACTCCTCTTTAGGTGGAACTACCTCTTTAATAACTTGTTAGGTGTCTCAAGAAATTAATCTTTAACATTCAACCGTTTCTTTATTAATGAATAAAGAGGAGTCTCCATTTATCTCAACAGCTTCACTCTCAGTCTCTTATCAGTCAGTGAAAAGATATGGGGAGAGATTTGTCTCAAAATTACGCTCAAATACATATCCACAGTTTCCAATGACTGTATTATTCCACTTAATTTAAAATAAGAAATCATATACCAACACATTTCAAGAGTCTTTATCAATATATTTATGGATAATTCAATAAATTAGTACACCTCTGTATCTGACAGAAACATACTCGTAGTAGAAAATTGTGACATGTTGTTCTTGAAGCAGTTAGTGAACTTTATCTACTGTCAGCCTAAGTTTTGTAAGAACAATTGAAAAGTAGAGAATCGAAACAGATTTATATTTTTCCATCTCCATAATTTTATCACCCACTTACAAAGAACGCTACAAAGAAAAATAAGCTTTAAGTCCAAGTCCAGAGTTGTGTTGTATCAGTAGCTAACCTAAATAAGTGTTTTTACCCACTTTTATTAAAAGTCCTGGGAACTTTACATTGGATGCTCCTATTTGCCAAAATTCTCAGCAATAAACATAATGCAATAAACAGTAAGTTACAAGAATAACTGCGAAAGACCTGTGAATTAAAGAAATATTAATTTAGATGTCGCTAATCTAATCTAATGTGGATATTCATTTCTGTTGAAGTCCAATGACTCAATTTCAAAGAGATTATGATTTTAAGCTCTCTCTTGTTAACTAATTAAGCATTTAGTTCCCTGTATTTGCAGTGTTTTCTTTAAGTGTAATGCATATTAAGGCTATTGTATTAAATTATGAAACAATCACATTAAACACGGGTGTTGAAGTTCCACGTTTTATTGATGTAGTAGACACAAGAATAATAGCGCCAAACACAGCTGAAGGTTTAATTATTTATTTATTCATAGATATTTGCGACTTAGATCAGCTTCTCGAAACAGATCTGAAGCACAAATTCAGTAAAACTTTTCACTTATTATTATTTTTTTTTCTGTTTCAAAAGACATCTGGGTAAAAAAAAGAACTCCTTGATCAGTAAAGAAGCCTGAGAGTTTCTCTGAGCTCTCACCACAGTCCAGTTTGACATCCTCAGCACAGATTTTTGTCTTTTGTTGGGTTAAATGTGATAAACTAATTGTGTCTTTTCTTGTCTTTCAGGACCAACTGTGAGTTTTTCCTCTTGTGAATTGTTTTTCTTTGTTCATACTTAGTATGCGATTTATTTAATTGGAGTATAGTTTAGTTAAGCTAGGTACAGGCAGTGAAGGTAGGAGTTTTATTTGATTTCTTTGATACAAGAGAGATTTTGAGTTCCCCTTTTAGGTACTTGCTACACTCTCTGATAGGTGGGTTGGAGATTGAGCTGCCTATAAAAGGAGAGGAGAATTGCTCCCAAAGAAGGAAGCTGTGCCCTTGTATAATCTCATTTCAGACTCAATTTGTTTGATCTTGGGAAAAGAAAAGTTTAATGGAACCTATATATGTGGACTTGACTGTCAATAAAAAAACATTCACTTCTGAGAATACAGCAGTCTGTTGAGTTGCTTCCTACCTTCCTAGACCCTTGAGCCAAAACTACTTTACAAAGATCCTGAAGAGCTGAGCCAACAACATAATATCCAGAGGGGGGGACCCACAAGTTTATAAAAAAAAAAACACTAAAACCCTGTGACTCTGTGTCTCTTTATTTTAATCAGATCCAAGTCTAGTTGAATTTAAAGGTCCAGTGTCCAGAAAGGAGAGTAAAAGAGAAAACAAGCAGAATAGTCCTGTGTGTCCACATGGCTCAGAGCATAAGAAGACCGACTGGGACTCCTGAGCTCGTGGGTTCGATCCTTACCTTATCCAGGTCTAGGTGAATTTTGAAGTCCAGGAGCCAAAGTGCCAAGATAAAAGGGCGCGCAGCTCATACCCAAGTGTGGATCGTATCTTGTAGCATGTGTGTTAGTCAATTGGCTCTCAATGTGTGGACCCCGGTTCGATTCCAGTTAGTGACGGGGTAGTTAAAAGTAATGAAATGATGAAAATTTCCTTCTATACCGTAATCGGTATAGACTCCTGAAGAAGTGATGAATCACTTCTAATGATGGGTAATTCTGATCGTTACTAATACTCTCCAGCCACGAGTTGGTATCAAACCAGGCCCCATTGGGTGCCAATAGACTTCCATGCAGTGCCATTAGATAGGATCCACACTAGGGCATGCGGAATGCCCACTTTTATCTTCTTACTTTGGCTAATGGACTAAAATTCAACTAGGCTTGGGTTAGGTGGGAATCGAACCCACAAGCTCAGGAGTCCCAGTCAGTCTTCTTATCCTCTGGGCTATGTGAACACACAGAGTAATTCCGGGTTTTTCCTATTTAACTCATCTTTCTAGACACTAGACTTTAAAATTTAACTTAAGTTGGGTAAGGTGAGGATCGAACCCACGACCTCAGGAGTCCCGATCAGTCTTCTTATCCACTGAGCCATGTGGACACACAGATGTATTCCAGGTTTTTCCTATTTAACTCTTCTTTCTGGACACTAGTCTTCAAAATTCACCTAGACCTGGATAAGGAAAGGATCGAACCCACAACCTCAAGGGTCTCAGTCAGTCTTCTTATCCACTGAGCCATGTGGACACACAGATGTAGTCTGGGTTTTTCCTATTTGACTCTTCTTTCTGGACACTAGACTTTAAAATTCACTTCGACCAGGAGAAGGCAGGATCGAACCCACAACCTCAAGAGTCTCAGTCAGTCTTCTTATCCTCTGAGCCATGTGGACAGACAGGGTAAATCCGGGTTTTTCCTATTTTACTCTCATTTCGAGACACTAGACTTTAAATTTCATCTTAAGCTAAATAATGTAAGGATCGAACCCACAACCTCAAGAGTGTCAATCCGTCTTCTTATCCTCTGAGCTATTTGGACACACAGGGTAATTGCAGGTTTTTCCTATTTAACTCTTCTTTCTAGACAGTTTACTTTAAAATTCACTTAGACCTGGATAAGGCAAGGATTGAACACACAACCTCAAGAGTCTCAGTTAGTTTTCATATCCTCTCAGCTATGTGGAGACATAGGGTAATTCTGGGTTTTTCCTATTTCACTCTCATTTCTACACACTAGGCCTTAAATTTTAAGCTCAAGCTGGATATGGTAAGAATTGAACTCGCAACCTCATGAGTCCCAGTCATTCCTCTTATCCTCTCAGCCATATGGACACACAGGGTAAGTCCGGGTTTTTCCTATTTAACTCTCATTTCTAGACACTAGACTTGGAAAATTTTAAACTTAAGCTGGATAAGGTAAGAATTGAACTCGCAAGCTTAGGAGTCCCAGTCAGTTTTCATATCCTCTCAGCCATGTAGACACACAGGGTAATTTTGGGTTTTTCCTATTAAACTCTCATTTCTAGACACTAGACTTTAAATTTCACCTCAAGCTGAATAAGGTAAGGATTGAACCCACACCCTCAGGAGTCCCAGACAGTCTGCTTATCCTCTGAGCCATGTGGACAGACGGGGTTATTTCGGGGTTTTTCCTATTTCACTCTCCTATCTACACACTAGGCCTTAAATTTTAAGATCAAGCTGGATAAGGTAAGGATTGAACCCTATCCTCAGGGGTGAAAGTCAGTCTTCCTATCTTGTGAGCCATGGGGACATACAGGAGAATTCTGTTGTTTTTTTTCCTATTTCACTTTCATTTCTAGACAGTAGGCTTTAAATTTCACCTCAAGCTGAATAAGGTAAGGTGGAGTTTGAATCCAAGACCTCAGGAGTCCCAGTCAGTCTTCTTTTCTTCTAATCCATTGGTACATATAGGAGAATTCTCTTTTTTTCTCTATTTTACCCTCCTTTCTCGACTCTGGACTCTTAATTTCACCTTAAACTGGATAAGGTAAGGATCGGACCAACGACCTCAAGAGTCCCAGTCAGTCTTCGTATCCACTCAGCCATGAGGACACAAAGGAGGATCCAGTTTCTGAAAGGTTTTTACTCTACTCTCTAGACACCAGACTTAAAATTTTTACCAGGACCTGGATAAGGGTTCCAACCTTCAAGGTCAGCAGTCTGAATGAGCCTTTTTTTCTCTCTGAGCCACAGAAACAGGTATGGGTACTATATTAGGGACTACTATATTGGAAGCAAAGCAACTCCCACCCTTCCTTCCTGAACTAATCTGAACTATTTTAAATTAACTACTGTATGAAGATGTCATAGTATAATATAATAAGAAAGTCACAATGTAGTTTGATAAAAATGTCATAGTATAGTAGGAAAAAAAAGTATGGTAAAAAAGCCAGTTCAGTATGATAAAAAAGTGGTATAGTATGATAAAATGTCATTGTAAAGTATGATAAAATGTCAGTGAAGTATGATCTAAAAATGTCAGTATCGTATGATAAAACAAGTCAGTTTAGTATGATAAAAAGGACATGGTATAGTATGATAAAAAGGACATGGTATAGTATGATAAAATGTCAGTATAGTATGATATAAAATGTCTTGTATAGTATGATAAAAATGTCATAGTATGATATAAAAAAGTCATAGTGTAGTATGATATAAAATTGTCATAGTATGATATAAAAAAGACATAGTGTAGTATGATATAAAATTGTCATAGTATAGTATGGTAAAAAGCCTAACCCTAACCCAATCTCTACTATGACATTTTCAACACACTATAGAGAAAGGAAAGGAAAGGAAAAAACTTTGACAAGCAGGATCCTCCTGTGTGTGTCCATGTGGCTCAGAAGTGAAGGAGACTGGCTGGGACTCCTGCAGTCAAAGGGTGAAATCCTCATCGATATACTCCCTCTGACTTTTAGAGGCCAACTAAGAGAAAAGAGAGGGAAAAGGCTTTTGGGAAGATGATAATGATGTGGTTTAGGGGTTAAGTCAGCTGCCTAAGACTCCTGATGTCGTGGGTACGATCCTTAACCAGGTCAAGGTGAAATAAAAAGTCTAGTGTCTAGAAAGGACAGTGAAATAGGAAAAAAACAGAATTCTCTTGTGTGTCCAGGTGGCTCAGTGGATAAGAAGACTGGCTGGAACTCCTGAGGTCGTGGGTTAAATCCTTACCTCATCCAGCTTAAGGTTAAATTTGAGCCTAATGTCAAGAAATTAGAGTGAAATAGGAAAAACCCGGAAATAACACTGTGTGTCCACATGGCTTAGTGGATCAGCCACCTGACTGTGACTCCTGAGGTCATGGGTTCGATCCTTACCTTATTCAACTTGAGGTAAAATATAAAATCCAGTGTCTAGAAATGAGAGTGAAATAGGAAAAACCCGATATTATTCCGTGTGTCTACATGGCTCAGAGCATAAGAAGACCGACTGGGACTCCTGAGCTCGTGGGTTCGATCCTTACCTTATCCAGGTCGAGGTGAATTTTGAAGTCCAGGAGCCAAAGTGCCAAGATAAAAGGGCGCGCAGCTCATACCCAAGTGTGGATCGTATCTTGTAGCATGTGTGTTAGTCAATTGGCTCTCAATGTGTGGATCCCGGTTCGATTCCAGCTAGTGACGGGGTAGTTAAAAGTAATGAAATGATGAAAATTTCCTTCTATACCGTAATCGGTATAGACTCCTGAAGAAGTGATGAATCACTTCTAATGATGGCTAATTCTGATCGTTACTAATACTCTCCAGCCACGAGTTGGTATCAAACTAGGCCCCATTGGGTGCCAATAGACTTCCATGCAGTGCCATTAGATAGGATCCACACTAGGGCATGCGGAATGCCCACTTTTATCTTCTTACTTTGGCTAATGGACTTTAAAATTCAAATAGGCTTGGGTTAGATGGGAATCGAACCCACAAGCTCAGGAGTCCCAGTCAGTCTTCTTATCCTCTGGGCTATGTGAACACACAGAGTAATTCTGGGTTTTTCCTATTTAACTCATCTTTCTAGACACTAAACTTTAAAATGTAATGGGTTTGGGTAAGGTGAGGGTCGAACCCATGACCTCCGGAGTCCCAAACAGTCTTCTTATCCACTGAGCCATATGGACACACAGGGTAATTCCGGGTTTTTCCTATTTAACTCCCATTTCTAGACACGAGGCCTTAAATTTTAAGCTCAAGCTGGATAAGGTAAGAATTGAACCCACGACCTCAGACGGCTCAGTCAGTCTTCTTATCATCTGAGCCATGTGGACACACAGGGTAAATCTGTGTTTTTCCTATTTAACTCTTCTTTCAAGATACTAGACTTTAAATTTCACCTCAAGCTGAATAATGTAAGGATCGAACCCACAACCTCAGGAGTCCCAGTCAGTTTTCTTATCCTCTGAGCCATGGGGACACACAGGATGATGCCAGTTGGGAATTTGTCTGTCTCTTTGCATTAGCATCAGCGTTACCATTAGTGCTAGCTCGCCACTCATCAACCTCTACTCAATGTTTATTAATTTAATTTTTTTTTGGCTTACCTCATTCGTAAACTCTTTCTTTTGCATCTTGCTCCAAAGGGGCATTTTCTCATTTTATCTCGCTTCACTCTGAAAAAAAACTTGCTATCAGCATGGTCCCCTCAGGTAAAGTTTGGCCCACCCCCGTTACCGATACTGCCCACCTACTGCAGGTGGAAGCAGGACACCAACAATTATCACTATAAAGCAGTATGAATATTAAATTTGTAAATATGGTTTAAATTGAAATTAAAGATGAGCAAAAGTAACTAAAGCGTCAATTTAACAAACAAACAAGTAATATTAATCTTGATCATTTTTGACTTAGAGAAGTCTTAAAAGAAAACCCATGTTCTCCGGCAGAGTAGATTTTTCTTTTTATTCATCCTCCATTCATGAAGATTTTTTTTATGCATAAACGGATATAATGTGCTTCTTTTCCCTTTTATCTCCCCTTATGAGACATAAATAGTCATACATTTAATTTGCCAGTAGACAGCGACAAAGTACTTCCCAAACTAGCCCTGAAAAATTAAGGCTTCATACTCAAATGAATAACTCTTGGTGGTGGTGATTTTAGCTAACAAAGTTGAATATTCTAATGTAAAAAAAATACATTTTGCTTTCCCTCTAAACTGAAACTCTGATCCTCTCATCATACTTCATTCCTTTCTCAGTTGAGCCACGGACTTAACTTACCCCAGAACCACTTTTGTGGCTTTAAAAGTCACAAAAATCGGTGACCCTCCTGTTCGAATTATATCAATCAAGATCAAACCAGAGCAGATTAATTAAAAAACAGAGCGAACCACACTGTAATCCACTCTCTTTTATTAAATACAACATATTGGTGGTGACATGTAGGAGATTTACAACATGGACAGCGTTCACTTGGTGCCTTCTTCAAGTTTGGGCTCTGAAAAAAAGGAGAAAGAACAGGATTATCAGTGATATAACTGCGTTTTAATCTGTGCAGCTGGAAAACATCACAATACTGCAGATTAAACTCAAAACAGACACTCAGAGATTACAACTTTGAAGCTGGGAGCTGCTTCACCATGATTTCAAACAGTATCGGAAAATCATCCTGCTCTGCTGCCTGTCACTATATTTAGATGGAGACAAAGACTGAAATCACAGCGACTCCCTCTGCTGGTGGAGGACTACTACTACTACTACTACTACTACTACTGTAGTTCAGTTTCTTGAGATATTAGGATTAGGATAGTATAGTTGCTGATGGTCTTGTTTGCTTTTGGATTTAATGAAAAGACATCAGTACGACTCAAAGTGGCTTGAAACTGCAGCAACTTTCATGACTCCGACCACGTTTATGCTTCTGAAAATTCTTCTTTCAACCATTTTTCTTCAATTTTGTTTTTGGAATAAACATTTATCACACAATTTCACTGATTTATTCTACAAATATTTTGGTTGTCCTTTTCTTTTTAACTATCAATCTCACTGAATGAGGACCTTGCTTAAAATAAAACAAAGGCAGCAGGAGAAATGTAATCCACTCTCTTTTATTAAATACAACATATTGGTGGTGACATGTAGGAGATTTACAACATGGACAGCGTTCACTTGGTGCCTTCTTCAAGTTTGGGCTCTGAAAAAAAGGAGAAAGAACAGGAGGATTATCAGTGATATAACTGCGTTTTAATCTGTGCAGCTGGAAAACATCACAATACTGCAGATTAAACTCAAAACAGACACTCAGAGATTACAACTTTGAAGCTGGGAGCTGCTTCACCATGATTTCAAACAGTATCGGAAAATCATCCTTGCTCTTGTTGAAGAGGACGGCGGAGATGCCAATGTTCCTGCGCAGAGTCAGGCTCACGGCAGAGCGCAGCAGAGAGGACAGGTGGTATAACCGGTGAAGTGCCATCTGAAGGAGGAAAAACACACAGTGACGAGATGATGGGACTGTGTCTCTGAGGGAATGTGTGGGCGGGAGTCAAATCAGGACATCATGGTCGTTTATTCGTCATATTGGCATATTGAGTGTTTAAAGTTTGCACTTTATACAAAATACCTCATTCTTTTTCAGTTGTTTTAGCAATACAAAGGATTTCAAATGAGTTTTCTGCCTTTAATTCTTTAAAGAATTCTTCTTTCAACCATTTTTCTTCAATTTTGTTTTTGGAATAAACATTTATCACACAATTTCACTGATTTATTCTACAAATATTTTGGTTGTCCTTTTTTTTTAAAATGAGGACCTTGCTTAAAATAAAACACTCCAGGGTCGACGCGAATACAGAACGTGAAAATAACGAATTTGATCTCAGGGAACTTGACGAGGTCCCCTCCTCCGTATAGCCTCTGCAGTTTGGTCACCTCCTCAGACAGGTTCTTCTGATAGGAGGGGCCGCCGTCCACAATGCCACCTGAAGTCCTGGAGAAGCCCGGACATCAAATTGAGTTATGTTCAGGAGATGATAAGCACATGAAACGATAACAACTGTTAGCTTACGTAAGCATGATACCACAGCTTAAAGACACCTTTTGCAATTCTGAAGCACACAAACTATTGTCATATGAGAAATCTGAAATGTTGTCCTTCAGGTCGTTATCTTTGTAATGTTTGTGTTTTTTATCAAAAAGCACTCTGTTCTCCGACACGTAAACAATCAGCCAGTCGGCCATGTTGGATATACAGGTGACTCAGACGTCGCAACAACACGTTATCTGATGGGTCAGAAGTGGAAACACAGAATGCACCCTGCTCCGAAAAAATAAATGCCGCAATATCGCAGGACGGGAAAACATCGCTGATGTGAACACTTGTATTTACAGGATACATGTTCGATAAAAAATATTGACGTCTGAAATAATGGCACAAAAAAAACGGTCCCAGTGTGAAAGGACCTTAATCGGTAATCGGATTGCCCGCCCCCCCCCCAATAATCGGCATCAGCCCCAAAAACTCCATATCAATCGGGCCCTTGTTTTGAGACAGTCTTACTCTTACACTCAACCCTCTCATGACCTCTCATTACACGGTAAAATTAGATTATAATTTATCAAATTTGACTACTTCTTTACATTTTAGTGCCTGAGTTCAAGCCCGATTCTCTAAGAAAGGCTTAAAGAGTATGCATGTCTATATTTTCGCGAGATTTACTTAGATGTTGTTAGAGTAAATGATCAGGTGTTCCCACAGATCATTATGCATCCTGTAAAAAGTTATCTTAAAGAAATGAAGAATTACAGATAAGATCTGTGACTGGTGCTCATGGGAAATGTAGTCCTCATCTACAAAATTACGAAAAGAAGAAAAGACTGAGGCAAATATCAGAAAGTACCACTGATTACAAAATAAATATTACAATTTAAGCTAAAGGAGTGTAAATGCCGGTTAATTCTTAAGTTTTATGAAATAAAGAGGACTTAAAACTTTAAAAACTGGACAAATAATCCGCTTGGTGTCATTAGTTTGGGATGAATTATGAACTACTGTAGGACTTTAACCTTTATGTTACGTTATATTCTAACTGTTTTTCATGAATTAAGTCTAAAACAACTGATTTAATTCATTGTATGAACTGATGAAACTCTGAAGTACAGCCATGTTGTTAATGCTAACGTAGTTCAGCTGGGGTCACCAACAGCGAATACACTAAAAGATGCAGAGATAGCTGCACACGAAACACATGCATCATTATAAAGTACGATAAGAAACGCTGTTTTATTAAATGTTGACTTTCAGGGAGAAGGAAAAGCTGCTGTTTCCTTGTCTCCTTTCCTCTACCTTTACCTCTCATGCTAACATGTTCAGCTAACTTAAGCTGGCTCGGATCTATGTGGTCGTTTTTTAAACCCAGGTGAACTTTACGCTCTCCGACAGAATAAACACGCTTCTGTTGTGATTGAATCTATTCATGCACCGAGTCAGATGACATTTTTGATGCCGTTTCTGTCCAAACTCAGGACTCACCTTGGGTTTGACACTCGAAGCGCAGATCCAAATGTGAGACACCGCGGTGGATTCTGGGACTGATACCATAGATATAAACACTAGATGACTCACGCTGTTAACCAATGGAGACCGACGTCAGCGCATGGCGGCCATCTTGCTACAGGCAGCTCTCTCACTCATAACATCACAAGCAGAGCAGGCCCAAAACCTCAGTGGGGCCCTAAGCAAAATTGATTTTGGGGGCCCTCTATTTCTACCAATAATATTGATTGTTGATCATTCACACACCTACTACAGTTTAAATTTAATGCGCCTGACATGTCTTTACACATTTAAGGGGGTGACAGAGGTAGTAACATAAATAATACCAATGCAACTATACAAATAATACCAATGACTGACTGATGAATGATGTTCAGGGTGCCACATATGTTTTTCGTTTTTTTTTGTTTTGTTTTGTTTTGTTTTTTAAACTTTATTTTCCAGTTTAGCATGGTTCAAAACAATAACTTCTTTACAACCATTTTATCCTTTTTCTCAAAAATAAAGACAGAGGAAGAAATAATAAAGAAAGAATTTTCATAAATAAACATTAAGCAGATAGGTAGAGCAATAGCTCTAGGCCTACACACAAGGTAGTTATATCAAATCATTTATATAAAAAAACGTTTAATCATTCCATGTATGTTATATTAGTAATATTTCCATTATAATGTTAACATTAAAAACATTCAGCGTGCAATAAGCCGTATTATTATTATGTAGAATAGAATAGAATAGAATAGAATATTCCTTTATTGATCCCCCATGGGGGAAATTTTTTTGTCACAGCAGCATCACAGACAAGACAAAAAGTGCAAAAATGCAGTTATAAGAATAAGGGTCCTAATATTAAGAACTTAAATAAATGCAATAATTAAGAAAAAAATTAGAAAAGGGAGAAGAAAAAATAGAGCTTTCTACAATATACACAATTTAAATGCCATAAAAAAAGTGGTGGTGTAAAATCAGTTTTGTTACTGTTCATTGTAAAGTCTCATTGCAGAGGGGAGGAATGATCTGCGGTAGCGCTCCGTCCTGCAGGGTGGGAGTCTCAGTCTGCTGCTGAAGGAGCTGCCTAAAGCCCCCACAGTCTGGTGCAGTGGGTGAGAGGGATTGTCCATGATGGATACAAGCTTTGTTAACATCCTCCTCTCACCCACCTCCTCCAGGGAGTCCAAAGAGCAGTCCAGGACAGAACCGGCCCTCCTGACCAGTCTATTCAGTCTCTTCCTGTCCCTCTCGGTGCTCCCTGCCCCCCAGCAGACCACTGCATAGAAAAGTGCAGATGCTACCAGAGAGTCATAGAAAGTCCTGAGCAGAGTCCTGCACACTCCAAAGGACCTCAGTCTCCTCAGCAGGTGGAGACGACTTTGGCCCTTCTTGTACAGAAAGTCTGTGTTTGTTGACCAGTCCAGTTTGTTGTTGAGGTGGACACCCAGGAATCTGTAGGACTCCACCATCTTGATGTCCAGGCCCTGGATGTTCACTGGAACTGTTTGAGGTGTCCCCCTCCTGCGGAAATCCACAACCATCTCCTTTGTCTTACTGGCGTTGAGCTGGAGGTGGTTTGTGCCACACCAGTTGACAAAGTCAGTGATGACAGTCCTGTATTCCCGCTCATCCCCTGACGATACACATCAGACGATGGCTGTGTCATCAGAGAACTTCTGGAGGTGACAGCTCCCAGAGTTGTAGCTGAAGTCAGAGGTGTACAGGGTGAAGAGGAAGGGGAGAGCACTCTCCCCTGTGGAGCCCCCGTGCTGCAGACCACCATGTCCGATACACAGTTCTGAAGCCTCACAAACTGTGGTCTGTCGGTTAGGTAGTCCACGGTCCATGCGGCTAGGTGACAGTCCACTCCCGCCCGCTCGAGCTTCCCCCTGAGCAGTGAAGGCTGGATGGTGTTGAACGCACTGGAGAAGTCAAAAAACATGACCCTCACAGTGCTGCCAGTGTTGACTCACAAAGGAAGCCATGGACCTCTGCAGCAGGTAGATGACTGCGTCATCCACCCCGATGTTTGGCTGGTACGCAAACTGCAGAGGATCCAGATGAGAGCTCACCAGGGGGCAGAGGTTCCTCAGCACGATCCTCTCCAGAGTCTTCATCAGGTGAGAAGTGAGGGCCACAGGTCTGAAGTGGTTGGGCTCCCTGGGGTGCGCTGTCTTGGGGACAGGAATCACGCAGGAAGTCTTCCACAGTGTTGGGACCCTCTCCAGACTCAGGCTCAAGCTGAAGATGTGCAGTAGCACCTCAGCGTGCAATAAGCCGTATTATTATTATGTATATTCTGTACACATGTAAATATGACTCGTGTACATATCTTTTTCTTTTTTATGGCCCTGTAACTGAAACTAACTTAACTGTGACTGATAACCATGTCCTTCTCATTTCTAACTGTAAAGCTACAGTCAGAGTTGCTTTTAATGCACCTGTGCATAACCGTAATGCTTGATATTGGATTTTATCTATTATTAATCCAGTGTGTATTTTATTGCTGTTCTATCTGCTCCCCACTGACTCCAAACAAACACATCATAACATTTATTTTACACTAATTAACATTTTTTGGATGTGTACTGCCCATGTTAGTCTTTTGTCAAACCACAATATTAAAAATTGAAAATAAATCACTCTCTCTAATTCTTTATTACACAATTTCGCTTTCATATCACTTCCTATTCTTCTCTTTTTAAAAAAACAAACATGTTTGTTTTATCAACTGAAAATCTGAACCCCCTTTTTGATCATTCCTCAACTTTTTTTTATAGCTCCTCGCATTTTCTTCATCATAAAGTCTAAATTTCTTCCCCTCACCCAAATTACCCAAATTTCCAAACACATCATTCATCATAATTGAGAATAACAAAGCACTTTTATGCTTCCCTGAGGAGTCCCATTCTCAAACTCATATTTTTTTTGACTGTTTCCAGAACAGAGGGATGTGGAGTGCTGCTCAAAGAAACAAAGAAACACAACAACTCTAAACTAAATATCTTGTCTTTGTAGTGTATTTAATCGAATATAGGTTGGAAATGATTTGCAAATCATTGTATTCTGTTTTTATTTACGTTCATCACAATTTCCCAACTTCAATGGAATTGGGTTTTGTAGTACGCAGGGGTGGGGTTGCATTAATTTTTTAAAATAAATATGCACACTATACTAGGACAAACCAGGGGACCAATAAACAGAGTAAAAATAAACAAAAAAACAAACAAAATAAAAAACAAAGACACAGCATCTGTATGTACATTCAAAACTTTATTATGGAATACAGTGTAGAAAGCGTTTTCCCAGTCAATGCAAATGGCCTGCACAATATTACACAGTGGAAAACAAAAACCAATATATAATCCACAGAAAATCAAAGATAGAAAGAAAATCCTGCTTCCTCTTCTACTCTACTGCCCTCTGCTGGGCTTTCTAATGAGCACCCACCCCACTGCAGCCTCCATATGTACATTTCTTCCACCTGCCGTTCCTTCTGATTTCAAACTGCCTTTAGAATTAGCACAGAGTGAGAGGTCACGCTGAAGATCTTTTCTTGTTCATGCCAAACCGGAGTCGCTCTCAGCTCTGTGACGGTGAACACATCATGTCACTTATATACAGACTACAGTGCTCTGCCTCTGAGGAGTCGAGTGTGTGACGACGGCAGAGAGGTGAGCATGCCTGAAGGGGAGAGGGAGGCGAAGGAGGAGGGGAGGTAAGGAGGGAGGGGGTGAAAATCTATTATATATACAGACTGCCTGCCTGGCTGGCTATCCATCCGGAACTGCAAGTCATTTCCTCTCCTCCTCCTCCTCCTCCTCCTCCTCCTTCTCTTCCTCTGCTCCCCTCTCCACCTGGTCTATCAGACAGCAGACAGCAAAAATGATTACAAAAAAGGAGACACTGTCGGCTTACAACTGGACGAAAACACCAGACTGAAAATGACAAACACGCACACACACACGCACAAACGTACGTACGCAGAGACAATCTAAACCCCGCCCCCTTCCCCACGCCGGATTCCTCACTCTGTGTCACCTTCACGCCCACGTTGTGCCCTTTCCAGAAAATACAGCCACATGAACCAACAGAAAAGGGAACTTAAAAAACAGAGGAGGGGGTTTGAACACAATATTTATCAGTGAATTTACAAACAGAGATGAAGCCGGCCCCTCCTCGAACGTAGACAAACATGGACACACTTAATTCCAAAATCACAGATCTCTTTTTAAATGTGTATTTTACATCATATCAAAGCAGAGCCCGTTCATCTAGATTTTATAGATATTTTTCATCTTTGTTTGAAGTCACGTGATCACGAGAAGATACTAAATGTACAATCTTGCTAGAATGACAATCTATAACGTGAGAAAGGATCTCGAGAAAGAGAGAGTGAGACAGAGAGAGAAAGAAAGAGAGAGAGAGAGAGAGAGAGAGCGCAGCCAACGTAAGATCGTTTTTTCTTCTTTTTTTTTCCCCAATCCGGTTGTTTGTTTTCTTTTTTTTGTCGTCATGCACTACATAGGAACAGCTAAGACTTCGGCATTACTTCATTTAACATTACACGCAATTTAAAAAAAGGACTTTACATCAGTTTGACTTGTTTTTTGTTTTTTTTTTTGTTCTTTTTTTTTTTTACCCGCTTTTCATTCTTTTTTGAAAAACAAAACTGGAAACGAAAGAGGAAAATAAAAATAAAAACAGCTCATTCAGAATACATCGTGTCAACATATTTGTTTCTCATCTCTGGATATCTGTAGGAGCTTCGTGTGACGCAGCACAGCCCAGCTGTTGTAAGGAAAGAAAAGAGGATGGAGGGAAAGAGGATGAGGGGGGATGAGGAGGAGGAGGGAGGGAGGGAGGAGGCTTAGCTTTACTCCAGTGTAGACTGTAGAGTGAGTGCAGTAGTGGTGCAGATTGTGGGGAAAACTGGGATTCATTTTCAGAAATCATCTCACTTTTTAAGACCTATGGATAAAAGATGGAGGAGAATAAAAATTTATCACCAACTTTTTCAATTAAAAGGTTAAAAATCCAGATTTTTGAGAGTAAATCCCAGTTCAGCCTCTTTCAAATCCTGCTGATCAGAGGTCAGGTTACCTACACACACCTCAAACCATCCCCACTCAAATAAACCCACTAAACTGACCCTGAATCAGCTTGTTAGAGGCTCAAATTCCCCGGAAAGTGGGTTATTTTCGATGCACCGGGCGGGGCCTTTTCCCCACGCATCAGCAGGCCCAGGTGGAGCGACATCTAAAGGCGTCTTTCTTTGATTCAAAAAAGCGCCTCGCTCCGATTAAAGTGAACAAACTCGGTGCAAAATGGCTCAGAGTCCGCCCAGGTGAAAAAAAAACCCCTCTTGCTACAGCCGCTCCGTTCGCTTTTGGTTGACTATTTCAGCCACGCCATCGTCTAAACCACGCTCTGATTTTCAGGAGAGTATCTGGGGGAGGAGGAGGAGGAGGGGGAGGTGCTTGATGTGCGGGGAGGGGATGTTTGTGTGTTTAATGTGTGTGTGTGTATGTGTGTGTGTGGGCAAGTGTGACATTCTCCTCAGTTCTGCATCTGCTCGAAGAACTTGTAGGTGGGGTTCTCGTAGCCGTTCTGCTGCATCTTGGACAGGTGGCGCTCCTCGGGGGTGACGGCGGCGTCCACCTGGAGAGGAGACGCAGAGAGGAGTGAGGGGGAGGGGTTAGACGGAAATGTAAAGACGAGCTGCAGTTTGAGCTTTTTGATTAGTTGGTAACACTTTATTTGACGTCTATCTCTATAACACATTATAAATATATGTATAATGTGTTATAATCACGTTATAGCACCGTATTACTACAGTTATAAACACTTATAAATGATCATAATGATTTATAGTAATAATCATAACACATTATAAAGCTTTTTATCATGACTTACAAGGTGAAGTATTATAATTTGTTATAACTGTTAACAACTAACTGACAATGCCCACATAGATAATGCAACTGTTGTTCTTAAACAGCTCTTCATTTTACAATTTACACATTTGCTAATTCAGCAACATTTAGCGTTGTGTGGCTTATGATATCTACGTATGTGCACACATACTAGGGCCCAACAGATTTATCGGTAAGCCGATTAAATCGGCCAATTTTAGCCTGTTTGAGACTAATCGGTAATCAGCCAAAACTCGCAGATTTTCGCCAAAATTTTCAGAAATAAAATGTTGAGAATAAGATTCGGTTTCACTTCGAAAATGTTCCGCCATTTGAAAAGTTCCCCGACTTATCCTGTAGATGGCGCAGCAACCTCATGACTATCTTGATCCGCTAAGTACCTCACAGCACAGCAGAGTGACGTTCTTTCTGTCGGCGTGAAGAGCAGTAGCCTACAGTATATCTACAGTATATAGTATAATGTAGAAATCTACAGTATGTATATATTTCTTATATCTTCATAAAAATTTTTAAAAATCGGCAGATTAATCTGTAATCTGATTTTTTTCCCCCTAAAAATTCTTACATTTTCTCAAAAATGAATAGTGCATCTTATAATCCAGCACACCTTATGTATGATTACTTGTTCTGCTTATTTACCGATTTTATGTGGTACAATGTGCTAAAAAATGAGTCCAAATGTGTAACTACGACTCTGGTAAGCAACGAAGCCACTCCGCTCATGATATTCGGAGCATTACGGTATGCTGTGTTGGTCTCCGTAACAGGACCCCTGAGCAGTCTACAAAACTGCCTGACTGTCATGTCTAAACTAGAAGTGCGTTCATGAAAGGCAATCCAAGCCCGAATTACGTGCTAGCAACAATCAACCAATCAATGCTTAATGCGCCTTACAATCTGGTGCGCCTTGTGTGTGAACAAAGACAGGTTAATTTACAGTGCGACGTATAATCCGGCGCACCTTATTACCCTAAAAATACCGTACTTCATCACATCCTTTGTACTGAAGTATTCACAAGTAAAAATGACATTTTCTAATATCAGTAAACTGCTGTAGCCATCCTGAGCGCATCTGTCTAATGAGCACAAGCACATGGCGCACCCCCACCCCCCTCTGCTTGGTGTATCCTCGCTTGATTGGTTGCACACAGCATGCACGTGACAATCATGTCCTACACGCATGGAGCACCTGTCATCCCGTCATTCTGCCTTGTAGTTTTTTTTTTTATAGTCTGCGGGGGAAAAAGCGAGAGGAAACAAAGAAAAACTGCTCACAGACGGGAGCCGGCTCCCATCGAGTCGGTTTTTTTGAACCGGTTCGTTCGCGACCAACACATCACTAGTCTGTGTGTGAAATACAGAGAGGAGAGGAGAGGAGAGAAGCTGCTGCTGCTGCTGCAACTAATCTCTTCAAGAAGTCGTGTAATTCAGTCAAAACTCTGCTGTATTAGCAGGTAATGACTGACTTTGTGTGTACCTGTCGTTTTTGTGCGAGGGCGCCTTGACTCTGTATATCTGTGTATTTATTTCCACCGTGCTCAGTTCCGCTCTGATTACCTGCTGCTTTAACGACACGCTGTCTCAGTTTGGGATCAATACAGTCCATCTGTCTGATCATCTCTCTGATTCAAACAGCTGATGAATGTTTGGAAATGATAAATGGAGGTAATCAGTGATAAACAGTCAAAGTGTCGCTCAAACTCAGACATGAACAAGCCTTCATACAAACATGCATCCACACGTAAACATAATCGTTAGACTCAGCCCGCACTGACACGTGCTGCACAGCATACGCCACACGCACTCACACTCGCACACATGCACGCACGTCAGCTGCTCCTCACCTCGATGACTCCGTGGTGGATGGAGGTGTACTGCTTCTTCCTGAGCATCACCAAGGTGATAACAATCACAGTCGCTATGACCACGCCGCCGACCATCAGCCCAATGATGGCGCCCTTGTTAGAGCCGACGTCTTCAGCGAAGAACACCTGAAGGACAGAGGAGAGAGGGGGTCAGGCGATCTGTCAAAGAGTGAGCTCTTCATGTCAGACACATTGAGGACTTTTCTCTCCTCTTCAATGACGGTGACGCCGATGAGTCATGCTCGTAATTTTAGTTCCAGCGCAGCAGGAGCAAAGGCTGACTGTGTACGGAAATGATGAAGCACGTCACTTCAAACCCTCCAGAGAGCTCAAGATCAGTCAAACTGTATTGAATAAAGGTGCAAATGTGAATTTATTACTCACAAAGTGGTCTTTTTAAGATTTTTTTTTTTGGGGGGGGATGGGATCTCAAAGTTTTCAGCCATAACAATGTGATGTCCCTACAGCAGTGGTTCTCAAGTCCAGTCCTGGAGGCCCACTGTCCTGCATGTTTTGAATGTTTCCCTGCTCCAACACACCTGATTCAAATGATCAGCTCGTTAGTAAGCCATTACAGAGCTTGATAACGATTTTGGCTCAATCGAAAAGAAATTGTATTCCGAATGAGAGGGGTGGTTTATGCCGATCGTTATTCTGAAACCCATCCATGTAAGCACTTCTTCCGATCGTGACTCTCTAACCTGACTCGATCTTCACTCTTTAGCCTTTGGTTTATTCATTGAGGTCAGTACAGGAGGTTTCATTGTTAACACTTTAGCATAAAACACAACCGCAGGTGCCGTGTCTGCTCCTCTGGTAACATAACAAGGCGTACATACAGCGTAATGATGTCACATCTGCACGCACAGTCCAACCTTTGACAGAACAGTAAAATAAGTAAGCAAGGGCGCCATCTAGTGGCAACATATAACGGGGAAAACTCCTGAATTGGATGAAGTGAGCCACTGCCGCGTTGGTTGGTTTGTTGATTTGATTTGTTGACAGCGCAAGTGTGAATACAACTCTTCTACGTTTTTCTCTTTTTTTTCTCTTTTTTTTTTGGGGGGGGGGGTAATCTAATCTGTATATGCACATCATGATCGGATTATGTGATTTTGCACCCATATGAACAGTGGATTCAGATTATTCGATTCCTCGAATTTCTAATCGGATCAAGAAATTTTGCCCATGTTAACACGGCTATGGACTCTGTACATGAGGATTGTGCCTGTTTTTTGGTATATTCTTTTAAAAACGGAGCTGTATTCCAAGAATTCAAGCACATTGAGAAAATAAGCGTCAAATCACTTTAATCACTGAGGCAGGTGAGGTTTCTTGCTTATCTTCAGTCATACTTTTCTAGAGCTCACTTTTTACCTCACATGAGATTCTTTTAGTCGTTTTAAAAATAGTGTCATCACAAAGACGAGTTTAGCTCAAAAACAGCTGCAGGGTTAAAAAGATGCTCTAAAGAAGAGGACACGGCGGTAACAAAGACTGAGGGGAAATATCCTGGAGGAGAGTTTCTTCCTGTAGTTGCGAGACGCTTTATAAAACCAGGAGTCAGACATGAAGTGATGCAGAGTGACTCAGCTGCACGGCAACAATGATGATTAAAAATATATATAATAAAAAACAAATAAGGGCTTAGAGTGGAGTCAGGGATTATGCAGGTTTGAAACAGAAATAAACAGAGGAAGATGATGTCTTGTGGAGGGAGGAAAACAACACTTTTGATAAGACGTAGTCAGCTGGGACGAACTTTAAAACACCTCTAAAGAGCGGATAATCGAACGAAAAACACATCTTGACATCTCCACACTTCGCCGCAGTGAGTGGGGACTTAATTTCAGCCTCCTCTAGATTAATCCTGTGGAACGCCGATTGGGGTTACGTTGAATATCGAATTAAGGAGGCGAGCTGAGGAGGACACGCCGACTGCTTATTGTGAACGTGAGAAATGTGATATGTAATAAAATGTACGGATTAAGAGATTAAAGGCGTTAGGTGAGAGGAATAAAGTACGTGGATTTGGATTTGACTGAGGGTGGATTGAGGGGTTTTTGTGCTGGAATTACAATTTGGCGTGAGATTAACGCATGAATGCGGAGCTGGGTTAGAGTCCTGTGGCGTTCGGAGCGGCTGATGAGGGACATATGTGCAGATATGACGGCAGGAAACCGTCAGGGGAGAGGGAGCTTCAGAGAGAGGCAGACAGGCGTGACGCATGCATTATTGTCGTCGTCTCTGGACACTTGTCTCCATGGTGACAACCTTGGGCGGACAAATGTGGAAGTATGGAGCTGACTGTATGTGTGAACTCAGGGTTGCGCATTCGTTTCTCTGTTTCTTCTTTTATTAACTGCACACATGCATAATTCAGCAGCTCCGCATATCTCCTCTTCGTGTCGGTGTGTGTTTGTTTACCAGTTTCTGGTGGTGAACTTCATACTCGGTGCTCTGTCGGTCTTCTGTCTCCATCCGCAGCTCGGGAATAGCTTCCATCTTCATTCCAGTCACTGGCAGGAGAAGGGGGGAAAAGTACAATCTATTATACATGGCGACACTCAAGACGCTTTCCCACCACCGAATCAAACTTGCTCGCTCAGGCAGGACTGACAGCTTAGCAGTAGTATGAAAAGAGTAAAGCCCAGACATAGAGGAGCATATACAGTTCGGTTCGTATAGGAAGAACTCCTAATAACATCCAGCGCCTCAGCACAGGTCAAGAGGAGCTGGTTTTGTGCTAATAAAGCCTGAGAGGAGGAAATACTGTCCTGATTTGACTTCCAGTCTGCTTCAAAAACACGTCTTGATGTATTTTAAGAGACGGCCTAACTTAACCCCGGCACATACTTTCTCTTCGACAGGAAGTGAGGAACAAAAGAAGATTTTCAACATCCATTTCATGAGACAGGTGCCAAGGAGGGAGCAGAGCTTGCGCTGTTACAGAGAGGCTTTAAAGCTTGTATTCATGTGTTTATTCACAGCGTTTCTGTGCTAGATCATCAGATTTTATTTCTAAAGCCATATCACAGCAGAAAAACACTCTGCTCACAGAGAACAGGCTTTTTTGTGGTGTCTGGTCTCTAAAAGTAGTACAGCAGGACATTTTAAGGCTTCTCTTGACGAGTCCAGGGGATGTCGAAGTAGATGATCAGACATTCGCATCTTTAAAGCCATCTGTAGATAAGAAAACTGTCCAAAACGAGCCCAATTTAAGGAAACTCAAAATGGTTAGCTAAGAGTGGCTACTGTTAGCAGAGTTAGCTGGAACAGAAACATGTGTATCACTCTGTTTAATCCCCTCTTCATTTAACAACAGTCTGAAGATGTTTGAGTCCCTCTCCTCTAAGAGTGGGGACTGTGGCGTCCACTGTTTTGTCTCAGTCCATCTTTAAAAGGCTCACGCTCAGAGAAGATGCTGGTGCCATGCGGCAATTTCCCCACAGAGTCACCTTCAGTACAGAGCTTTCTCCAGATTTGTTCAATCTTTTAGTGATATTAGGTATTGCAGATGACTAATACTGCGTTCCAGTTGTACTCAGAAGTCGGAAATTCATCTGGAATGCACCCCTGAAGTCGGATTTCCAACTCGGAAAATCCCGACTTGGCGACAACGTCATAATCCAAGATGGCAGCGCAGTGCATCAACAGCAAAGAGCAACAGTGAAAGCTCCAAATAAATGTTTTATTTATTAGCACTTCTGTTTTGTTTTTGTGAAATCAATTAAGTGGTATATATTGTACTGCCCAGCGTCTAATTGTGAACACGGTGCTATGATGTTAACAACTAACAACCGCGAATGGCAGCTGACAGTTGTTAACAACAGCTAAAAACGTCTAACAGTAGGCGTCCATCTTGGTTTTCCGACTTGTTTACTGGAACGACGTCAACTCGGGTGTAACGTCATTCCCAGCTCCAACATCCGACTTCTGAGGTAACTGGAACGCGGCATAAATCCTCAAATTCTTCGCTTTTTCATGCTAGGGAACATTATTCCAAAATTGTTGAACCATTTGTTCACGCAGTTTCTCACAAAGTGGTGATAATCTTTCAATCTTCTGAGAGACTCAGACTCTCTAAATGCTCTTTTAATGTCTCGTCATGTTACAAATCTGTTGCAGTTTTCAGTTTTAACATCTGATTTGTTTTCTTTGCACTATTTTTGAGAAAATAAATTAACAAACTTTTATGAATTTGGAGCTGTGTATAAATTTAAATACACGTATACATTTTAGTTGATTTAATGTAAGTCCTGTTTGGTTCTTTCTGTATTTTTGTGTCTTTTCTTCATTAAAACTCATTAAAGAAAAAACACAGATGGACCTTGTTAAGAAGTTATAATCCCCTCTTGCAGTATGGGGGCGTAATAATTAATTCACTTTGTTTAAGTCCATTTCCAACATATGCAGCCGGGGGCTTAAAGGGTCCACATTCTGCCTTACAACAATTCATAAACTGCATATTTACAGTAAAATAGTAGATTGGAATAAAATAAAAGCTTAAAAGACCCAATTAAAAGTTCAACATTCAGTCCACAACACTGCGGTCCGACTCTGGGGGGAAATATTTATGTTTGGAGTGAAAAAAACAGCATAAATAAATAAAGGGAGCCTTCATAATAAATACAACAAAGACTCATAAAATTCCAATGGGCTAACACTCCATCACTGTATACATAAAGAGTGCATACATTAAAGTTAATAGGTTTCTATTTATAGATGTTTGAATGATGGTTAAGACGGAGGCGTGAGAGTGTTTGCAGCGACAGAGCTAACAAAGGAATCCTTGTTACAGTTATATACAGCGCTGGCAGAGATGCACAGAGGCTAACAATGGACGTATTATGCACATATGCTAATATATGTTCTCATGTCAGCGACCGCCAGTAAATCAGATTATCTGGACTGTTAACAAATGAGAACAAACACGTGCTGGAAGGGTAACTTTTATGACAGGTCTGTGGGTTGGTAGTTACGGAAGCGTAGCGCCTTCACTTACAAAAAAACAAAATGGAGACTGTTTTTCTGACTTTTTGTTTTTCTTCTTTCTGTTTTTCTGACTATTTTTTTCTTCTGTTTTTTTGTACTAATATTTTTCCCCTCTTTCTGTTTTTCAGACAAATTTTTATTCTACTTTTAGTACTTTTTTTCCCGTCTTTCTATTTTTCGTACTATTTCTGTTTCCTGACTGAGCGAGATAATTCAAAATCCTGTGAAAATCTCATACAATCAGATAACATTAACCACCGCAGCTTCTCCAAATCAGCGGATTCTCCAGCTCCTAGATAACTTCAGCTACGGGGTCAATGAGAGTAAAGCATGTTATTAGTTAACCATAGGGTATGTAAATCCTGAGGTGCCTGTGCAAAGTAGACAAATTTATGACGATTACATCTATCTGACTTAAATGAAGGAGTATCTCCCAGTGTCTCAAATCCAAAAGAAAATAAAACTTGATTAAACTAAACAAGTGGGCCATGTTTGCGTCCAATAAATCGAGCAGAGGGGGATGAAAGCGTCAGTTTTTAAATGAGAGAAGAGGAAAAACAACTAGTCTGAAAAATAAAACAAAACAAAATAGTCTGAAAAACATAAAAATTAGACTGAAAAACAGGGGGGAAAATATTCAGACAAACATAGAAGAAAAAAAATTACTTTGAAAAACAGAAAAATAGAAAAAAAATTAGTACGAAGAACAGAACAGAAAAAAATATTACTCTGAAAAACAGAGCTTTTATAGAGGAATATATATATATAGAGGAATCTTGTAAATATTTGCATATACACATTAAACCCAGTAGAGATCTGGTTTTCATAATACTTCCAGATAACTTAAAGAGGAGCGTCACCAACCTGCTCGTGTGGGGATACCTCTGTCAAGATTGGGGCGAGAGTCAACAGGCTCAACTGAAGAAAAAGAGACAGAGAGAGAGGAATTTCACTTTATGCATTTTTCTTGCTTTTGACATTTTCTTTCATTTTGATCAGAGATGGGACTCAGGGAGCAGCTACAGAAACGTAGAGGTGAAGGAGCCAGCTCCCATCCCTGCAGCTAAAGTGTGGTAAAATGTAACTCCATACCCTGGTTGTCAGTGTTGGGCTGGTTGAAGCTCTCAGGGTGGATGAACCCGACTCCCCCGAAGCCCAACGTGTCCTCCTGGGGCAGCAGCTCGGTCTGGCCGTCTCCCAGCTCCTGATCGGGCATCAGGGCGTCGTTCCCGTAGCTCATCCTCACGTCTGTCTGCAGGTTGGCCAGCTGCTGGGCCATCTCCGCCTGCTCCCTCTGCAGGAGCTCTGAAGGGACACAATGAGGACAAATGGAGAATGATGTCTTTTTTTTTATCTAAAAAGACCTAAAAGTAGTATCTTCGGTTATAATCTTACATGGAAAATGTTTGCTGATGTGATAAATCAACTGAACAGTGGGGCCATCTTTTTACTACTTTATTTTTGCAACCAGCAGAGGCGCCCCCTACTGGTTATGGCAGAAAAAAGCAGGCTTAAATCTGTTTTGGTTTTCCTTTTCAGCCGCTCATGTCTGCCAGCTCAACTGTGTCTGAACCAGAGGAGACCCAGAAATGTTGTTTAGCTCAGCTCCTGAACAGACCTGACGCCTGACAGAGTGCTGACTGAACTGAGCCTTTTCTTCTATGAGTGAGAGTGTGCGTGTGTGTTTGTGTGTGTGTTTGGCCGGTCAGCACAGACTGTGACAGTCTCTGAGACAGAGACACAGATGGCCGTGTGACGCAGGCACCTCCAATGAACCCAAAAAAACACACAGAAACCTTGCAAACACTGGGAGGTGGAGAGGGAGGAGAGGAGAGGAAGGGAGGGGATTTATCTTCCAGCAAACGGTTTCATTTGACTCGGAACAGAAGAATTAGGCCAAACGGCTCCCAAGTCCTTATCTGTTCCAAAAAAAAAAAAAGACTGAAATTCGGAGTGTTCAATCTCTCAGTTACATGCAGCACAATGAGGACAGTTTGTCTTTCCTTGTATCTCTTGTGTCAGAGTCAGCAGGAGGGCCATGTCAGAATTACTGTCACAGAATGTGGTTCAAGTCAGATTTCCGCTCTTAACTCCCTCAGCTTTTATATATCCTCCAAATCTCTGTGATGCCACCCAATGTGAAGTTTTAAAATCCAACCACAGACTGTACTGAAGTCTGCTGAAAATTCGCTTGCTGTTATAAATGTGTTCATCTTAAACTATCCAGATTAATTTAGCCAGTTTCTAGAGTTATAGATCCACAGTGTTGTAAACAGCAGGTGGAGCATTCACGCAGTGTCAATGTAAGGCGCTGCATTGATCCTGCAGGAGCAGCGAAACCCAGTGCAAACGTACATACAATCTGTGGTATGTATATGTATATCTATAACGTATCAACACCTTCAGGGCTTTTGGTGCCAGCCTCAAGTGGCCACTCAAGGAACTGCAGTTATTATCACTGCAGCAATAATGCTTATTATTAATAAATGGCCGAGTCTGTCTTTGTCGACGCGTCCCTTACTGGTGGGATAATATTTTCATTTTTGAAAGGAAAGCTGTTTTCAGGTTGCACAGTGATAAAGAAGTTCATTTAAGCTTGAAAGATTCCTGACTGTAAAATGGCGAATGCAGAAATCGGACATAGGAAAACCTGGGCGTCAGTATTAAACTGAGACTACTTTATAACTATATAAAGCCGCCTCACAGCACTAGATAAATGAGAGGTTTCAGAGTCTTAGAGTCCCACTTCAATCATCTTTTTTTCTACTTTTAGTGTTCTCAGTGGGCTTTAAATTGTGATTATGAAGTTTTTAGCCAAAATCACGTTACCTGTGTCATTTTCAAGGGCTTTTTTTCTGCAGTTCGCCTCTGAGTCGTGGGCGGAGACAGCGCTGCTTTGCACACTTCTCTTCGCGTTAGCTTGTAGCCTAACATTGCCGGTGTAGCAGAAGTGGCAGGGAACATAGGAGCTATACAGCCCTCAGACACGAATGTCTTTAGGGGCATGATGAAAACTTGCATTAATAGCTTTCTTACGAGTATTGCAATCCACTAATGCTCACTCTTGTTCTGCGATTGGATTTGCTACGTAGGAAATCTCACTGAATCTGATTCTGCCGTTTGGGAGATTCACAGCGATTTGAATGCAGAAATACTCAGAAGTGCCATTTCACATTTAGTTTTCTCATGATATGCCCCGTAGCATCAGAAAAACGCCATATGAACATGTAGACAACAAGAAAAGCATGATTTTTATCAGAGTGGGTCTCTCAATGTCACAAAGACAAACTCACCGACTTGGTCCTGGATGTCGTCGGCCACACCGGGCACCTTGTAAAGAAGCCCCAGAGACTGGTTCATACGCTCCTCAATTACACGAAGGTGGGTAAGCACCTTTTACACACACACACAAGCACAGAAGAATTCATGATTCATTCATGATGTATTTTGATATTCTCTGAGTTTACGCCTGCGCTTGTGAGTGTTTCTACCTGAGGTCTGATCTGTGCAGCCTTCTTGGGATCCACCATGCGGACATGCTCAAAGTGTTTGAGGGTGTGCTGCCTGTCCTTCTGCTCGGCACGCACGTATTTCTTCAGCAGGGTAAAGACGTGGCGAGGCTGCAGAGGACAGACAGAGAGAGAGAGGAGAAGACAGATGGTTCAGAGCAGAGGAAGGACAGATTTATTTAGATACAGCCTGGATCGTAAACAAAAGAAACTTGTAAAAATACGATGTTGATCCAAATCCCAAAATCAATCACTGGAGAGAGTTCAGGGAAAATATTCTGCTGATTGCAATCAGAGCATTAGCTGATTTTACACAGCTTACGTTGCATAAAGAGCTGCTTTTATTTGACTGTTTTTAAGGACAAAAGAATCACACAAAGGATCAACAAAACAGATTATAAACATGAGAGATAAACACGGTAAAATCTCTACTAGAAATGGTTTGAGTGTTTTAGTATTCCAGCATTTGCGACGTATTTTCAAAGGCTTTAAATCCCTGCAGTTTGTCTAACATGAGCTTTAAGGTTACGTAAGTCAACAATCATAGTGAGCCATGAGAAAATTAAAACTGTGATGTGAGTTATGGGTGTTTAAAAAAAACGATAAAATCCAAAATATATCTAAAAGTATAACTCTAACCAAGTCGTGACCTGTATGCACGGCATCGACTTTGCCAACACTTTGAGGAAAAGTCTCATAACTGATCAAAAACAAGTATATAAATCGATCAACACATTAATTCAAAGACTCTAACAGCTGACTGCGGTCTATGTGGGTCTAAAGGACGTCCTCAGGTTGGCGTGTTGGGACCAGTCTTGCTTTTGTACGTCCTGTATGAAACAGAGAAATCAACCAAACTGGGACTCCTGGAAAGACAAACTGCTGTTGCATTAACCAGAAAATAAGACGTCGGTGAATGGTTATAATAAATCTTAAAAAAACTAAAGAACATATTGGCCACGACTGGAAACAGATGTTTGTTTCCAAGTTGTCGCAGGATTTCAGTGAGTAAGAGACTGCTGATCAGCGTCCCTGATACAGCACCAAGTTGAAATTTGGATCCAGATCTGCGTCTGCTGTTTAAGAAAATGAATACATTTCCTTAAGACTACAACCAACAGGGCTGAGTTCTGTTTTCTGCTCTCTGCTGTTTGTGCTGTTTATGATATGTGATTGGTCAAACACAAACAAGAACAAGTCTTGAGTTTTAATCGACCGCTGAGTGCAGAGATTAAAAACAGAGGCCTACACTTCCTGTAATAACCATAAAAACGTATATTTCAGACCTGACCTGAACTATCCTGTTTTAAAGGGTTGAAGGAGTCACCTCGAGTTTGCGGGACACAAACCACAGAGGAAAGTGACTCTGAAAGAGATTCAAACACACCCTGGGTGGGTCCTGCTGCAGTGCGGTCAGGTAGCTCTCCAGAGCCAGGCGGCGGCGGTCGTTGAGCAAAGCTTCCACTCGGGCCATGTGCGTCTCCACCAGCTGCTGCCGCTCGCTGGCTGCCTCCTGCTCCAAAGCCTCCACCTTCTCCTGGAAACGCTGCACACACACACACACGGAAACCCGTTTAAAAACACCACAACACTCAAGGAAACTGGTGCATTTCCAGTTTTATGTGTGCATGTTTTACCTGGATCACAGCCTTCTTGTCGGCACGTGGGAGACTCTTCGCTTCCCTCTCGGCCTCCTCCCACTCTCTCATCACCTGAGCATAAGAAAAAAAGGAGGCAAACAATGATTAAACCTGCCAATCTTCTTTATCTTCGCGAAGGTTCAATCACAGGTTGATTTTACACTCGAGTGAAACATCTCGTTACTCTTTGTGGCGTGGATCTGATCTTTTCACGGCTGCCTGAATGGAAGAAAATCTGACACACTGTGAGAAGATGAAATCACGGCAGCAGAGGAGAGAAATCAGATGTTTCCAGTTTGTGTGAGCAGCTCTGTGAGATTCAGAGCGATGCTGAGGGAGGTTCTGCTTTAAGAGTGATAAAGAGACAAAAATCCAAAACAAACTCTCTCTGTTCCCTCATTGTTCGGTTACATCTTGTAAAGATGACTGTGCGTCCTATTTAAGTTTGTCCTCTCTGACTCACTGTGTGGATTCTCTAATTCAGCTCGAGTCTGACTGAACAGTACGTGTGAGGCTGAAGTCAGCTGTGTGAAACCAGACGATACTGCGCCTATAGAAACCCACGCACAAACCCAAACATGGCTGTATGAAGCGGCTCATAAACCAGCTAAAAAAAAAAAAAAAAAAAAAAAGCTCTACAAGGATTTTTGTGTTCTTATCTGCAAGCCTTGAAAACTGTGAAAACTGTGCTGTGGACCATCTGGCTCTCTTCTGAAGAGCGAGCTGTTTGATTAAAGAATACAATTAAAGTCGAATCGGCTCGGCTGCCTCACCCGAGGGGGATTAACAACCTGCCGCACCTATTGGTTTTACTTCATACACCTTTTCTGCCTCCATTTTAGACTCTTAGAAATATCCCCGTCCTTTCTCCTGCTACGAAACATTCCTCAAGCTCGCTCACGCTCAAACATGTATGATCATTTTTTCAGGCTGTGACTTTAAGATGAACTATCTTCAACTGGTTCATTTTAACATTTTAGACCCTAACAGAGCAAAAAGGTTGGAATCCATTCAGCCAATAGCAGTCAAAAAAGCGGCACTGCTGCATCTTCAAACAACAACCACTCCTGATGAAAGTGCATCCTTGAAAAGAGCTTGTTTTTGACATTGAACCCAATAAAAGAGAGGACTTAGTAAAGAAGGAGTTTTTGGCGGTGTTAAATGCTTTTTTAAACCAGAAAGAGAGGTTACACTGAGCTTTCAAAACCAACTCGAGTCCAAGGTTAAAAGCTACATTTCTAGGGCCTGTGTCCACTGACAGCAGTGACCATTTTCTACAAAAGCATTTTTAGCACCTACAGACATTCGGCTTCAGCTGTCTCATCCCACAGCACTCTCAGATGAAAATAGTTTAACCTTTGGAGCACTATTGGAATTTTCAGAAAAATAAAATAAAAAAGGGGTGGGGCTTCTGAAGCAGGGGTCCATACAATGTTATTGTTTTCATCCTGTTTTGATTACCTGGGACATCCTCTCCCTGTGCTTTGCCTCCAGGCTCTCTTTAGCCTTCTGGAAGTGGGCATGTTCGTTTTCGTCGGCAGGCGTCTCCAGGTAGTGGTCGACGGCGTCAGGGGAGCTGGGTGTGGCTGTGGGAACTGCATAAACAGGAGGCAGAGAAAGAACAGAGGGACTCTCAGTGACGCATCTCTTAATTGCTTCATATTTTATTTGGTACTGGCTTTATTTCCTCGGCACACAAAGACAAAACACACAGAGTCTGGATTGGGTTAATAGGGTTAGGGGGAAAACCAGGAGGGAAAGAAAACAGGATAGGAGCTGGAGACCAACACCCTCGAAAAACAAACAAGTGAATGCCTCAGATGACCCAGAGTCTTTTGTTAAAGAAGGATAAAAACCCGTCTTTCATTTATATAACTTTATTCAGCTGTCTGATTTTTTCCTGTGGGATTAAAAAAAAGCACAGACTCAACTCTAGACTCGCAGTATAAAATATAATTGCACCACACACAGCGTGAAACTTGAATTTAATCAGAGGAAAGTTGATTATCTTTCTGGAGTGTGCTTCAAAAGTGGCCGGCTTGTGTGTGAGCGAGAGTGTGTGCATGCGTGAAGGTCGCTCGTCATGTGAAATCGGTTATGTCTGACGGCGGCGCATGACTGCACAGGACTCAAAAACAACTCAGGTGTTTTTCACTCTGACCCGAGACCGATGTTTTTGTTAGCCTCATTTAAAGGTTCACTAAACACCGTAATATTAAAAGGTTTTCTGTTGACAGATTTGGTTTGCTTTACAGACCATTTCAGGTGTCTGAGTGCTTCAGTTAATTTTAGGCAAATTGAAATCAGATTGCAGCGCTCGCCGCATCGAAAAATTCCATTTAAAGTTTTGATTGTAACATCTGTTTTTGCAACAAGATCAATCCGATTGAGCTCAAAAACAGAGTGAAGTTTACTTTTCAGACCTCCACAGGAAAGATATTTATCGAGCTGCATTACATGTCAACTGAGCAAAGTGTTAGTTCAGGTAGGCCACAAAGTCTTGGACATCACCAGTCAGTCTGTTATCTTCTTTCCACCCAAATTGGCAAAGTCAAAACAGATTTCCTCCGTTATGTGCTGCATCTGTTATAGAGCTGGGCGATATGGCCTCAAATCGAAATTGGGATATATTGAGCAGTTCACCACGATAACGATAAAAGGACGATAACTACTCCACAAAATGCTCACCCCCCTCCCACATTAACTTTGTCTACTTCAGCTGCTACAACTTTTGAACTGTCCTCCATCTCCTCACCCATCTTTCCCTCTTTGTTACGGACATCTACGACATAGGACAGCGTCTTGAAGGGACATGACCTACCTACACACATCCAAAACCAGCTTTATTATTTATTTATTTTTTGACACTTAATATTAGGGCCCGACCAATACGGATTATTTGGGTCCGATGCCGATACGGATTATTAGGGGGGGGGAAATCTGATTACCGATTAACTGGCCGATATTTAAAATTCTTGTATACTATATACTATAGGTATACTGTAGGCTACTGGTCTTCACGCTGACAGGAAGACCAGCTGATCAAACTCGGACCAGAAAAGCGTTTTCAAGGGAGTGGAGAAAAGGCGTGGAGTGGGTTTAACACAGTCGAGACCTGTTTTCACCAATCAGATCAGTTCCTCTTCTCACCTTTAAATCCGCCACCGTGAGGCATATTACAATTTTCGTGAAGTAGTCAAAGAGATCAAGAGATGGCTGAAGACACCTCCCCCTACTGCGCCACCACGCCCAGCTTGGCGGACCTCCGTGCGCCTCAGTCCAAGAAAATACCAAACGGCTGTGCGCCGGGCTCTGCCAGACGAAAATACCACTGCGCGGGGTCCGCCACCCTCCACCGCACCACCAGCGGGCAAGAATATAGAGCCCATTAAATTAATTTTAGACCGTGCAAAAATAACAGACAACTATGGGGTATTAGAGGAATGTTAAGATTTTTACACCTGGTAAAACCTTTATACCAATATCTGATTGATTCATCGAAGACACAAAATGTTTTGACTTGTCAAGACCATGACTGCAGAGGGCAAAAATGGCTAAAATTCAACTTAAACCAAAAGGCATCTTCATCTGAAATAGATGCTAAAACAACACTCAGCCCAGTTTTGATCCATAAACTCACACATTTATGCTCTTCAGATGGTATTTGTGATGATTTTATTTCACTTTAACGTTGGACGGGGGTAAATACTTGATTCTGATTGGTCAAAATCACATGACTAAATGATCAGCTGGGTTGTTAATGTTTGTAAATTAACATATGTAACCACAGTATGTGTCCGTGGGTTTCTGTATTAGAGTCAGGGTAAAAAATAAAATCACTGCAGCCTTTCTCACCTTCATAATCCTCAGCGGAGCAAAACTGCATCACTTAAACACACATCCACTCGCACTTTCACACCTAAACACACACGCTTGTGCACACACCATGGATAAAATTAGATCAAAGTATAGGGAGATGGCGATAGCATGACTCCATTTTCCTGCAGGGCGGCTTACGGCTGACACACACAAACACACATACACACACACACACATCGAGCAAGGTCAGTGAACCTTACACAACGCTGAAATCAGCATCAGAGCCAAACGCTTACACCGCCTTCCACTCTTCATCCACAAACACTTACACACACAGAGTCACCTGGAGATGAGGAAATAACCGATCTTTGTGAATGAACGATCACGTCGAGCTCAGGAGAAAGAGGCGAGGAATAAATAACGGTTCCTTTAGAGGCTGTGTAATTAGAAAATTTTAATGGCCAAACAGAATAACTGGGTGTAAAAATCATTGAGCTATCCTCCTCATTTCCACTGCTTCCACTTCTAATCAATCATAACAACGTGGTCGAGCAGGCAGGTGTGCTGCGAGGACGTGTAATAATGCACTGATGAGTTTTTCTCGCCGCTGCCTACATGTTTAAAAACTGCCGCAGCATAATTTATTCTTATTTCAGCGAATGTGGCGAGTTAACCACAGTGTAAGCAACACGTCAGGGATGTCGAGGGATAATGTGCAGCGAGGTGAGGATTATTGTGAAGTAATTCCTGCCTGGATGATTTCACGGCTCGGATTCATGTTAAAGGAGTATATAAGGCGATGTCCGTGAAACAGCTGCAATAATACAAATCGAAGCAGTTTGCACATATCCCCCCGTAGGGAAACAACGGTGTAACCATGGCAACTTCCAAGAAAAACCTGGAGAATCTTGTTCATGATCCGGAGCAAATTGTGCATGAAAATAAAGCCGCTGTATCTAAAAGATCCAGGGAGGTTTTAACGTTTTGTCTCACTGCTTAATTTTAATAGAAATTCAACTTGAATCTGATATTCAGACAAACATAACCAGATATTCTACTCCCTGAGGAAACATAATGGCCACGCTGTATTACGGGATTTACTTTTATTGCTGTGTCTCGCACAGAAAATGCTGCATCTCCCCTCCATCTACCATCTCCCACCAACAAGCAGACGGGGAGTACAGACGGTCAGGTTTTGAGAATCCACCAGGGATGACAGGAGAGGTAGAGTTTGTGTTCAATGCAAACACATTTATTTGTCTGACAGACAGACACACACACACACACACAGACGGTGAGGGATAAAGTAAAGGTTAGTCAGAAACGGAGCTGACAGGGAGGCTGGAGGAGAAGCACACCAAGCGAGGAACGTTTGAGTGGCGGTTAATATCAGACGGCTCAGGTAGAAAAAAGGGACTCCTTGAAAACACAGCATTTCATGGTACCTTAAAGAGATGGTTTCAACACTTTAACAGATAAGATAACAAACTGTTATCTAAATAAAAGACATTCACTGAGCCTCTTTTTATCTTAGACACAAGACTAAACCTCAGGCCTCATTTAAATTAAATTTAACTGACTAAAGAGAGAAATCTTGATCCATACCATAACTCTAATTTTGCTTTTCTGCTGTCGTTCGCTCAATATGATTATAATATTTAGTCATGGAATCAGATTGAATCAAAACAGACTTCGTTTGTAACCAATATAATACAAGATGAGTCATAATTTAAAGGAGATTATCCTCCAGATTATGATGATGGTAGTTAAATTACATGACCCTAGTTTAGTTTGCCACTCAGTCAGATGGTGTGGCGCTGTGTAATGCAAGTTTAAGGATGAAAACAGAGATGTACACCTCTATTCATGGTTTCTTGAGTTTTGACCAACATCTGGGATCGACTGTTTACAGTTGAAGGTTTTTTGAACGTAATTCTGAGCCCATGCGTTGACTCACACTACAGAGCCGTGTCTATTTTTAATGCAGCGAAGTCAGTGTTGCCAGATTGGGCTACTTTCGTTTACATCAGGCGGGGAAAAATACCTTGGACGGGTGAATAAAATTTGGGCTGCTTTTGTCCACGTTTGGCGAGTTTTTTAATATTGTGAAATCAGCTCTCTTTTTCTTTTAAATAAATAGTTAAATAAATACACTGACAGTTGTTGGTGAGGTTTGATTCTTGCATGTATCAGCCAGCCGACCTGGCCTCCAGTGACTGTAAAAAGTTTTTTGTTCTCAATATTGTTCCAGTTAATGGAAAGACGCTGATTCTGCGTTAAAGTTAAGATGATTTTTTATGTCACCTTATCTTATTTGCACTGTGACTGATTTGTAGCCCACTTTTAGCATTTGCTGGTTTATTTTAAAACTAGTTTTTCGTGGTTGTGTGTTTGAAATCTCAATGTAAAGCTGCTGTACGGCCAGGTCATGTGCGTCTTTCAGCACCACAGGTGTGCAAAGCCAGGAGGGGAAAAGAGAGGCAGGAAGAGGCGCTTTGTGCATTTTTGTTTGTTTTAAATTGTTTTGCAAGTAGTCCTCATATGGGTCATTTACTGCGCTCTTGTTGGTTGCAATTAAAACCTACTTATCATTTATGTGTGGTTATTTGAAGCTCTGGTTACTTACGAGCATTTTCTATTGCATGTGTTATGATTTTACAGGTTTACATGGGTGTCTGGCAACTTCGTGGTTTGGGCTGGTTCTAAGATGTGACTGGGCTGTAAACTGTCAATCTGATCTGGCAACACTGAGCGCAGAATACACACTGTGAGAAAGTGTGTATTCTTTGTCTTCTCCCTATGTGTGGTACTTCCACTTGCATATTTTTGATACATGAAGTTTGATTAACTCTGTTTTTAATCTTCATATTGCACCAGATATGGTCAACGAAGGGCGTCATTTTTGTAATGTTTTTGTTATCTCACATTCAGGCACCAAAACCTCCTGTTAAGTGTTTATCTGAAGCTAAAACAGCATCCACCTGTTTGAAATCCTGTGTTTGAAAGGAGTCCAGAGTTAAGAGTGAGGGTTACACACAAACCAGAGGTGGACAACAGTTTTGCAACCAAGCCAAGTGAGCTGCTGGTTGCGGTTCAGCTGCTGTCTGCGGGACTTACTGACGCTGCTGCACACTGACAGGCAGTACTCCTCTGAGTCAAAGTTATTCCTGTTGCCCCCGCAGCCGCCGTAGATAAACTGAGCACAGCGGCCCTCCTGGCGGTCAAAGTACCAGCGGGGCAGCATGGCCCGGCATGGACCAGTCTCTGCGTTGGCCCAGCACACATCTTGGAGGACACACACACACATACACACACTTTATCATCAATCTAAAAGCAGAATGGGGTGAAAAAAGCTCATCTTAAGCTCATATTAAATCCAAATTTAGAGCTATGTTTTAAAGCTCCAGTGGGTAACTTGGGGACAAAGGATACCTGATTAGATTACATTACTCATCCGATACGCTGGTGGTCTGGTTTTGAGGTTGAAGTCCCTAAATGAATCTGTTTCATATGGTTCTAAAAACCTATCACAGGAGATTTAATATCAAACATCCCCTCACAGGAGCAACCCTGTAAAGATTTGAGCACCACTAACACTACTTGATCTGTTTTTAGGAGCAATTTTACACAAGAAGGAAGAACCCAAACTGGAACAGCCAATCCTGGTTGTAATGGAACGTGGCTAATGAAAGCTCAGAGATGATAAATGAGCTCAATAAGGAAAATGACAGCAGGAAATTAATGCACACGGAACATGATGTCCGATTGTGTTCAGCAAAGCAGGAAAAATTGGAGGGAAAACATGTTTTTTTTTCATGTTGCATCACTGAGCATGTGCGGCATTTGTCTTAATGTAAGGGAATCTGACAGATGATTAACATTTTCTGAGTTTGAGTGTTTTCAAGGCTTTTCAAGGACCTCAAGGCACCCTGGTGAGTTGTCAAAATTGTGTGTGAAAGAAGACAGGAAGCAGAAGTTGAAGTTAAAAGTGTTCCTCACCCCTGACAACCTCCTCCACTGACTCAGTGGTGGTGGTCGTTGTCGTCGTCATAGCAACATTTGTGGTCGGCTCATCAGCGTCATCGTCCAGAAGGTCCACGACATCTCCCTCCTCTTCGTCCTCCTCGTCCTCCTCCTCCACCACCTCCTCGTCCTCCTCGCCGTCTCCGTCACGGTCGCTGTCCAGCACGTCTTCTTCTTCGTCCTCTTCCTCCTCGTCTTCCTCAACCGGCACAACCTCCTCCTCCTCCTCCTCCTCTTCCTCCTCCTGGTTGTCCTCCTCTACCACAGATGGCCTGGCTTCCTCTTGCTGCTCTGCTGGCTCGGGCTCCCGGACCATGCTGGGAGAGGAAAAAAGGGACGGAGGGGGAAAGGAAGGAGAGGGGGATGAAGGTAAAGGAGGGATGGGGTTAAGACATATGGAGAAGAGAAATTGGGGGAGGGGATGAGGAAGTGACGAGGATAGATGGCGAGGAAAAAAGGACAGAGATTTTAAATTATAACCGAGCCGCAGTTTGCTTCTAAGGAGAGAAATTTTATCCTTGCGGCGATGTTGGAAATGAAAGTGGAGGATCATCTGAGTGCTGATGTATTACTCCGCTACAGCCCTGCCCTCATTTATCCTCGAGTGAGTGTGCGCGTGTGCGCGTGCGTACCTGTTGTCAGAGTAGTCGGTCTCCGCTCCGCCCCACCAGACGTCGGAGTCATCAGCGTCCTGCTCGGCGCTGTCGGCATCGCGCTCGGCCTCGGCGGGACAGCACACAAACTCCACTCCTCGGAAACGGTCGATACCGCACGGCAACAGCATCCCGTAGTCGTGGAGATTCATGGTGCGGTCTCCACAGGACTAAACAGACAGGGACGGATGAATACATCAGCAGACGCTCCTCTCCTACTTGTTATTTATCACCGTTTACAGAAGTCTAGAATCAGCCAGAGTGAAAATCTCTGTGTTGTTTTCAGAGATTGAGATCACGGCACTCGCTTGCAGACTTTTGAGCAGCCAGTAGCTTTTTACACAACAGGAAGCCTTGACCAGAAGCTTATTTTGTTTGTGTCAATATCGTACCTCTTTGGCGACGGTGTGCCAGTGCAGGTGGCTCTCGCACTGGTCCATGCGCTCTTGGTGCAGGAACTTGCACTTGTCTGGAACAAGCAGGGCGTCGCTCACGAATTCTCCCACTGCAGTAGAAAATAAACATCCATGTTTACTCAAAGAAAGCTAAACCCACACACAAATGAATGCTGCTTTCTAGGGAAGAAGTGGAGGCATGTCTGACACTCACCCAGACAGCGGTAGGGCACCACGATGTGCATGTGGCTGCGACACTGCTTGCGGCCTTTCTTGCACCAGTTCTGGATGCTGACTGGCTGGTTGGCCTCTACTACATTGGTGATCTGGAGCTCTGGGTACACCTACAGACACAGAGTTCAGGGTTATAGAGGCTATCTTAGCCCCCCAAAGCAGAAAGAGAGTGGCTTCAAGCTGCAGAAAGCCTTTTAGCAGCAGTTCAACAAAAGGTAACATAAAGCTTTCTCTTTGTCCAACATGCATTTGTACTTGTTCCCAGCTATTTTTGACCGATTTCTACTCCTACTGAGTCCATTTCTCAAAGTGTTTTCACCCATGCAGCTTCCTCTTGAGCTGTCGTCGTGGTAAATAGCCAATGCTCAGCACTTCCACTGCGTCTTTCTCGTCTTCTGACCTCTAAGAGCACTCTAGATACACGCCGTTAACCCGTTAACACACAAATTCACACACTGATGGCTGAAGCTTATCAAGTTCTAACTTTAATGCACATTCACACCAACGCCTCCTGGAGCAATTTTAGGTTTTGTGTTTAGCCCAAGGACATACAGACAGGCAGAGTCGAGGAATCAGAGAACAAACCGTGGATTTGTCTCTGAGTGGGTGACCTGTTTTACCTCGTGAGCCTCTGCTGCAGGTCGTTTCTCCCCTTTTACAAAATTATACAGCAGCTGATAGCTCTTTCTTTATACATCTCATTTGTGCTATTTCAGGGTAATGTCCATCAGCGCTTTTTTTTTTTTTTTTTGCAATATGAAAGTGTTTACAGCTGCACAGTGTCAGACAATTTGGCTGCATCTGGTTGGTTTCGCAGTAGAATATCCATGAAGGTAAAAATGTACTCATGCTGACCTTGATTTAAATAGAGGAATGGCTGAAGCACCAAACAGGGAGCAGACCAGCACTGTGAATTTAGGACTAGACGAGAACTAAAAAGATGCCTGAAGTTAAATTGAACCCAGAGTTCTGCAGTGGACTCAACTTTAGACTAGGGCTGGGCGATAAAACGAAAATTTACCGATACCAAAATTTACGACAATAACCAACGTCATTTTGCCCATATCAGTATATTCTAGGGGTGGGAATCTTCAGGCACATCACGATTCGATTACGATTACGATTACGATTACGATTCAGGGGCTACGATTCGATTCTGAAACGATTATCCCCCCCCCAGCTATTACACATTTCTTTTTGTCTCACTGTGTAACCATTCACCACTTTGTGTTTTTAAAATATTAATAATGAGAAACAATTAAATGAATTAATTTCCACTATCTTTTATTATACTTGTGGAAATGTGTAAACAGGAAAGTTACAACTTCATGTAAAGAACAAAAGGTAGCAGCATCCTTGGCTTTTACGGACGTAAATCCTTGGCAATAAATGTAGCGATGGACTTCGTGATTCGTTTCGCCTTTTCCGATGAGGGGGGAAGCTTTGTAATTGCTTGCTCGATTGTTCTCTGTTTGGTGGAGGCAGCCGTAGCCTCGACAGCAGCCGGGCATCTTCCCTCCTCGTTCGGGTGAAAACGAGTGATGTGGCTCCTCATGTTCGTGGTGTTACCAAAGTATTTTATCTTGGAGTGACACAGTTTACATATAGTGTGGCTCTTGTCCAGTTCAAGTCCACCCTCAACTCTGTAGAAGCCAAAATTCTTCCATACATTAGCTTTTAATCCGGAAGGGGCAGGGTGGATCTCGCGCTCAGCCATGCTTCTTTGTTATGTGCTCCCCTTAAAGTGTCCGCCGGGTGACAACGCGCTGCACGAGTTCCGCCTTTTCGTTCCGCCTATTTCACGTTATTTAACATCTAAATAATCGGAATTTGGACGTTTGTGAATCGATTCAGAATCGTCCTTGCCTGAATCGAGATGCATCTAAGAATCGATATTTTCCCCCACCACTAGTATATTCGGTGTCAAAATAATGAATAATTAAATGAAAGTTATATTTGGATGTGTGTAGGTAGGCTATGGTCTCATGTCTCTTTAAGACACTGTCCTACTTCAGAGACGTGACTCCACCCCATCCAGTCCGTAACAAAGAGAGAAAGACAGGTGAGGAGATTGTTAGGGTGATTTTCTTTAGCCGGTCATGTCAGCCTTTAGGGTGGCGGAGCTGTGTCGCTCAAATACCTCAGATACTTTGGTGCTAGATTTCTAGAGCCATGGGCCTCCGACAAATATCCTCAACAAGGACCTTGTACCCATGTTTTACATCACTCGGGCTCCCAAAATATGTTGTGCTTTGTTATCACCCTACATTGACTCTCCTTCAGCTCAACAAGATGCAAGCGGAATGTTTGGAAACGTGGACGACCATATATTCTTGAACGGTCTCATGCCAATCTGTGGTACACTTGTGGCATAATGAAGCTGTAACCCAAATCTGCAATCGGTAAAGCTCGTCAAAATGATCATCCGTGTGGACCCTCCATTTTTTTAAAGTGTGAACATGGGCGAGGCATGCTTACAGAGACGGAGAACGGTTCAAAAAGTTGTAGGAGCTGGAGCGGCGGCTGAAGTAGACGAAGTCCATTTATCGTTATCGAGGTGACCTCAACATATCGAGATATTGATTTGAGGCCATATCGCCTAGCCCTTCTTTAGACATATTTTCATATAGATGAGCTACCAGCAGAGTTATCTGCTTCCTTAGGTGTTGTTCAAACTTTGAAACAGTTAGCCAAATTAAAAAGCATCCTGACATAAACATTTCCATAGGCTGAGCTGGACCACAGTATTGGCATCCATTGCAAAAGCTCATATTTATTAGAGGCCTACAGTCTTCTTATGGAATAAAAGCTCTTTTTTTTCTTCAAACACATCTCTTTCTCCTGTTTTACTTAGAAGTGTAAAAAAAAGAGCAGTTTGCGACGTGCTGTTTTCTCTTTTTCTGATGCTGACCCAATGTCAATCTCCTCGCTGATGGTCTTGTTTACTTGCGTCGCTCACATAAAGACACGAGTATTACCTCCAGTCTGCCTCAAACCTCCTCACAGCGGCTTTAATTATCATTCTCTGCTCCCTCACTTTGAGAATTGCGAGAAGTTGTTTTCCAGGATTTCTTGATCTTTATATTTTTGCAGCCGTTCCTGATTCTGTTTTTTTTTGCTCGGCACATCTCGTCGTGTTTACCTCGATGTTCCTCTCAGCCATGCATGACATCTGCCTCTGCATAATATTTCCCAGCCGTCGTGTCATCTCCCTCCAGATCCATCTCCTCTCATTCTTTTTCATGACACCTCCTCTGTTTTTCTCTGCCTTCATGCGTCTCCGGATGCAGATAATAATTCCATAACCTTTCCTGGTTCGCTTGTCTGCGTCAGACTTGAGAAGTTGCTCCTTCAAATCAGCTTTGTGTTCAGAAAAATCTCCATACCTCTGTTTTTTCTTTTTGATATTCAAGTTCTAAATGTTTTAAATCGTAAGCTGAGGCGGGCTGTTTGTTATCAGAAGGTTTCTAACAACGGAAAGATAAACTTATCTCTCTTTCAGTCTGTCTTACAGGCTTTTCATAGAAATCTCATTATGCATCACCTCCTCTTATCAGACAGCTCGTCTTTGCACAGCGCACTTACGCGGTGATAGCCTACAGTGCACTGCTGGAATATTCCCCAAAGTAACACGCTCTTATGTTTGGAGGAGACTGCAGCAGCTGGAGGGGAAAAAAAACACAAGAGTCACATGACGGAGTGGCTCGCTGTGTTGTTGTTCTGCATGTGGGTCGGTTAGCTTTACCCTCGCTAATTAAAAGCCAAGCAGAGCCCTCAAGTGAAGTCACATGGACTTAAGCAGCTTGTTGGCATCATGTCATCCTGCCAAATTGGGGATTTTGGTGAACAAAAACAAATCTGTTGCAGACTAACCCACTCACTTTTCTGTGCTCTTATTTCCTCCAAACAAACACCTCAGCCTTATGATGCACGGTGCAGATTTTTGGTCATATCTGAGTGCATCTTTTGCCACCTCCTACATCCACAAAAAAAGAAAAACACTCTCGATATTTCTTCTTCTCAGCTCCCTCTAAGTTTTTACAACAGAGTCCCTGCGCTGCTACCTGCTCAATCATCGTAATTTGCTCTTTTAGAGCCGCTTTAATGGCTCCACTGTAAATTACCCAACCACCAAAAATTCCAACTAAAATGTCGCAACCATAAAGATTTATCATCCAGACTTATTGCTCACTCAAAACAAAATAAACACAGGGTAATTACAGTTTAAGTATTCCATATATCATCCCGTACATGGCCAAATGGGAGCCATTTTTGAGGCTTGGCAGGTTCTGAAAGTGATGATTACAAATAGCTGATGAGAAAATGACCTCCCCAGCTACTTAAATTATTACTTTGCTGCACAAACCTGATGTTTTATAACTATATAACCTGCTTTTTTTCCGCTTCTCTAATTAGGCTTTACTGTGTAAAATCTTTGTAAATCATTTACAGCTTGTAATTAATTAAAAACAAAGCAAAGACAACATATCATATGCTGGAACTGACAAGTTTTATTGCTTTATGAGAGAGACAAGCTCACTTTAGATTAGATACCAGCAACACATTTCCAGGAAAAGGGAAGAGAGGGGTGTAATGACAGCTGGGCAGCATCGCCTGTACAACACTCTCGAAACCCAGGAGTAGGGGTGGGCGATATGGGCAAAAAAATTATCACAATAAGATTTGCCATTCTGGCTATAACGATAAAAGTCCCAATAAAAAATATAATTCCATTCTATATTTTTGACTTGTCGAATAATATACTTAACTACAAGTTTGAGTGGTAGGTTATGAAGAAAACTAATGACATCAAACAAGTCTCAAATGTGAAAACATTTTCAACTCTTATTGAACAGCAGTAGATCCACTGTCTGATGTCAGGCATACATGATAGCGCTCATCTAAACCCCAGTGTTGAAGAGAATCCCTCATGTGGAGCCTCATTCGATAACGAGCTACACAGAAACGTCTTCTTCATTACCTTCAGCCATGTTTGTTTGTTATTCTGCTCTCTGTGGGCTACGGCTGCAAGTCCGTTGCTCGCGCTTACATCATCAACTTGCATTTATCGTATTTATCATAAAGGGTGGGAATCACTAGCGGCCCTACGATACGATATTATCAGGATACTTGGGCACCGATAGGATATTATTGCGATTATTGCGATGTGATTATTGTGATGCAGTGAGTATTGCGATGTAATATTTTGCGATTTGTACAATTTTTTCAAATGTTTGGCTAATTTAGCATTTGGCTCTCCTTTACATTCGACTTATTTACGCTGTATTGTATTTTCATGTTGCACATCTGGCTGACCTTTTATATATTTGTTGCACTAACTTTTTCCTGCTCTATGATGTCACCTCTGCCAATCTCACTGGACAAACAGTTGATTTTATTTTTCCATTATCATAGATTTGACTTCGTATTAACCACAAATTTGAAAAATCAATACTTGGTAAATGAGATGATACAATATATCACCAGACAAAATTTTGCGATACTATGCTGTATCGATTTTTTCCTCCCATCCCTATTTATCATGAGATGGCACATATTTTTCATGGAGGATTTTTCTGACGATATATCGTAAATGATCATTTATCGCCCATCCCTACCCAGGAGACTAGTTTCTAGAGTTCTGAAAGACCTGTTCATGCCTGATGAAAGTTTTCAGCTGCTCAATTACTTGGGGTCTTATTTTCTGTGCCATTATGTACCAAAGTCAAGACTTCAGGTAGGCCAGTTTAGCACCAGGACCCTTCTACTACAGAGCCATGCTGTTGTTATCCCTGTCGTCAGAATGTGGTTTGAAAGTCTTCCCTGAAAAAGTCTTTGTCTGGATGGCAGGAGATGTTGCTCCTAAACCTGTAGATATTGTTCAGCTTTAATGGAGTCTTCACTGATGTGGAAGATACCCATGATGCACTTCAGCTACTTCTGTTTAACTGTGAGTGAAGGAACTAAATGAAAGCAGTGAGGAGAACGTTCAGGAAGTATACCTGTTTTATAAGTTAGCAACCTGAAGAGGCACAAACTCTGACATTGCATTTGGATTTATAAACAATCATTGAATTGCTGAATCAAAAAAAGTGCAGAATCATCTCTTCGAGGGCTGTTTGGAGCTCGCTCACAGACAGTCTGGAGTCTAAGGGGCAGCCAATGAAAAGGACTTTAACTCTGAACTTATGGTATCACTGTCTGCTGATTTTAAGCACAAAATCAATATTCAACAACTGGGTAAAGATGGTTGCCGTCAATACCGTTATGTTGCAACAGCCTCGGTATCTTTGCAGGATGCAGTTTAGTCCTGTATTTGTGGATGAAGTGACAGACTTAGTTTAAAGACAATGGTTTTTGGATAGGATTTTGAGCCAATGTGTTGGCTTCCACTAGCCCTAGCGCAGAGATTTCTGCAGACTCTCTGGGTCTCTTAACATGTTTCAGTTTTAACACTGCATATCTAGTCTTTACTGTCAATCAATAACAGGTTTTAGAAGATCTGCAAACCATCCGATTCTGTTTTTATCAGCATCCCAAATTGATTTGAACTTAGGTTGAACAACAAAGATTTATATAAGCTTTAAAAGATTAAAATGATCGTGTAGCGAAAGACTTAATTGATTCCACGGAGAAAATCAAAACTGGACAGGAGGTTTTGTTTGGATTGAACTCCCAGGCCACACACACCCACACCCACACCCACACACACACACACACACACACACACACACACTGACACAGTAACTTTACCTCCTGGCAGTACTCCAGGATGCCCTCCTTGGTGCCGATGCAGGTCTTGGTGCCCGAGGGGTCCGGCTCCCACTTGCCGGTCTGCACGTTGATGTGCATATTGAGTTTAGTGCAGAACATGGCCACCTGGGGCTCTGCCAACAGACCCATAGAAACATCTGTAGGCACCTATAAGTGGGGGAGGGGGGAGAGGTGAGGCAGACAGGGAGAGAGAGAAAGAGAAAGACAAGATTTAATGAGATATAGCACTCATGTTAAACTCTGTGAGGACTTGCGCTGGAAAAATGCAAGACGGATGCAATTAAATTTTATTACTTAGATAGACAGAGGGAGGGAGCGCCGAGAGAGGAGAGGAGATTAGCGTGTGAGATGAAAAGTACGATGAGGTGAGCTGGTTTAAGATTAGAGGAGCGGGAGATAGAGAAGAGGAGGGGGAGAGAGAGAGGGAAGAATAGGAGGAGAGCCAAAAAATGAGGTGTTCGCAAAAGTAGGCTAGGAGTGAATTTCCTCATTCCAGCTTTTATTAAAGCCTCTGGAAATTTTGATTAAATAGTAAAAATGCAAATGTGATTCCCAATTCAGCGTCTCATTACGCTTCCACAAAAGTCTGGAGAAAATAAACCTTCACTACGACTGCAAACCCCAGTGAATATACAGCTTTTTTCGCTGTTCGGGCCATTTCTCAAAGACTTAGTGACAAAGAGAGAAGCCCTGCCATCTGAAGACGATTCGTTTCTATTAGTCACTGAATGGTGGAGGCTTATAAAAGACCGTCGTATCTATACCACGAGTAATAAACAGCCAGCATATGCATGAAATATACGCTGATGATAGCTGTTTTTGTTCAACGCTTAAATGGATTTGAGCAGTGAGTTAATGCCTTATTAATCTGCGACTGAACTAACCGTTCCTGCAGCAGGAATCACTTATCTGCTGCAATATTATGGCAGGAATAATTATGTATAATTGTTCACCAGCTTCAACGCAACAGCAGTTAATTCTCAATAGCAACATCAACTTGATTATGAACATCGTATCATCAATCTGTGGAAAGGAGTTCATGCATTTTTTTTACGTCTGCCAGTATTTCAAGCACTCTCCTATTTTTTGTCAGTTCTTATTTTTGCTTTTCGACTCCCATCTTAAAGGGATATTCCAGTGTAAAATTAAGTATGGGGAGCCCTGAAGCGTCGATTACAAAGTGTAGTGGATCATTTCCTTGAAGTAATAAACATGAATGTTCTTCCTTGAGCTGCGAAACTCCGCTGAACTCGGTGATCGACTCGTCAGGGCTCCCCCACAAACAAGTGGCTGCTTAAGGAGAGTGGGTTGGTTGTGTTTAGTCTCTTTGCTAAAGAAATTAGGCAAAGCTAAAAAGATTGATAGTACTTGATAGTATAGTAGATTGTTGATGGATAGTGCTATGGCTGGGACCCTATATGTACCGTTGATGAAGTTAGGTGCTGTTCTGAGCATTATTTGTGGCTATAGAGTGGCTTTATGGTTGAGGTTTGCACATAGAGTGGTAGACCGCTGTGTATTGCTATCATGCGGTCATTACTAAAGTTGGTATAACTACAGAAGCAAGCAGTCGGCAACATTTATCTCTCAAGGGGGTGTCTAACGCGTTGTTTTCGTTGACGATGACGTTGACGAAAATATTTCCTCAACTCAACTCAACTCAACTTTATTTGTTAAGCACTTTAAAACAACCACAGCTGAACAAAGTGCTGTACATCACTAGACAAAACAACAATCAAAAAACAATTAAAACAATGGAAAAAATAAAAGCAGAATTCCTAAACGTTATGGTCAACAAAAACAACACTGCAGAATATATGTTTGGCATTTGACTGACGAAATGCTCATAAATTTTGCAACTCTGTTTGTTGTCCACCATTAACGTTTTCGTCTAGTCTCGTCTCGTCTCATCAACGTTAACGCACATTCGTCTCGTCATCTGAGACTTATGTTTAGCTCGTCAACGTCACGTTTTCGTTGTGGAAAAAAAGGGGCGTTGACGAGAACAACACTGGTCTAACACCTTAATTTTACGCCGGAATATCCCTTTAACCATTAAACCTTTTTTTAAATCTGATGCAGCTACAAATTAACCACCAGCTCTGAGAGACGCAGTGCAACATTAATCAGTTTCTGTAGATCATAAACTCCCCCAAACAGAAATGTGTGACTCAGCTTCATGAACTTCCTCCCGAAACCATCTTGTCTTTGTCCTTTGTCCTTGTCAGACTCTGTACTGTAGCTGTCTTTTAAGAACAGAGGCATTTCCAAAAGGCTTCAGTGTGCAGGAGATGCTAACTGACAGATAGCCTGGTAGAAAAGAGCAGCCTGTATGTTTTAAACTTTGTTAAAAGTGTTAATATAAGGAGGATATGAATCCATGATGTTCATTAACTGGGTAAACATGATGGAGGGTAATCTGATGTGTCTTTATCTACAGAAATAGACCTTGACCTGTTCCTGTTTGGAGATGCTGCACACACACATCCACAAAATTATTTCCTATCATGCAGTTTAATGTTTGCTTTCATTGGTAAAGGCTCAGGTGCATCTAAAGATTAGGGAGGATGTGAAAAATGCACCAAATAAAACATTAAAACCAAACATCTCTGCAACGGAGTCTGCTCTTGGGCTTGTTTTTCATCTTTTGCAGCTAGTATAACACCAAAAAACCTAGAGGCTATACTCTCTGGAGACTAAAGAAGATATAGGGCTCATTCTGACTTAAGAAAAAAGCAGTAAAAGAGCCCAGCTTTGAGAAATATCAGGTTTGATTTAACTCTAATTTAATTGAATCGTTTCTCCAATTGCAGTCGTCACAGATGTCTGCTTCATGTTGCTCAGCACTATTGGATTTAATCCCATTGTTCAGGTGTTGATTTTATTGCATTCAGCTCAGGTATGCACCATTTCTGTGCAGCAAAAGAAACAGCAACGGAGAGCTGGGTCTCCTGCCAGGCGTATTAAAGCGGTCGCTGTGTGTGTGCGATGGTGTACAATAAAAGCAGATTAAGTTTACTTTCCCCTGATACACCTGAGAGAGGCTGAATCGATACAAAAATCTGAGGCTTCAGCTCAGATTCATCCAGAATAAAGCCCTCCCACCGGCTCCTCTTACTCTGGAAGAGGTCTGCGTGCCTCTGGCTGCTCCGAGAGAATCAAGTCTGCAGGAAAAAATATGCTATCCATCCCACAAAACAACACTTGTTTGCCTGCCAGGTCCTTCAAAACCATTAACAAGATTAGAGAGAACACAATGGCATCAGTCCCTCTCCTCCCTCCCTCTGTCTCCTTCTCTCCCCCCCCACCCTTATTCCCTCCCATTTTGTTGGAGCTCATTTGCCAGTACAATGCAGACATTCAGTGGTTTGTCTGCGCCTCCTCTCCTGAGGGAAGTTCAGCACAAAACCTCCTTATGCATGCAGACACACACACACTGAGGCAACACATAGGAGCTGAAATTAACACAAAAATTAATAAATGCATGTTGGCACACACACACACACACACACAGCCTATGCCTGAAGCTAACCTGCTCCTGTGCTGCACTGACAGGGAGATGAATCAACTCAGGATTATGTAAACACTCTTCTGTCCTGGAGAAACTGCACAGACGCAGGGATGAACACTTTATCCATATATGGTTTAGCATGAGGCGTTTGAGTATGTGGGTTTGTGTGTGTGTACATTAAAGACATGAGGAGGTATATTTGATCATCAATAACAAGCATCTCTGACATGGAAACAGCAGGAAAGAGATAAAGATTATGTAGGTTTGGTGAAACAGGCACATAACTACAGCTAAAGGCCTGTAATCAACCAAAGAAAATCTTGGTCGACTAAAACCCTGAAATTTATTGACTAAAAATCGACTAAAGGGGTGGGTCCGACGGCAAACCCTTCGTGGCAGGGGGCGACGCGGCTCGGCGGGGTGAAAATATACTGATATCAGCACAAGAAGGCAATTAAACTTGATAAAAGTTGAAACACTCAAAGTTAAAAGCAAACCACCGGACGTTGATTAACATGGATGCTCTTCGATCTTCCTGTCGCCAGCTGGTTACCAATGGGTTGGGCGGGTTCAAAATAGTGAAAACAAGGGGGGTGTTCTGAGACAGGCTGTTAAACGGGGGGCTCTGAAAACACCCCCATTAGCACTTTGTATGTTCCTCCTGATGGAATGAAACATAGACTGTAAATTGACGTGGAAAAAAAATCAAGTCGACCAATCAGAATTTTGGTCCGCTCAGCACATATCAACCGATGAGCTGTCCAATCGACAAGGACCTACGAAGCAGTTTGTCAACCAGACCGAAAATGTGGATTAACCCAGAATTTCCACTGCAGCCGGAATGCTACGATCTGGAATGGCAGCGATTTTCGCCGTCCGCCAACTCCTACCTGATCAGTTTGTGAGGCGAATTTCATGGCGGATTACGGACAGTGGTATCGCGAGAACTCACAAGAACCCAAGGATAACGAGTTGTCTCCATAGCCACATAACCAAATAAGCAGTAGATTGTGTCCTTCAAGAGGGGGAAATCCACTTCAAGACTTCTAAAATTAGCATCTTCTTATCCATGGTGTAATCGGGGTGAAATGCTGTCTAAAAAAACTTTCACTTGTTCGTCCCCGTCCTTTTGCATGGTGTGAAATACAATCAGCCTGTAACACGTCGTGTTTTATTTTGAAAAATAGCCGGATGTTTTATTTGTGTCTGTGCCCGACTTCCTTTCCAGCACGGACTAATCTGTGCTGAATTTATCCGGCATGCTCAGGCGTCCCGAAAATATAGAACTCTTGCGATCAGCTGCGGAGTCCGGCAATCCATGGCAGAACATCTTGAATCTTGAATGGTTACGATCAGCTACGATCAGTGGATACGGCCTTTTCGTAGCCATTTCGGATGCAGTGGAAATTGGAGGTAAGAAGACCCTCAGCAGAAGAAGGGACTAACCCTCAGACCATTTACAGATTTTAACATGAATGGTAACCTGTTCATTTTTGATTAGCCCTCGGGATGAATGGCATGCAGTCTAATGTGTGTAAAAACTGCACAGATGAGGTTACACTTCCACGGTGGGTCACAAAAGACCTGCAGAGTCCACATCCCTCACAGGCCAACATGAAAATGAGCAAATCCCACACACACACATGCACCCCCCCTTCCACCCGCAAGACCTCCTCGGTTCCAACACATGGCAACAAAACACCGATGGTCATCAGCCTTGACACTGCACCATCTGCTCCTCACAGGGTTATTTAGGGGTTCGATTCCCACACCACCACCTGTGAGTGCAACAGAAAGCAAATCCTTCTCATTAGTAATAAAACCCGAAGCACAGTGAGCGCAAAAACTTTTAAAATTCTCTTTTTAAAAGTCATTTGCATGTGTGCTATCTTTTAATTAAATGACTTTCTGGATGCCCAGTTTCATTTTGACCTTATCGGCCCACCCGCTGGCCCCTCCCCGTCGCTTGTTGAAAGCGATAAACCAGCTTCCTCTCTGCTTCGGGCAAAGGTAGGCAAATCTATGCCAACCGCTCGCTGACATTCAAATTCTTTGTGTCATCCTCCTTTGGATGGCAAATCATATCCTCGCCAATCGCTCTCTCTTCCTGCGTCTCCAATGCTATCTTTCTGCTGCTCTGTCTTCCGCTGGAGGAAAAGGAGGAGGGGGAGGCAGAAGAAGGGGGGAGGGAACGGCCAAGGCTTTTGCTGCGAGCTTATAAATCAGAGCCCCGGGATGATGGCGAAGGCAGGAGTGGGGAGGAGAGAAAGTGAGAGGAGGAACAATAACCACAATGGCGAGAGACGGGGAGAGATTGGAGAACAGATGAATTGGACAATAAGCCTTGGGGGCTCGAGCAGAAGGTCAAGCGCTCCGTAAAACAGAAAGGATGTGGGGACGGAGGGCTGGAGACAGAGTGAGGGAGGCTGACGGAAATCAGAGGAGAGATGGGAAACTCTGGTGTCAGGGGGAGGTAGTTACGAGAGGAAGAATGGCCGCATCTACGGTCTGTTCAGTCGCTGTTACATCAAATTTATTAAAGATTCCTGTCAAACGGTTACGCTGCTGTGCATGGAATTGATCTGTGTCCGCAAACAACCGCAGAAATGAGGGATGCAAACAATAACCATCCTGCAAGTCTACCCGATAAAGAACATATACCTGATGAATTTTTTCTTTCTTTTATTAAGACTAGGATCCACTCGGAGTAGGACCTTGTGATGAAACTACCCAGAGGGGGAGTTATCATAAAATAAAAAACACATTTTGGACCATTTAGACCTAATACGCAATGGCTGGACCTTAAAACACCCCCAAAAAATCTAATTTCCAAGAGTTCTCAGTTATGAAAACATCAGATTGGTTTTTAAATTTGTAAAACCACAGCCACACAGAAACAAGCTGAGCTGTGGGCAGCAGCACGATTCGCAGCCCCTGAGGCAACTCGAGAAAAGAGACACTCATTTCTGAAAATTAAACTTTCAATATTTAATTCAAATCATCAGTGTTGTGGACAACTCTGCCTATGGTGAAAATTTTGAGAAATGAGCAGTATTAAAAGACAACAGCAGCCTCCTTTCCTTCTCTCCCTTCTCCGTCTCTGTCTTTATCCGATCTCTGCTCTAGTTGTGCCATCCTGCCAGCCGGTCGTCCTGCAGGGAGGGGGCGGGAGGAGCAGTAATCTGGGCGTTGAGGATTAGGACAGCAGCCTGGTCAGGAGAAATATCCCCTTTTGGTCTCAATCTGGCATGATAGCCATCGCTGCAGCTACAGGGGAATAAGCCCGGGGAAAGACGGCTGATGCTACACAAGATTGACCTCCAGATCATAGTTCAGTTGAAGTCAGCAAAAACCCCCGCTTACATCCTGCTTGTCGTGCTAATTCGCCCCCTAATAGAGTTTACAAGTGATGCAACCAAAGCAGTGATCCATCAAAAATGTTTTCCAGCATCTTGCTGCTTTTATTAATCACAATTATCTGATGAAATACTGCTGGAGTTGGGCAGAAATGAGAGCAACAGACCTTAACGCTGCAGTTGAGGAAGCAACAAACTCCCCAGTAAGGAGATTTATAGAAGAGCAAAAATCGTGACTGTGTTTTTAGCATTGTGTTTAAAGCGGAGTCAGCCTTTGGGAGCAGGAACAGACTCAAGTGTAATGAATCTTGGTCCTCTCTTTTTACACATTTGTGTGTGTTCATGACTGTTGGATCTAGGCAATCCGGAAAAAGCTGAAGTAGATTTCTTCATCATGAGACTGTAACACATCCCTAACAGGCTCAGATATGCTACAAAACCCGTACTGAGATAAATCTCTCTTTCCTTTCAAAGAGCAAGAATCTCTCTTGGATGAACCATCACATTGTTCTGCCAGGAGCCACCAAACAAAACAGACAAAAAAAGAAACTGGTCTACCTCTGTCTGCCTTTATTCGTGAGTTCTCAAGGTGTTTTGTCATGATGAATAAACCCACCAAATTTCAACATCTCAAGTTTAACAAGCTGCACAGGCTGAGATTTTGAAAACCTGTAGGGGGCGCCACTGATCCTTTTCATCACCCACCTAAAACACATACTAATCATCTCATTTCTCAATTGGGCTCATGTGTAGAAAGTTTGGAGACTCTACAAACTTCCTGAAAAACTACTTCCTGTATGTGTCACCATGGCAACCTTCTTTGCAGAGCACAGGAGTTGCTGGTCTACCTCCTAAAACTAAAGTCCATTGTAGGTAGGTACCAGATGTTTTGGGGCTGCTAGATCTACTCGGGGCCCAGTGCCTATTGATAAGGTAATGGTGTACGATTGGCTTGGAGTAAGTTCGGATCACGTAGAAGATCGTGGTTAATCAGGACATTATGGAAGCGGGTTTTGCCAGATTAGGTTTCATGGAAAATTGTAGTTCTTCAGAGAAAACATGGACGAATTTTCCAAAGCAATCCATCGCGACTTATCAAAGGGGACTTCAACAGCAGGACTACTGCAACTTTTAGGTTGCCAAAGGAACTGTGGAACAAAAGCAGAACTATCTCTTGATAAACAAAGATCCTGCGTGCATCTTTTTTTTCTTTTTCCTTCAAAAAAGTTAACATATAGGAGAAAAGCCATCTAAAAACTGCAGTAGAGTACGTTGTAATTCTCTGTATTATATGGAGAGAAAATTCCGAGGTCGACTGAATGGACAAAGAGAAATAAAGAAAACCGCGAGTGGCTTTTAACCGAGCACATTTGACTTATTAAATGGAGCGCAATGTAGTTTGTCCAAGTGGACTTGCTGTAGTGTGACGTCTTCAACAGACGCTTGGCCCCGAGCAGATCTGGTAGCCCGAACACATCTGGTACCTACACCCTCATTCCCTAAATGATCAATTGCCACAATACTGCCATGTTTTGAAGTTTCAAAGAGTTCGATATCTACGCACTTCAACATGTTACTTTCATAATTAGCAGAATTCCCCTTTAATCTAGCACAGTGGTTCTCAAGTCCAGTCCTGGAGGCCCATTGTCCTGCATTTTTCCCTGCTCCAACACACCTGATTCAAATGATCAGCTCGTTAGTAAGCCATTACAGAGCTTGATAACGAGCTGATGATTTGAATCAGGTGTGTTGAAGCAGGGAAACTTGAGAACCACTGATCTAGCAGGATGCACATGTCCTACTTGTTGATGCTCAGCATGCAGAGCTGCTTTGAAAGCATTCGACATCCACATAATAAGGAAATCAAATTTGTTGTACCCAGAGGGGAGCTCAGAAAATACAAAAAAAAGGACAAAAAAAAAACAACACATGACAGCCAGGCAAGCAAACAATTCAATAATGTTGTGCAGGAACACGTAAGTTTATGGTAGAGAGCGATTATATGAGATTATTTGCTACTTCAATTTGGTAGAGTGGTTTGCAGCCCCCAAGGAGGGGTTATGATGAGGATGACAAGCTCACTGTGATGGCTCACATGAAACATCCAAATGTGTGTGCGTTTGAGAGTGTGTATTTGTGTCTGAATTTTGGCTCTGCTGTGATTCAAAAATCACAACTCCTATCTCAGGCAGGTGACCTATTTCCACAGCTGGAACCAGCGACCCAAATCACATCCAGGCAGATGTACGGCACACGCAACGTGATCTCTGCCTCATCATCGTGTGTCAGTCATATGTTCTGCTTCGGAGGATTTGCCCCATTATTAAAATGTCTTTTTGTAGTGTCGCATGCAAAAGCTTTGCTAAATAGTATCATGGTTTTTGAAGTATGAGCATAAACTTGGTTACACACCCAAGTTCTTATTCAAATTGGTAAAACTTGTGTTGTAAAACCCAGAATCATGAATAGCGAGTAAAGTTTTTTAATTTGGAGTTACATTCGCGTCTGTCTTTTGGGATTCCTTGAAGGAAAATCTGTCCCAGTTTGCTGAGAACTCTGTCTGACACCGTGAAGCTTCGAAGCAGAAACTAAAATCTTTGAGTTTCCTGAAAGTCAGAAATTCCTTCACACTGTCATTACAACTGACAGCAACACCAACAAATGTTGCAATACTCCTTTACAATCTTGGCTGTTAATGAGCTAGCTCTTCTGTGCTGGAAGACTTTGAATATCCAGCCTGTAAAACTTCCAAACTTCTCTTGTATGCGAGAGAAAAGAAGCTAAATTCATTCTCATCCATCTATGTAGCTGCACAGCTCTCTGTGTGTGTGGCACTAATAACTCTTCTTCCTCGTCTTCCTCTACACGTAAATTGCCGAACCATTCCCATCTCGGAGTCATTGTGTGAAGACACTTGCATAAATCGTGCTGAAACGTGCGAATGAACCCGTTTATGGCTGGTGCGCTCACAGATGTGATCAGCGGCACTAAAACGTGGAGGAAAAAACGCAGGAAAAGGTTTATTACCCGTTAAATGTAAATGGAGGACTGTCAGGAGAAGAACTATTGCATCACACACTTACAAATAAGTGACGGGGGACTTAGAAACACACACATGCACATACACACTATCTTTGAAGTGTCCCCATGGGCCCCGGTCCTGCGGTGCCATTAATTGTACAGTCTTATCTGAGAGGCCCAGACCCGCCAAGGGGAGCTGGGTGAAGGTGAAGGAGGGGGAGGATAAGGGGGGAGTGCGTCTTGGATCAGCTCTCAGCCCAGAGGGAGGGAGACTCCCCGGAGAGCGAGATGTGTCGCAGGAGCTCTACACACACACACACTCTCTTTGGCACACATCTTCTACAGGCTACAACTAAGCAAACTGCTAACAAGACAAGACCTCGTTGTCCGGACTGGGACACCATGTACCACACCCCAGATAATGTCGAGAGTAACAACAGCCTGGATACACAATGACTGTGCAGGGGAGGATGAAAAGGAAGCCCCTGCAAAAAAAGTAGAGCTGTCAAAGTACTAAAACCTGAAGGATGAAGGTCTTCCCTGAAAGAGTCCGGACGGCAGAATATGTTACCCCAAAACCTGCTCAGCATTAATGGAGCCTAATCTACCCGTGCCAGGGCACCAATGATCTCCATACCATCAGGGATGTGACTTTGAACTGGGCGCTGATAACGAGCCAAGTGGTCCCTCTTCTCTTTGGACCAGAGGACACCTCATCCATGATTTCCAAAAAGAATGCTGATTAGGGCTGGGCGATATGGCCTCAAATCAATATCACGATATATTGAGCAGTTCACCTCGATCACGATAAATTGACGATAACTACTCCAACTACTCCAACTTTTGGATCCTCCTCCATCTCCTCACCTGTCTTTCCCTCTTTGTTACTGACTGGATGGGGTGGAGTCACATCTCTGACATAGGACGGCGTCTTAAAGGGACATGAGACCATAGATCAACTCTTATTTATTTATTTATTTTGACACAGAATTTATTAACATGGGAAAAATGACGTTGGTTATTGTCGTAAATTTCGGTATCGGTAAATTTTCGGTTAATCGCCCAGCCCTAATGCTAATGTCCATCTTAAATGGCTTCAAGCTTAGAGAAGTTTCCACAGGCTAGGACAAGTCTCCACTGACAATTGTTTTTGGGTGGGATTTTGAGCCTATGTGGTGACTGCCACTACAGAGTCATGTCTGAGCTGACTACAAAGACTACAGCCCTCTGGTATTGGTTCTTGGCCTTGTCTCTTTGGCACAGAAAAGTGCAAAAACACAGTTTTAGCAAGGGCTGGGCGATAAGCCGAAAATTTACTGATACCGAAATTTATGACATATCGGTATATCGTCCAAGAAATAAATAAATAAAAGTTGTTTTTGGATGTGTGTAGGTAGGCTATGGTCTCATGTCCCTTTAAGACGCTCTCTTACATAGGAGAATTGACTCATCCCCATCCAGTCAGTAACAAAGAGGGAAAGACAGGTGAGGAGATGGAGGACGATTCAAAAGTTGGAGTAGTTGGAGTAGTTATTGTCCATTTATCGTTATCGAGGTGAACTGCTCAATATACGGTGATATGGATTTGAGACCATATTGCCCTGCCCTAGTTTTAGCTGCAACACAGGAGTCACTTTGCTCAAAGTGCGAGTGTGTTGTTGTTGTTGCATGCAGGTTTCAGTGTGTTCTCCTGTGTAGTAGAGACACATTTATGACTGGTGTAACATGTTATGTGATTCAGTGAAAACCCACGTCCCTCTCCTCTGAGTGAGTAATCAATCAGTTGTGTTAAAAATGGAGCCGAGGCTGGTTGTCTGTGGGTTGTTTACAAGCTGCATCACTGTGGGAATCTGTCTGCTGAGCCGGGGAGGATGTGTGACAGCTGAATAAGATAAGACTGGCCAGGTGACAGAGACTCGCACACACCCACACACAAACACACACTGATCACCTTGGCGGGCAGAGCTAGGGCCTGCTGTTACTTTAAACCTTCAGATCATCTTTGACCAGACTTCCAGTGTGTCTCAGCACAGTCTGTGCCTGTGAGTGTGTGTGTGTGTGTGTGTGTGTGTGTGTGTCTGACCCAATGTTTGGGAAGCAGATCTAGTGGAAGGGTTTCACTGATTACAGGGCGGACTTCCCATCACACTCCCTGCCAGCCGAAGGTTCAATTACAGAGCAGAAGTAAAGCCAAAAAATAATAAACACCGAGGGAGAAAACTGAAGCTCTGGCCTGAATGTGTGAAAGAACAGATAAGAAAGACTGGGCTCATCATCTGAGCAGAGCTGCCAGGCTGAAGTAAAGCGAGGTGAACGAGGTTATGATGAAACTGGAGCACCTTGAGAAACCCAGCCTGCATCCCGTCATGCTCATTCAGGAGGTTCTTATACCGACAGATCGAAGGAAGTCTGGGATAAGTACTGATCTGCTAAGTTGATGGGCTTAAAAAGGTCAAAGAGACCTGATGAGAGGTTTACACCGAGACAAAGCATTTCAGACTTTCCTCTTTATATTGAATTTAGCATACATTTAAAACATGCAGACTCCAGCTATTTGGGGCTCACTCATGGTGGATGAGGAGTAGAGTCAGGACATGACCTTTTGAAGCGTCCTCAGGTAGCTTCCGGTGTGATTTGGCACTTTGTAGGTGAAATTTGATTGATTTATTTATTGTTTATTGTTCATATATCTACGGTAATCTGTGAAACTAGATGCTCTGAAATCATTTTGAGGGTCACCATTAGAGGTGTCCCGATACAACTTTTTAATTCCGATACGATACCGATATTGTAGCCTTCAGTACCGGCCGATACCGATATTGAGCGGATATTGGCACAAACTTGTGCATGACAAGTGTTGCACTCAGCTGCAATGTCTTTTTCGGACTTTAACAAAAAAAACCTTGTATCGGAGTGCTAATATCAGAGATTTTAGATGAAGGCCGATGTAATCCGATATTTGTTTTTTTGCTGATATCGGACCAATATCCGATATCAATATCGTATCGGGACAGCCCATAGACTGTATAGAATGGACAGCATCTGCCTCCTTGCTGGGTGAAGCCACCCCAAGAACAGCACCCTCTGGTGACATGCTGCAGTATAGGTCATAAATCCTGCCTCCTCCAGCAATCCCTATGGAGTTGATGACAAACTTTAGACATGTATTACAGAGAATATAAATTTTTCTCCCCCCTGCTTGCAATGTTGACATGTAGTTATTGTAAGACTGGTTTGTGTTTAAGTCCTTTTTTTCTGTACAGCTCCATTTTTAAAAGTTATTAGGGGGTTCGTGTTTTCTTTGATTGACACTTGATACAGCCTATGGGCTTACGAAGATTGCTTCCCTGCTCCAACACACCTGATTCAAATGATAAGCTCGTTAGTAAGCCAGTATAGAGCTTGATAACGAGCTGATCATTTGAATCAGGTGTGTTGGAGCAGGGAAACATCCAAAACATGCAGGACAGTGGGCCTTGAGGACTGGACTTGAGAACCGCTGGGTAGTAGGAGTTTTTCTGTTAATCTGTTGGTATTTGTGTATGTCTGTCCTCACATCATCTTAGAAATGGTCGAGAATGTCCACATGAATCATGCCAGACCAGTAGATGGCGATGATATGTCATCAGTAGAGGGATGTCGTACATAGTGAGCGTTTGGCAGCTAAAAACAAAAACTTTTTGGGGAGTGGCGGATAAAAAAACGATCCAGCCTCAGGTCTTACGGTAGAAGCAAAGAGTCCGAACACACCCTGTCCTTACTAGAAAAGACACGTCACTTGGATGTCAGGAGCAAATGATTCACTCTGATCAGAGTTGTTTGAGCTCATATCTACTATCTGTATTCTAGCAGTGTCATTCTTTCATACAGTAAATGTCCTTGAGCTTCCATCCATGGTCCTTCAAACCAAGGCTTCTACGTCTTTATGTCATTTCAAGCAGCTGTCAGATTTTAAACATGCGCATCGATCTACGTTTCAGATCTACCACACCCACTTCCTCTAGGCTTCTCTTCAAGTTCGTACAGGTCTTTTTTTTCCCTTACTCATCTTCAAAAGTTTCCATCAAGTCTATCTACAAGGTAAATTCGAGTTTGTCAGACACTTTATCTTCATTCATATTCAACGCGATTAAGCTTTGTCTCGGGGGGAGTTCCTTGGGAATTAGCATCTCAGACAAATCTGTCTCAAATCTGATTAGAAGTGTGTAAAGAAAGAGAGTTCTGACTTCTGCCCACTTAATTTGTCTAGACGTGATGGAGGGACTTCTGGTTCCCTTAGCTATAATCACCATGGAGACAGTGCCTGCTCGCAAACCCTAAGGGAACAGCCTGTTATAACCTCTTCTGTCATTGCTGTGGCAACCTGAGGCAAGAGCATTATCCAAGTCAGCTGGGAGCGGGAATGTCATCATCAGGTTGGTTTTGCGAGGAGGTGTGAATGCGTGTGCGTGTATCTGTGCGTGCATGCAAGTGTTACGGCGTGTTTTAAATGAACAGCGAAGCAGAGTAATGGCCGCATCGTTCAGTGACCGGCTGCTAAACCGGCTCTGACCTCGCTGGTGTCCAGCTGGGAGGCATCCTGCAGAGGACGGCCAACATACACAGATGGAGACGTGATCCACAAACACAAACACACTATAACACACAATCGCACTGTGAACTTTGGCTGCTGCTCAGTTCAGAAATTGCAGCAATCTGTTTACAATCACACCCAAATATTTGCAGCACGATTTATGCTGTGGTTTAGCTTCCCCAGGGTTTTAGTTTTTATAATGGTGCTAAAAGAATCTTGATGTAAATATTACTCCTCTGCTTTGGGTGGATGGATCAAAAACTTACAAACTTCTCCACCTGGACTCTGAGATCCCAGAGAAACCTCCATGCTCCTGTGCATCACTTTGCGTCATGTTACATCATCCTTTTATTCCTCTCGTTTGATAGTCTGCGTCAGAAAATGCACAATCCTCAGCCTGCTGCTCCCCCAGGTTGCACGCACAGACGTCAACCCCTTCACTCCATCTCTGCAGAAAGATTCATTATCTGCAGCAGGAGCGTCTTCATTCACTGATTACTACTGTGTTGACTTTCCCAAAAGGAAATGAGTAATTATGCTCCCTCATAATTAGCCATCTGCGTCAGACTCACATGCTGGAAAAACACAAAATAAACAATAACAGCATTTTCTCTTCTACTACACCAGGCACTCATCAGTTTGAGGAGAGGTGCAATCAAGTTGAAGAGAAGAGTTTCTGCCTCTGGAAATTGCTGCAGAGGCTCATTTTTTTTAAAAAGTCTAAATTCGAGACTCCTAAAGCGTGCCAAACATGTTTACAGCAACACAAATTTTTTTTACACAACTTAATGTGAGCTGAGGTTACTCCTAATGAGTGTGAGTCATTGTGAAATCCAGGCCCTCGGGTGTTGGTGGGTGTGTATATCTGGAATCATTATGGTGCATTCACATGGATCCAGGCAAATGGGAGACAGCAAACTGGAAACAATTTTGTTGGAGGGTGAGGTTTGGCCTTACTGCGCAACAATCAGGGTAGAAATACTGAAATTTAGAGGGTTAAATATTCAAGATTTCTGTCGACTTCTGAGACCAAATTTACTCAAGAAATCCATTCCTACTTCCACCCCAGGTCCTCCTCTTTATGCTGTGTATAATTTGATGCCCGCTCTGTTACGACCTCAGGGGTCTTTGCTGCTGCTCTCCCTGCCTCTGCTTTTCATATGAGCACACCTGAGTCCTCCTTTTCAGACTGTTTCTGATTTAAGAGACTATGTAACACTCTGACAGCTAAAACCCACAGGATCCAGAACAGCTCCGCAGGCGGATCAAATAAGCAAGCATTTTAATCAATGTGTGTGATTCCACGGAAGGCTTCTATTTTAGCACGGTACATCAATTCAGTGCAGCGCAGCACGAGCAGCAGCGGAGTTGTATGCGGCTTCAGAGTAAACCACACGGTTAATTTTCTAAACAAAATGAAGTCAATATGTTGAACTGTTCTTCACTTGATAACAGGAAAGGCCAGGGTTGTAAGATGTGGGTGTTTACATACACCGATCCCCGGATCTCATTCAATGTCTCACAGAGAAACACGCAAGATCTTGTGAGATCTTGTCAAATCTTGCAAGAAATTTCAGTAATCTTGTAAGCCCTTCTCTGGTGGGCGCTGTGGAGTGAAGCCATTCTGGATCCAGTTAAATCCCTGGGTAACACTTCCACTCTTGACTATCCCTGTTCGACTGGTGGACTTATTGGTCGATACTTGCTGGGTCGACCAAAGTTCTGATTGGTCGACTTGATTTTTTCTGCGGAACATACCAAGTGCTAGTGGGGGTGTTTTTAGAGCACCCCCATTTCACAGGTAACAGCCTCTCTCAGAGTACCCCCCTTGTTTTCACCATTTTGGATTAGCCCAACCCACTCGAGACTGGCTGGAGACAGGAAGATTGAAGAGCGTCCAGGTTAATCGACGTCCGGTGGTTTGCTGAATATAATATTTGTGTTTTATTGCCTTCTTGTGCAAATATCTGTATATTTTCACCTTGCCAAGCCACGTTGTTCCCCGCTGCAGAAAGGTTTGCCATCAGAGTCGGAAACTTCTTTGGTTGATTACAGCCCTAGATTCTACATCATTTGTGTTATTTCACTGGCTTGGGTTCTTCTGGAGCACTCGCCAAATTAGCACCAGCCCCCTTCAGACAACTTTCAGGCAGTGCCTCGTTATCATAGCACCCTCACCCGCTTGGATATGTAAACAGCTAAAAAGAAAACCTTCGTATGAGACATTTTTGGACCACAATTCGTTCTTTGTCAACAAAACATATCCACATGCTGGTTTTTTTTTCCACCCCCTCCCCCCATCTATGAGACTGGTTGTTTTTCCCAAACCTCTGAAAAGGTTTTGCTTGTTTACTGTCCAGTGTCTGCCTGATTCCGTGTGAATGCTGCTTCAGTGATTTAGAGTACCACCTCCACACATCACGAGCAGAAAAGCAAGAGAAAGCACGGTCTGTATTCCTAAAAAGACGACCAGAGTTCTACCAATCTATGCTTTGCTTTCTTTAAACGGTTCCTACTGTCTTATGACTAAAACTACTTTAATTATAAGCCACACATATGCACACTGTCACTAACACCCACTGGTTTAGATCTGAATCACTCCTGTCGACCATACAAACACAGGAAGTTTGCCTCTTTCATGGAGACCAAACAGGATACAGATCCAGAAATAGCAGGGCCGAGTCAAGAATACTTGTCCGCTTTCTGACGCAAATCTCCGTCTCACTACTTTCTCATTTGCACCCACAAACACACACACACACACACACACACACACACTCTCTGTCATTAACAACCATACTACTTGGCATTTAAAACAAGTGTTCCAATTTCACAGTTGGACTCTGAGAGGACTCATCATGAACAATACAGAGAGGTACTATAAACCCTGTGAACTGTGAATCTCAAGCTGAGGGCACACTGCACATCAGTAACACACTGTATGGATGACGCAGCGTTTCAGAGAAAGGGGAATGGTGAAAAATGGGGAGATAGGAAGGAGCAGGAGAAATGAGCGACAAGAATAACGCGCGGCAGCCTAATTATAGGCTGAGCTCTAAGCACCTGGAGGAGACTGCAGAGCTATGGCAACCCTGAACACCCAGGATGGAGAGTGGAACTGTGGGGAGGAGGAAATGAGGAGGGGATGAGGACGATGAGATCATCCCTGTGAGTGGGGGAATATAACCCTTGAAAACAAGGACCAGCACCAAGGTGATGGAACGGAAGAACTTTGTCAACCAAAGGAAGCTTTTCTGAGGATTAAATGATTTAGAAATGAGTCAGCAACCTCTGCAGACTTTAAAGATGTGAGAGAGCAAAGTGGTTTCTATAGAGTGCATCTCCTTCATGAATTAAAGCAAACAGAAATGTAAAAAAAATGGCAACAAGGGGGGGGACTAGTGAGAGAGATGGTTCATTTGAAAGCATAGCAGAGGTTTAGATGGAAAGACTCATGTAAAACTGCAGTGTCATATATAAAGATGAATGAGTCCACTGCATGTCTTGCAGTTTTTGAATTTAGCTCACAGACAGAAAACCAGGAAATTTCAGCCCCTAAAGTATAAAGTGACTTATTTTAAGTCAAAGATATTGTGCGTTTTTTTGTGATTCTTTAACTCTACTGTCCTGAAAGCTTTGTGACTTTTGGTTCAGACACATTAACAACATTCATGTCGAAACTCGCCGGGTTAACAGCCTTAGCCTGGGTCATTATGAGCAAACTCACTTTTGCCCCTGGTGGACACTCAAGGAACTTAGATGACGCCAATGTTAACTATAAATTGCCTTGTCTTCAACATGTTGAGCTTCAGCGGTACAAACTATTAGGCAGCTGGTAGTGGCGAGATGAGAGCAGCAAGAGGAGCAAGATAAAGAAGGTGTGACTGAAAAGCCAAGGGACAGAATGAGCAGGGTTAGGGAGAGTTGCGTTCCAGTTGTACTCGGAAGTCAGGATTTCCGAGCTACGAGTCCGAACTTTCAACTGGAACAACCCCCGAGGTCAGATTTCCGACTCTGACTCTGACAATCCACACAACCCTCTAGTTGACATTTAAAGATGGCGGCACTGGTTGTTCCTGTGATAATCCTTTTATTAACACTTTTTACTATTTGTTGTCACAATAAGCCAGCCGTAATAGTATTGTTAGATCTATATACAAGGAAATGCTGTCGTAGTGTAATTTACATTTTTCATGTGCATATGCAAACTACAAGGCAGGCCGTGCTAACAACGGCTAACCGTAGCCTGGTAGTTTCAGCCGGTGTTTTTGGCCGTTAGCTACTATTTTCCGACTTAACTCGGGTGTGACGTCATTCCCAGCTTCAACTTCCAAAGTAAACGGATGCACCATTATATGGAAGTTCACAAGGCACAACCTTTCAACAATTAGATTTCTCGAAGACTAATTTTAATAAGATTTTCCTTGACGCCGTCAAATCATAGCGCCCTTTTCCAGGAAGGTTTTTTTGTTCTTGTAGTGTGCTGCCCCAGCCAACAATTAAGCTAAATCTATGCGAACAGAAGAAAGCTGCCTCTGTTGGATTTTCATCTTTAAATCTTCCCCGAGAGCATGATGGTAAATCATCTCAGAGGGACTCTATTTGCAGTCTTGTAAACGTTGACCCTGCAAGAAACTCAGTCTCTGCAACATTTAAGAGCCTGTGACTAAAATGTCAGACTTCAGTAGTTTCAAAAAGACTCTCATGAAGATGCTTTCTCTAACCTACTTTGCAGCCCGGTATTTTTAGTTCAGAGGTACCAAATATGCTGTCAGCCACTCTGGTGTTCGCAGAGTTCTCTCAAGGCCGACTGAGTTTGTGGAGCGAATTCAACCCAGCCTTAAAGCGTCTGACCTGGTAAAATGTCAGAGCTGGCAGACAGACAGACGTGGTGGTTTTGACATCTCCAGGTTCATTACACAACGAGCTCCGAACAGGCTGCAGTATTACTCCAACATCTCGAGCGCATCAGGTCTGAATCATGCAATGTGCAGTGAGAGACATATGTGATTTATTATGATATTTAAAGGCTGCAGCACCGCCCCTCGCCACATTTTTATGAAGGCCCGTCCTTCACACGCTCAAATCCGTGATTAAATCTAGATTATGTCGGCCTCGGTCAGATTATTTCAACCGAGGTCACATCCCAGGAAAGGTGGAAGGTCACAGACACATGACGGCCTCGTCTGACACTTCTAATGGACATGAGACGATAAAAGCGCTGCAGCTCTGACGCCTCAGCATGAAAAAGCAGGATGGAGTAAAGGCTGGGTGTAGCTCTCTATGCTGCTTCTGCTGCTGCTGAGTGATTGCGCAGGTCAGGACGGCGCGTTTCTCAGCTTATTATTCAGATTTGGTCCCAGCAGCTGCTTACTCAGCAGCAGTGAAATGAAGAGTGTGTCTTCGTGGCGCACTGCTGATATTTACAGATGGAAATAACGGTCGGCTGGTGATGAATGGCGCTGCCTGATGGGAGACTTGCTCTAATGCGAGGTGTGGGAGGGAGGATGTCGTGTTCCCTGAAGACAATGAGGAGGGAAGGATGGGGGTGTGTGGATGTTTGAACTATTAGATGCAATTATGAGGCAGTCACACAAAGGGAGTGGTGAGGAGGATGAAGAGGAGGCGCTGTTAACCACTGACTTACAACTTTAAATAACTGAACAGTCTATTTTGATGCAAAGCTCCTGACTTGTCCATTATAACAGCTTAATAAGTGATCCTATTTTTCTAAATATGCTTACCTGTATACTACTACAGCCAGCAATGCATGATACTACATCAGCACAAACTTTCCAGAAGCTTGTTTAGTAGCTTTTGTATGTGGTCAAATCCCTAATGTTGACCAATTACAGAGCTTTGTGACTGTGTCGATGTCGGCGCCCTCTACAGACAAAGTGGTGCGGCCCCTAACTCTTTGTTTTCAGCAAAAATCTCATCCTTGTTCCTAAGGTCGCTTTCACACCTGACCAAGCGGACTCAGTTCGACTGGGGAGCTGAAAGTCGCAACATTGTATACAGCATCATGTGGTTGAAAAGGGCGCTCGTCGATTGGACAAAGTAGGAGGGGTATGTAACCTCACGGATTACAAACGGGGTGGACTAGTCGTCTTGTATTGTGCTTTGTCACATTATTTCATGGAATACTACAACGTTAGTGAACGCAACTGTTCCTATGATGCTATCGTAGCTTGTCGGGGATTGATCCTGTTATTTTTCTAACTTTGACGATCTAACATGTGACAACATATGAGCTCAGAGTTTAAGGACTGTGACTGTTGGTAGTGATTTGATTTTGTTTAAATACGCCAAATTGTGAATTTATGGGTTATTGTTGTTCAGACGATTGAGCTAAGCTAGCTAGCAACTGCTAATGTCAGCTTCCTCTACCCAAGATGCACTGCGTATAGCGTCATTACGTACATTTGGTCCTGTGTTTGGTCCGGTGAGCTTTCACACTGCATACGAACCGAACCAGGGTTCACTTGCAAGTGAATCGAGACCCACGTTTTTAGGCGGACCAGAGTTCGCTTGTTTGGTCCGCACCAGAGTTCGGATGAGCTTTCACACCTGCCCAAACGAAGCGGACTATCCGGGGAAACGAACTCTGGTCCGTTTAAAGCGGACCAAACATTTAATAGAGGTTAACCCAAGAGTATTTGAGTTTGCACCACTGCACCACGACTTAAGCTCATAATGGGACCCCCTGTCAAAGCCAAACTTTAAAACTGCACCATACAGTATCAGCACAGCGCTGGTTTCCTCCCTGTGACAGTCAGAGAATTGGGCTCGTGACCTGATCCCCAAACTTTCTCAAACTCATTCTCAGAACAGTGACCCCTGCGCCCTCAAGATCTGTTCGCCATCCAACACTTCAGAGTCTAATTGCATCGTGCTGCTGGCAGCAAAAGTGTGAAACCCCTCAGACTCCACTCAGACTTGACTGTATATCAAAATCTTCTCCTCGGTTAACAAGAGAGGAAACTGATGCATCTGCTATCTGATGCTTGTTGGATCTAATCAAACCTTGTCCTTTTCATCCACAGTATCTCATTCAGAGGCCAGGTTGCAGAGCACAAAGCCGGCCTTTGAGCGACGACGTGGTCTGTTACCATCGAAATCAGCAGCACCAGATTCCTTACATGGTTTGAAAGGGGGGATGTTACCTTTCAAACATCACGGACACACAAAGACGACAGAGCTGCGAGACTGAGGAGGGAAAGAGGTAAATTGTTTCAGAGTTCACAAACTGCTGATTCACGTCACTACAGAAAAATATCTGCGCTCCGAATTAAACAGACTGGGAGTGGAAGCAGCACAGACAGCAAACACATCAGCGTCACCCCTGTTTTCAGGCACCACGACAACAGAAACAACAGTATCAAAAGGTCAGGAATTCTTTTCTCCAGGACAGACAGGGAGGGAACAGCGGGGACATTAATTGGGAGCGTTGCTGAGTCGTTGTTGTTGCTGCTGTTGACACAACCAAGATGGACAATGTGCGCTGCTAGGACAGGGAATATTTACAGGCAGCTCTTTACAGCAACGGGTCGGAATGAAGGATTACAACAAAAGAGAAATGACAGAGGGACAAAAAAAAACAAAGAGTGATCAGGACAAATCCTTTCATGTCTCATTATGATGAGGACATCCAGTCCTGCTGTATGATAATATCCTGTGTTTACTGAGATCAGGAATGACAGGCACAGGAAGAGCATGACAAACTGGTTTTCCTGCAGGGACTTGTATCATGACAGCGCCTCGGTTCCCAATCTCTGGTTGTAACCGCAGATTGTTTTCAACGTTGTTTCAGCATCATCACAAAGAAACAAATATGAGAAGACAGCAGCGGGGCGAGGGGTTCAAGATGCTCATTTCGCTCAACTAATGGTCCAAAATCTCAAATTACTCATCTTACTCTAGCTGTGCTGCATACTGCACACAAAAAAACATGTTTGGCTGTGATTTGATTATGACACAAGAGTCAAAATGATGCTGAAACTTCTGCTTCATGATGCAGATTTGGGTAAAAAGTTCATGCTTTGCCATGACTTTTTGCAAGACGACACACGTAAACAGCATCTAAAATGCTCCTTTTTTTCAATGGGGTTTGGTTGTTTATATTATGGACGATGTCAGATGCAAATTTCTTAATCAGGAGATTCAAATCCTAATAGTGCAAATTTGCTTGATGTTTTTGCTGCATTTGTATTGGATTCCATTGTGCAAAATCTAGCTTTGCTTTCACCATCAAAGTGGACGCATGACATATACAGAGCAGTTAGGTTATTGGCCCCATAAGGGACATACTGTGTTAGTATTTATTGCTCCAAGAGTGTAGTTTTATCCAATAAAAACAGCCAATAAAAGCTACCTCTATTTTTAGGGGGCACTGTTGTTGAACACAGAAAAGAACTGCTCTTATACGTTTAAAAAAATGAGCTGTGATTTTTTTTCTGTTGTTTCATTCATACTGCTTTGTCCCAAGAAAGAATTTATTTAAACATCAAGAATCTGACAGGTTATAGCTCAGCGTGACAGCATGTATAATTGCACCTGCGGCAGCTTGTGGCTCAGGTTACTCATGTTGTTCCCTTCTGCTTGTGTTGTGCTCAGTCTAAGATGTGTTGCTTTGGACCCTGGCATAAAAGCTAAATGAAATAGTGATATTTTAACACTGTAAACCAGTGGTTCTCAACTGGTGGGTCCCAGCCCAAAAGTGGGTCGTGGACACTTTCTGGATGGGTCACGAACCGTTGGTCAAAAAAGTAAATAGTTAATGCGACATTTAATAGATATTCGATATTTTCTGTAGAAGCAACTTCAGTAGTTGTCGTCCTCATGTTGTGCTCTGAAATGCACTTTACTCAATAAAACAGGTGGATTTATGTTAAAGATTAAGGTCTTTAAAGGTTTTTTTTTAATATAAAAAATTAATTTGCCCATGTGGGACCCAGTGTGAGACCAGCTGAGAACCACTGCTGTAAACTGTGTTAATTTCACATTACACTAATACAGTGGTTCTCAAGTCCAGTCCTCGAGTCCCCCCAATCCTGCATGTTTTGGATGTTTCCCTGCTCCAACACACCTGATTCAAATGATCAGCCCGTTAGTAAGCCATTACAGAGCTTGATAACGAGCTGATCATTTGAATCAGGTGTGTTGGAGCAGGGAAACATCCAAAACATGCAGGACGGGGGAGCTCGAGGACTGGACTTGAGAACCACTGACCGAATAAGAAACTTCCTTTGACAACTTCGCTCTTACTTTCATGGTGTACAACTTTATATTACATCTATTTTTTAACACACTCAAGGCCATTAGATACAAAGAGGAAGAACAACCCCTGCTGCAACAAGCTGACAAATGAGTAAAAATGGTGATGACTGTTTCAGTGTAGAATAACTTAATGCAACTTGCAGAACATTAGCCGCTGAGTCACCTGTAAATGTGTCACTGCTACAAAGATGTAGAGAAAATATGAAGCTGCAGTAGCTGTTAATGGCTCCAATAAATCCATATCGTGCATCTCTAGTTGGATGGCAGGAAGCAGAGAGATTTTTTTTAGATCTTTTTCTTGACAAAATGACTTAAATTATTCATAAACAATACTCTGCCTTTCAGCCTCAATCAGCGCAACAGACAAGAAATGATTCCCAAGATTGAGAAATTGAGGCTGGTAGGTTGGCCCAGTCATCAAACATGTTGTATATTGATTCAAAGTTCATCATGTTGTTTGTCTTCCTATAAGTACACTAGAAGCACTGGGATAAGCTCAAAGTTCACACTCTCTCTCTTTAGTGGCTGTCAAGAGGCCCTAGAAAATGCAAATTACAAACTGAAGTTTACAGCAGATGCAGGCAGAAAAAGCTACAATAAAAAAGTAAAATTAGAAAAAGGAAAGATTGAAGTGTCGGGTGGATTTGCCTTCAAAGACTTGAAACTGCGGAGTGAGCAGCAGAGATGGTGCCAGAGAGAAACACTGGCAATGCCAACAGGCATTATGGCATAAACTCACTAATAAGGGGAGAGGGCTGGTCCGCCCCGAGCTGAAAGACTGCAGTATGCACACAAACAGACCGCCTGCATCCATCCAAGAGCCATTTCCCAAGGATTTACAAACACACAAAGGCTGGCATCCAACTCCCACGCTCCACACTGTAGGCTGGTCAGAAAGAGCAGCTTCTAGATCTGTGTGTTTAGAAGAGTGTGTGAAGGCTATAAATACGCCTCAACAAGATCAAAAAGTTCCAACAACTCATTTTCAAGTCCGATTTAATCTGGCTTGTTTTAGTGCTGGAATTTTAAACAACTTCTTCTATGGTATTTCATCTCCTCTGCCTTTGAAGCTCATAATGTAAACACCAGACTCCAAGGGTAAAGATTGTTTTAAGTAACCTAAGCAGTGGATTATGAAGAAAGTCAAAGATTTACTTGCTGAGGGGCCCAAACTATTCATTTCAAGTGCGCTGATTACAGCCTACGTGCAGGAAACAACAAGGTCAGCCGCCACGGACCACCTGATTCAACTGAAGGAGAGACAAAAAACAAAAGCTGACCAGAGACAGAAAGAACAAGAGGCCTTAACGGAGAATAATAGCCATTCTTTGGCGCTATTGACCTTTTAAGAGTAACATATTTATCATGTATTCAAGCTGTAATTGTTACAAGAGATCCCTGAGACAATATTGAACTGCAGCTGCTCCACAACCACAACTGCAGGTCCTGTTTGAAACAATGTGGCTACTGGTGGTTAGGGATGAGTAATTTACCTCACAGCGAAACCACATTATGGAAGCCCTAAGCGGACATGCATCCACACATTGCCTTGTTTTCCTGTAAAATTGACCTAATTTCAGTTCTTTAAATCACCTGAAGTACATAAATACAAATCATTCAGAAAGGGTAGACAAAAGGGAGAGATTCAAATGACAGGACTGAGTGGTTGCAAGCAGACACAACTCTGTAGTCCTTGCTGCATTCACAAATATAGGTTAAAACTAAACCAAAGAAAGAGGAAACCAAAATGCTGGTGACTCCTCTGCTCCAAAGCCTTTTAAAGATGGACTGCTCAGAGGTGGAAACCGTCCTGTGGTCTGACAAATCAAAATGTAACATTCTTCTTCGAAGCCATACACACCTCCGCTCTAAAGCTGATTTAAGATGGACTGACGTAAAGTAGAAAAGTGTCCTGTGGTCTGATGAATCATAACATTCTTTCTGGAACTCATGGACACTGCAATCTCCTCCCTAAAGAGAAAAGGGACCACCCAGCTTATCATTGGCCCACCATTTAAAACCCAGCATTCCTGATTGTATGGACATGCAAAAGAGCCAGTGGTATTGGTAGCTTACACATCGGAAAAGTTACCGGCTGTTTTCCTGAGACCTTAAAACTACAAGATTAAAATCTTTTATCCAGAGTTGTGATAGCAAATAATAATAATAAATGAATAAATACAAAATAAAAATCAACATAGACCTCACTTTGCTGAATAGTTTTGACAATGGCTCTAAAGTTACCAACCTTTTGTTTTAGTTCCTGGTTCCTTAAAAAACGATTAAGCCATCATGAGGAAACAAACGTAAATATCTCAAGATTATGTGGCAAATTCATCTGATACAACAGATAAATCAACATCATTCTGAAATAATGAGAGAAATCAGAATAAACTCATCATGCTTAGCACTATACTTCAGAATGACAAGAAAACAAGTCCGGGTCTTAAGAAAACAACCAGAAATTAACTGTCATGAATAAAGTGAGCGGGCAAAATTTAAATGTATGGGAACATGTCTCCTGAGAGCTTCTGTGCTTCACTGCTAGGTCCTTTACGATAAATGGCATTATTAATGTTAAAATCACACAGTTAGATATGTGGAAAATCCCCATATTTCATCAGAATTACAATTGTGTTAAAAGTAGACAGGCCTTCTCAAGATGGCACCAAAAAGAGGAACTAAAACCAAACCAATTTTCAGTTCTCCTTATGATGAAATGGCATTGTAACAATCAGTGTGTGCTCTAAGTGGCTGTGTTTGATTATCAAATGTTATTTCATACATCTAAGTGACACATTAACACAACACCAAGCGTTAGGAAACAGATATGTTTTTACAGTGCATGTTCACAATGGGATATTTTTGGCAAAGACGCTTTAAAAAAATGGACAGGCAGCGGTTTCGTGACACCACGTCCATTGTTAAGTCATTACCTAAGAATATTTTTACTCCTCAGTGGTTAATATTCTCTCACGAAACCATACGACGACAAACAAAAGGGCTGTTAAGGCAACAATGCTGGTCCAAGCTCCTGTTGGTTTCCCAGTTTCCCGACCCTCTGTATAAATGCTGCAGTGCACCGCCGCCATCTTACTTCTCTATCCTCCTCTCTGCTCTCCCCTCTGACTCAAATGTCTCTGAAACCGTCATGACTGTTAATATTTTAATGATAATGTCACTGTCACATGCTCATTTACCCCGCTTTATATCATAACTCTGGCGTCAAGTCATCATAATGAGGCAAGAAGATGTCTTATTTACTCATTTTAATTCCCAAAACACGCCCACTCCCTCATATAGCCCTCGGGATATGGAAAATAAGACAATACGTTTTTCCTTTGAGTAAAGTAAGTTAAGCAAATTTTAATCGGCCTGATAACAGATAATGTGCCTTTTAAATAGTAACGCCCATTGCCATTTGTATCAGTATTTAGGGTGAATAATCTGTTGTCATATTGTTCGTTACATTTTAAATCAGGGTGAGGCTACTTCTTTAAGCTTGAGAAGGACATTGTATATTGTATGAGTAAAAATAAAATACAGATTAAAGGTGTTTGGTAGGCTTTTTGTTGTCAAATAATACGAATAAATCAGTCATTACAGGTTAAAGGGGGAGTCTGCATGAGAAAAGGGCAGCACGAAGCATCGGAGCTGTACACCCTTTGACATAAACACCCTTTCCTGTGGATTTCGTGACAACCGGGGCGCTGATAAAACGGACGATAACGGAAAATAATTAAATATTTCAGCTTTTATGTGTATTTTTTAGAGCTAAACAGCGACTGCTCTCCAGTTTGTCCATATCCAAGGATTCACACTCGGCGTAAAGACACCGGCAGTTTTACGTAGAAATTCCGGTTGAAACCTTCAAGATATAACGGTGGATGAAATGACCGCATTATTTCGTTAAAATAAACGAATTTAAGCTCAAGTAAAATAGTTTATAATTGCTTACGATCAAACTAAAATAGAAGCTATCACTTTAATGGAAAATATTTATTGAGAAAATTTAATCTGCGTCAGTTCTAAACGGTCGACAGACTATACCGTAAACTGCAGCTAATCTCTCTTTACTGCGAAAAGATCACTAATAAGTCTTCAGATGCGGTATTTAGCCAAAATATTTACTATGAATAAGAAAATGTGGTTTCTAGTCCTTCTTTGCGTCTCTTGCAGTTGAATCCAAAGCTTTAATTTTGAAGGTATTAGCGCACAGCTTCCGGTGTGACGGTCACTCACTGACGCTACTTTACCCAAGCAGACAGCCTAAATATGGTGGAAAACACTTCACATTCTCGCTGGAAAAAAAACAGATTTTCTTACCTCGGCAGCCAGAGCCGAAGCCGCTAAGGCCAGCAGCAGTAAAGCCACTCGTTCCCCCATGTCGTTTCAGTGACACAGCGCTCCTGAAGGCAGCCTTTCTCCGAGCTGTTTGACGCTTTTGTCAGCGGAGGAGCTGGATGTGTGTTCGGCGCCGGTGAATCCCGTTGTCTGATGGTGAGCGATACCGAGGCTGCACAGCTGCTCAGTGCCGGATCACCTGACCACAGCGGCGTGGGATTAACACATACACTAACACGCACGCACACGTTATCTGTCTGACACACACGTTTTTAGTCTCTCTCTGACACACACACTGAGATCTTTCATAAACCCACTTTCTGATTCACTAATTAATCTCTTTTTTTTATACTATAATTTATTAAAGTCACTTTAACAGGCGGCGCAACCTTTATTTATAGGCCCACAATTAAATCCCTGCATTAATCACAGTCTTTCACTAAATGATACAGAAAACAATAGGGGTCATACCACAAAAGTACACTTTAAATTGAAAACGAACAAGATCTAAGGTATATTTTCAAGTTACAACACTGACTTAAAATCTGATATTAATGACTCAAAGATTGAGCCAACAGGATCTCTAAAGCTAATCGGTAATCGGCCAAAACTCGCCGATTTTCGCCGATATTTTCAGAAATAAAATGCGGAGAACAAGATTCGGTTTCACTTCGAAAATGCTCCGCCATTTGAAAAGACCCCCGACCACTAACTACCTCACAGAACAAAAGTTTTCGAACAGCACAAAAGAAAGCGCTTTTCTGGTCCCAGTCGGTCTTCCTGTTGGCGTGAAGAGCAGTAGCCTACAGTGTATCATAGTATACTGTAGATATCTACAGTATATATGTATGTATATATATATATATATATATATATATATATATACTGTATATATCGGCCGATTAATTAGTAATCACATTTTTTCTTTTTTTTCACATTTTTTCCCCCCTAATAATTGGTATCAGCATCGGCCCCAAAAAATCGGGTAGGAAGTTCGGGTTTTATTGTTAATTGTTGTTTTTTAGTCTCTGTGAGGCACTTTTAACTGCATTTTTTTGTCTGAAAAGTGCCATAAAAATAAAGTTGAATTTGAATTGACAAGCTAACACCAAAGCAAAATGTGTTATCTTGCACCCCTTAAAAAAGAAACTCTTGTGATTATCTTGTGGGAACAAGTAATCTTATTTTAGATTTTGGAAAAAGTCTAAGATAATAATTAAAAAATATTAGGATCTGAGATGAGTTAAGTTGTGCAGCAATTTCTAAAACAATGGTGGTGATATCAGCTGTAAATTCAGCATGTATGCAATAGTGTTTTACACTATTAGACAGCCACAGGTGGAGAGAAGAGAGCAGGGAGAGGAGCAGAAGGAGGCAGGTGTGTGTGTGTGTGTCTGAAAAGCCAAGGGATGGAAAAAGCGAGGGACGTTGTTAAGAAATTTAATTAAACACAAGCCAAAATCTCCACATTGCAAAGGATGTTAATGAAAGCTCGAAAAGACTGATTAGTTTGAGCTGCAGCTTGTGATCACATGTAAATGCTTAAATTTTTATGACATTGTATTTCTGGGACTAAACTGAGATTGATGTAGTGGGGGAAAAAAAGTTCTTCAAATCAATTTATTTGATTATAATTACTTAAACGTCACTACTTCTTGTTGAACCAATCACAGTACAGCACAGTCAGCGTAATTCCAAATAACATTTTAATAGCCTAAAACAGCAGTTCAAATGACAATGCTTCACTACTTTCAGTACTATTGCAAAAGGCTAAAATGTTTCTTCTGCATTTCAAAACAAATCTGGTTGGTTCCATTTTCACCCTCCTATTGTATCAAGTAAAGCGATAAAACCCAGTTTATCACTAAAAAAACAAAATAAAAAAACACATTACTTCAAGTTGTCAATACAGTTAAAATCAGTTCATTGTATTTTTAAATTCAAGTCTTTGTGTCTGCACATTGCACGACAGGTCCAGACCCGTGTTGTGTTACACAGCTTTAGTCATCAACTTCAACCTGAGTCACTGACATAACTGGTTTTTGAAAATCGGGGTGTAACTTTCCATCAAAGCAGCGTCCACATCGTGTCCTGGAAAGACTCCTCTCCTCCTGCGATGTAAGGTTTCCCCCTCCACAATGAAAATAAGTGGTCTTCACCATCATCAAAGCAGCACGGTATCTTTGAAGTGCACAGGCAGGGGGCCGTGAGGACATTGGGATACTAATAATGGGGGAGAACTACTAGCTGGAGGCTGGTTGAGCTGCTAACAGTCAAAGCTAACAGAGTATGGACATGTTAGGGTGCTCTTTACACCGCTTTTGTGTGAAATTGTGCTTCTTTCCCCACTCCATTTAGTCTGGACTCAACAGCCGTGTAGGAAAATGTGGTAACTCTCCAAACCATAGGAGCTCTGGCCTGTGGATATGTATTGCACTGGACCGCCTTTGCATTCGAGCACGCCCTTTGAACGTTCTTCCACCCAGTTTGCAGCACCTTTCTCCAAGTGAGCATAATCCAGGCTGTTCCTTTAAACTCCCCCATAGAAAATCTCTGCTGCTGCTGCCTCTGCTGCTAGGATTCACTTGCGGGTGCAGCCAGGATAAGGAGGAGGTGGGGAGTAGTTGGCGGGCTGGGGCTGAGTTGGGGTGTAAGGTGGGGGGTGCAAAGGAGGGGGGTACATCTCGTAGTCATAGGTGTATGGAGGTGGAGGACCTGCGAAGAGAAAGCGAAGCACTTAAAAGATATTAGCTCTGAAACTTCCTCCATAAATGCAAACTTAAAAGATGAATATTGCCCCCATTAATGACATTCAATGAGGTGACTGCACCCTCTAGTGGTCAAAATGAAAAACTGCACCATCCAAAGAGTTGTGGTTTGTTGACCAGAATGCATGAGTGGCACCAATGAGACTTACATTATTCATAGAGGGATGACAGCAGCAGAGACAAAGGGTGAACTTTCAAGAACAACACCGTAGAGCAGTGGTTCTCAACTGGTGGGTCCCGACCCAAAAGTGGGTCGCAGACACATTCTGGATGGGTTGCAAACAGCTGGTCTAAAAAGTAAATATTTAATGCAGATCAAATGTTTGACATGTCTTTTATTTTGAAAAAATAGCTTATTTTGAAAGGAACGCATTATGTCATGGTCCTCCTGGGTTTCTTATTAATGTGGCCTGAATGCAGTAAAATTACATGTTTTTTATGGTCTTTATTTTGTGCAATTTGATATTTATTCACATTTGACCATACTGTCGCATGGTCCTCCTCAGGTTTTTTTTAAAAAAGGACGAGATACCAGGACAAAAAAAAAAATCTGAAATAGTTTTGTAATGTTAAATAGAAACATCTGAAGGGACTCCACTAATGAGGTTAATTTGCAGCCGGTCACTAAATTAACTTGGTATTAAAGAGTAATCTGGAGAGGCTGAGCCCATCTGTAACAAAAATGGAAAAAAGTTCATCTCTTTGTGAGGGACTGCAAGGTTACAGTTCAGCAGTTAAAGAATTTTGAGATTCTGTTTTTTGGTCTTTAGGTCGTACTGCATTAAAAACAGGCATGACTCTACAGTGGAAATCACTGCATGTGCTCAAAAATCCCCAAAGCACATTTCTGTGAGCAATGTGACGCCGCATCCATAAATCAAGGTCAAAACTGTGCCTCATAGAAACCATACATAATGAAGAAATCCAGAAATAAAAGGTGACCTCTCTAAGATGTTAAGATGGACTACTAAAGAGGTGGAAATCTCTCCCATGGTCTAACAAATCAAAATTTGACATTCTTCTTCGAAATCATGTATGCCTTTGCACGAAGGAGTCAAGGGACCAGGCTTGTAAAGAGGGTGTAGTCCATGGGCCAGCATCCTTGATGGTAGAGACAACAAAAAACCACATTCTGCAGGTGTTACAACATCATAGCTCAACACCTGATATGTTCTCTTTCCACTCTTTCAGAGTCAATACAGACTTGAAATGTTTTGCAAATAACCAAAATCTGTTTTGTACTCAACGTCCCCGCTTTCCTGGAACTGGGTTTGCAATTTTGCGACCGTGTAGTAGAAAAATAACAGTACAGAATACTGATCAGCCTTTGTCAAAACATGAAAATAATTCATACCACTGTAGCTCCATGTGAATACATTCATATTGCATGGCTTTCTGTGTCTGAGCGTTGTGTTTATGAAACCTGATCAGAGCTGCAGGGCAGAGCGAACAGTGCCAGTCCGGTGTAGCATGACGGCGATACACCGAGGAGAATGAAACGTGATAAATAAATGATGAGCTCCAGATTGAGAAAAAAAAAAACAGCATTCCTGCAGGCTGGAGAGTGTCAGAGTACCGACTGATTTGCAGATGATGTACCTCCAAGTACAATGTGGGAGCTCTGGCGCAGGTTTCCTCCCTTTGAGCAGGAACAGGACGTAACAGATGTGAAAAATGAAGGAGATAGCAAGTACAAGGTGTGTTTAAGTGTGTTTGAAGGCAGCTACGCAGAGCTCATGCTGAAGTAGAAAAGGTCTGAAGCTTCTATGTGTTGAAAAGGAGCAGCTTGTTCTTTGTGTCTGGATAGGAATGGTGCTAAAGGCCAAGGCAGATCCCCTTACACAGTACACCTATTCACTTTTGTTTTCTTTTCATATCTGAACGCCTGAGGGCGGGAGATAAGGTGACACCGTGGCAGAGAGTGATGTGGGAACTGATGCATTTTTAGTCACGATACATTAACCTGTCACTGACGCCTGTACTTCATATATCAGTCACAGTCATCTTTAAAATAGAACCTTATAGACTGATTATACAGATTCATTATTGTGCATGTCATTGATATTTTGGATAGTCAAAGGTAACAGGCATTTTTATCCCACATAAACCATAGCTTGTATTTTAGATAGACTCTAGGGTTGTTACCTGTGATGAACTGATGATAATGTGATTACCTGTCAGTCTGTTTTGGTGTCTCAGTTTCACTGTAAATATCAAGTAACTCAAAAAGGATTTTTTTTTCTCATCACAAGTAAAGACAAATTTATCACCTGCAAAATAAAGTCATTTATTGGTTCATTCCAGGTACTGGAGAAATGCCTGTTAATCTGTTTCTTTTGAGTCTCAGTTTCACTGTAAATATTAAGCAACTATGTGGTAATTCAAAGGGAAGTACATTCCTACAGACATGTCCGTCACACAGTGGTTCACCATAGAGCAGCGCCTGTCAATCTGTTCCTGTTGAGTCTCAGTTTCACTGTGAATGACTATCTTGAGAAGAATTACATGTGCAGATCACATTTGGAGAAAAACGTACCCCCACTGGTGCATCTTCAAAATGAACAATGTCCTCTCTTAGTTCTTGACATGCCTCAGAGTACAACCTATTCATCTGTTCCCGTCTCAGTCTCAGTTTCACTGTAAATACCGAGCAGTAGTGATAAGTGTCCTATTTTTTACTCTATTTGTTTTTATCTTGTTTTATTCTGCAGTTCTTATTTTGTACAATGACGTCGAGTGTTCAGAAAGGCACTTATCAATCCTTTCCTGCTGGAGGAGATAACTGCTTCTGATATTAGATGGTGTACATTATTATTATTATTATTATTATTATGTAATATTGTATTGGTAAGCACACCGCACATTGCACTTTGTTTCTGCATTTTATGCACTCTGCTCATGCAAAAATACTGGTATGACTGACATACGCTTTTTTTTTTTACCTTCTAAATCGTCTTTAATGCTTTTTACCTCCTGAACTGTTTTTTTATGTAAATGTATTTTATTTAATTTATTTTCTTTTATGATGAATGGCAGTGTTTTATATGTATTTTATGCCTGCTGCAACCCGATTTGCCCATTTTGGGACATAATAAAGTTGAAGTGAAGTGAAGTAAAAAAATGTATTGTTATTATTTTTATTATTATTAAAAACAGTGTGTTCATGTTAAATACAGGAAACTAACCCCTATAGAAATGTCATTTTGTGATCCATCACATCCTGTAGGATAGCGCCTGTGAAGGTTTACTGGTATCTCAGCTTCACAGTATATATGAAGTAACTTCAGAGGTGGCTGTGCAATCGGATCAAGTGCGAAGGGGAATTAATCCCATTAGATTTATCTTTGAAATAAACCGTTATTTGATGGTTCATTGAAGCTCTGCTTTGAGTGAGTCTCAGTTTCACGGTAAATACTGACTTAAGAAGCAACTGTGTTTATTAAGTGATTTATACCTGTTTAAATTTATCTGCCAAATGAAGGCCATCATGAAGTGGTTAATTATATCTCACTTTATAGCCTCAATAAGGGACATAGGATTTAATCACTGGGCCAAATGGATACCCTATTAAGACAAAACAATAAGTCATAGCAAGTACTTGTTAATGTTTCAGTTTTGATAGACCGGCACAAGTTGTGTTGGGAAAAGTCCTTTCTACTTCTTTAAAAGAGAACACGTTTCCCCTTTAGACCCACCTGGGTATCCCTGGGTCACAGTGTTGATGTAGGAGGTGCTGAAAACGCCAACCCTCGCACCCCTCCCATTCTTCATGCACATACACACACACAGGAACAAGGCCGCCACCGCCCCCATCAGAAACACCACGCCGAACACGATCCCAGAGATCGCAGTGCCCCTGAAATACACAAACAAACACACACAAACTGTGAGCTGCCCAGACAAGTGCGAGGGGAGGCAGCTGTCTCAACAGACATGCTACCAATATACTTCTCAGGAGCTGCCATGGAGATGGACTGCAGCATCTGATGTAACTCAGCTGTGAGCGTGACAGTGGTGTGTTCACAGTGGTGTGTTCACTGCAGAGGAGTGTGTGAGCTGGCGCTTTGAATTAGGCAAACAGTCATCATTAAGAGGTTGGTTACGACTTCAGAGTCAGCGTTAGTCAGCAGGTCAGATTCAGCACCAGCTGGTTTCACGATCAGGCAGCAAAGTTTGACTTTTTCAAAATGTCATCAACAAGAATATTCAAACATGCGACATCTACAAGTTTAAAAAAAAAAACATATCTAAAAAAGAGCAGAGGTCTGAGAGCAGGGTGAAAGTGTTGAAGCAGCTGCACTGAGTCAAAGCAAATTGAGGTCAAGGGTCAGATTTTTTGAAGACAGCTGGTATTGCAATTAGAGTCCTTTCTTATTTGATTTTCCCAACCAAAACAAGACCAGCACCAAGCCTACAGCTGAAAATTCAAAGATTCTCCCTGCACAACTGTACATTTAAAGGCACAGTATGTAATTTTGATTGTTTCAGGCCCCGGAGAAAACAATAACAGAGTTTGATTCAGTGTAAAATAGTATAAATGCAATGCAGTATTACTGTTTACAGACAAGGTAGGGTGGGGTTTGTTTATTTTGACTCGTCTTAGAGCTCCTGAAATGAGTTTAAATGAACAGAGGTGCCTCTTTCTTGCCAAAATAGAAAAATGAGATCATTAGCAACAAGATTAACAAATTATTTGTGGTCATTTTCTACGCTTGAAGAACTGTCACTTTTTAAAAATGAGCGAAGTGTTAGTCCAGGCAGGCCACAAAGTCAACATCAGTGCATCTACTGATCTGAACACTGGTGAATATCAGGTTGCAGCTCATCTGTTTACCTTCTTTGCATCTACTATGCAAATATCAAAATGTGCATTTCATTTAAACTGCTTTATCCTGCCTTTTTCCACTGCTTCCTCTGCAACCTGCCTCAAACCCAACCCATCCTTTTTTGCATCCTAATTTGACTTTACTAGTGTCATATATATTGTTATGGATACCTGCTCTCGTCTGTACTGAAGAACTAAACCACAAAATATAACTTAAGTTGAGGCATGCAAATAATTATTTTCTTTGACTGTGTTTTTTGCATCCCACCTCCTCCTTTTCATGCTGTCTCTGATCTTACTGGTGTCATTGGTATTATCACTGATGTCTACCCTGTTCTGTATCCTGTCCCTGCCCTGGCTTTTTATAATACATGGGTGTAAAATGGAGGGAAGGTGTGCTCTTCCTCCTGCAAGCTCTGGCTTTCCATATTTGCTTATGGGTGGGCAGGGAGCTCAGGAAAAAAAAATATAGAAATATCAGACTGTAAAAGTAAGTTCTTAAAATCTTTCTCAGTTATGATAGGCTCATAAAATCTTCACCAACAGGCTAAATTTCAGGCTAAAACCCCTGTGAAACCCAATATTTTCAATTAAGGTGCATTTTTAAGGTTCTTAAATTTTATCTTTGGGTTGATAAAAGCAGAAATTATCGGCGTATTCAAGTCATCAAACTCGCTTGGTGTGTCTGTGTTAACTTACGAGAGGACATCCCCCACATAGGCGTAGTAAGAGCAGCAGAAAGGCGGAGATCCATCGCAGCAATACTCCAGACAGCCTTCACACTGGGCTTCACTGCCTCCTGAAACAAACACACACACATGCTGAGAATGCACTCGTACATTTAGTCAAGCGATAAAACTTTAAGAAAAGCCCTTTATATAAAACACTGGGCTCTTTGGTGGAACAATGTAAAGCAACATTTAAGACCGTGGCCTCATGTGAAAAGGGATTGTGAGGACAAAAAGGTTTAAGTGGAAGCACTTGGGTGTTTCATGATTTAAGGAAGTCAGTCAATGAAAAAAGCCCTCAAAAAGCTCTTAAGTTGGGTCAAGATCTACAAAAAACCTTATACAACCTCCTTCAAGATGAAAAACTGACTTGAACCTATAATAAAACCTCACAGCAGCATATAACCCGGACCAGACGCCTCCATTTATACCTTTAAAGACCGATTTAAAAGTGTGAAGACAGTCGATTTATTATGAGACCAGAGACCTGGAAAGGCACTTACCTATTTTAAAAAGAAGCGATCAATACCTGTGGAGAGTGTGTGTGAGGGGGTATAAAAAAAAATCTCTGCAATGCACTCACGCTGGGACCTTTGCTTCTGTTCCAATAAACCCTGCCACCCCTGCTAGCTGGTATTATTGTAATCAAGGTTTTTAATCTCCGTTGGATTAGGCAGCAAAATAAAACCACCAGGGGATTTAAATAAGTCACCACCTACAGCAGCGACAGGAAGCTTTGTTGTTGTTGTTTTAAATCTTTGAGAAAGAGGGTTTAAAGGCACAATTTGACATTAACTTTGACTTTCTTTAAGTTTTCTGTCCTTGAATTCAGACCATGGTTACAAAAAAATACATTTCTCATTATATCTAAGTCCAAAACTATGACGTACAAGCCACAGTTGCCATGTAACAGCTACGCAGCATTTCCTTTCGTCAACAACAGGCATGCTTGGCTTAGTTTTCCATGTTCAGAGTTAACTTACTGAAGCAGCAGATCAGCCGCATGGCCAACCAGCTGAATCAAACTGCAGGCTGAGAACTGGCCGAGTCCAACAGATGTTTCTACAACATAACCTGAAAACCAGCACTTTTCTTAACATAGTGCAGCCATTTTTATGAGTTTGTTTGATACAACACCCAGAATGTCAAAATAAATCCAACATTAAAACACCCGCATGATGATATTTTTAATTTAAACATCATAAATTCAGCCTCTGTGGGTCATCTGCAGCCTCTGAGTTCAAAACCCCCTTACCCATGTGGTGATCTGAGCAGTTGGGGATGCTGTGATAAAGAGAGGCTGTACTAACTGACACCTTGAGAGATCAATGTTGCCAACCACTTGCTTCTCTTGTTATACCAACTTTAGAAACTACCGCACGATAGCAATACACAGCGGTCTGAGGGGCCATAAATGAACCTCGACCAAAACGCCACTCTATAGCCACAAATAATACTCAGAACAGCACCTAACTTCATCAACAGTACATAAAGGGTCCTAGCCATAGCACTAGCAACCAAACATCTTCTTAACTTTGCCTAATTTCTTTAGCAAAGAGATTGAACACAACTCACCTACTCTCTTCCAGCAGCCCTAAATTAATTTTACACAGGAATATCCCTTTAAGCTGTCTGAAGGGAGAGCGGACTGTTGTTTGTGAATGCAGAATCGGGGAAACACCAATACAAATTTGGCGAGCCCTCCAGGAGAGAAGGCACCAGAGTGTGACCCCGAACAGCAGCCACCTGTTGAAGTGTTGCAGCAACAAAAGCATGTCCAAGAAAAAAAAACCAACAAGAAACCAGGACAGTAATTGATCTCTTAACAACTGAGGTAAAGTGCAGGAATTACAATACTAACAAGGATTGTAAACAAATGTATGCAGAGACCCAGTTTGGTCCATCATGAGCAAAATCTTCCCTTGAATGAGCAGAAACCTGAAGTAGAACCAGAGTCAGCCTAGGGGTGCACCAGTCACAATTTTCTGGACGATCACAGATCTTTAAAAAACTTGACTTGCCAATACCGATTTTGGCCGATACCTTTTTTGTGTGTTCTAACTGACAACAAACACCTTTGATGCTCCAATCTTATTTTATTTTTGTGTTTGTTTTAGCTGCACATGAGGTAGTTCTCTCAAATATAAATGAAAGGTTTAGAATATCGCTGTCAAAACTACTAAATTATATCAATTCCTTTAGTCTTTTATTTTCCACATTTAAAAAATTAAAAATACTTGCACAACAGGTCACACTGCAGGCCTGTTTTGTGCCTCTTACCAAAATAAAATGCACAAGAATATTTTGCTTTTACAAATAAATGAAATCACAAGGTTTGAGGAAGTTAGTAAAAAAATAATCTAGAGGACAAACTAAACTGGCGGGCCTGTCATTCTTGCAAAGAAAAAAGCTACAACAGCTGACTTTCAGACCTTTGCTGAGGTAGATTAGATCGGTGGTTAAAATCAGTTTTATGTGTAAGGATTTACCGATCACTGATCCCCCAAAATCGCCAATCGGTGCATGTTTAATTAAAACTGATCGAAGTGTGACTGACATTTGGTTGTTTTGGGGGCAAATAGATACAGACACCATCCACGATCAGGCATATTAACTGTACATCCAACATGTTCATTCATGTCAGGTGCTAAAATGAGGTTTGCAGGATAAATTACACACTTTTGTGCACATGATTAATGTCATCCTTCCAGACGTTCAACCTTCATTTCCCGCACAAAGCCTCCGGATTCAAAAGAATTGTACACACAGCTGCTCCGCTCTGTGTACTCGCCTCAACCTGCTGCTGCTACCGCATGACGCTCTGTTATCTGAAGGGCTTTCCCCTCCTGAGTTTGTTGGTCATTGAGAAGGTTTTGGAGTCTCCAAAGTACAAAACAAAGTTAAAAAAAAAAAAAAGCTCTGAGCAAGTTCTGCTTTCTCTCAGCTATCACTCATGCTCAAATGATGTGCGCCTGGAGGCATGTGAGCAGATTTCCAGACATGGGTTCATGAGAAAATTTCAGAAAAAAAAGCAGAGCGCCTTTCTTCTAATTACTGCTGGAGGATGCTTACCCACAAAACTTGCAGGAAAAATGGATTGTGCACACCATTTCTCACCAGAAATGTCATCACAATCTCACTCCAGTGTACTTAAATAACAAAAAAACATGCTTTTAAAGTTTTGACGGATGTGTGTGTCATTACAGAGGTCATAGTCTGCCCACCTTTTTAATTAAACACTACACCCCCCCCCTGCATATGTGAATGCCTCCAGGAGGTCCCAGCAGCAGCAAGACTTCTGGTGTTGCTCTGTCTGGGTGGTCCACAGAGGTCCTGGCTCCTGTCTCTCCACACGCTGGGAGACAATAGCAACCATGTCCTCTCACCCCCAACTACTAAACCCCACCAGTTTTCACACACAGACACACACACCACATCCAGCAACTAATTTGTAGTTTCCCTAGCCTCTTATCCACAGAACTGTACTGCTGATATGAGGGTTTACAGGAGTTTGGGTGCTCAGTTTGAAGGAAATTAAACTTGAATTGAGCGTTAATACAACAAGGTTTGAAATAAAGTGAATATCAGTGAGTTTTATTTGCTGTTTACATGATCCAAGCAAGTTTACCTGCAAAATTTCACCGTTTAAAGATCCACATCCAGGTCAAACATGAAAAAAAAGACATAACATCTAGTCATTTAAGAGCTTAAACAGGGAAAAGTGCTTTTAACAATAGACTGAAAGCTTACCAGTGAATAAACAAAGCAGCAACGAGCTCTTCAGCAGCTTCCATCTCACCGCCTGCGTCCTCCTCTTCCTCCTCCAGGGGTTTTCCATGACCCTCCTCTCCCCCCTTGAGTCCACTTTCCGGGGTGTTTTTAAGTTTCTTATCGGTGAGAATGAACCGCCGTCTCTCAGTCACCTCTTCGGCTCTCCCCGTTGCATTTTTCTGCCTCCAAAAAACAGAAGACAGCTGTTTTTGGTATATCTCGGTTTGTTTGATGTGAATCCTCCAAAGTGGAGTCCCGTTTGTTCCTCCACGTGTGAGCGTCTTTTCAGTCCTGTTGAAACGTTTCCACACCTCCGACTGACTGCTGAGGGTTTTATTCCCCTCCCCCGTTTACTCAAATTACCCTGCAACACCAGAGAGAGAGAGAGAGAGAGAGAGAGAGAGAGAGAGAGAGAGGGCAGTTTCAATATCAACTTAATGCTCCTGTTAAATCCAAAATAAAAATATCATTTACAGGGGCAGCACCAGACTTTTTTGACTGGGGTGGCCAAGCCCTGGGGCTATTACTTTTATAGAAGTGTTTCACCACAAGTTAACCATTAAGGTCCTTACACACCGGGGCGACACGAATATAGAACGAGGAAATTACGAAATATTCCGAGGAAAATTTTGACGCCCTTGACTATACACATCAAGCCCGATGCGATTTTGCGACTTTTCTGGGGGAAAACGACGCATCCTGGGTGGAAGCAAGAAGACTGACACAACAGCAGACTGACTGTTCTTCAGTTCTGATTAGACTCTAGTGTTGAGATGTCTGTCTGTCATGATAGCATGTACTGAGTCGGGGCCAGTACCAGATAAGCACATTAAACTATAATCCATAAACGTAAGGTAACAACCCAGACCTAATGGTGCTGTGACAGCAACGCGATTGAGTTTGAGACAGTGAAAATACATATGGTATGTTGTATCTGAACAGGTTAGCTTACGAGCTAAAGTTACTTAGCACAGATGAAAGTTAAAACAAAGACGTTTACAAACTGTTAAAGCACACAAACCATTGTCATATGAGAAATCCGACGCTATGTCTCTCCACAAGTTGTTCTTCAGGTCGTTATCTTTGTAATATTTGTGTCTTTTATCAAAACGAACTCTGTTCTCCAAAAACGTAAACAATCAGCTGGTCGGCCATGTTGGATATACCTTTTTATTTTTTTCTTTTATGCTTGTTCTGCTAATCTGTGATTGAAATTCTGTTGCTTTTTTTTTATTGTTGTTGCTTTTTTACTGTGTACTGTAGCACTTTGAGATTTCTTGAAAATGTAAAGTGCATTACAAATTAAATATATTATTATTATTATTATTATTATTATTATTATTATTATTATTATTATTACCAATGAATCTAACGTTGCAACAACACGCAATCTGATTGGTCAGAAGTGGACACACAGTATGCGAAACTTTAGAAAAATCGACCATGATCCGAAAAAATAAATACCGTCATATCGCAGAATGGGAAAACGTTGCTGATGTGAACACTTGTATTGACAGGATACAGGTTTGAAAGAAATACTGACATCCGAAATAATCGCACGACAAAAACAGTCCTGGTGTGAAAGGACCTTGAAAAGGACCAATGACGAAAAAATTTCCCTGTTGAAATGCAAACAAACTTTTGGGAGTTGTAGGCAGAGCCTACCCAAGGAATTAGCGAACTAAGTGCCTGCTTAGGGCCCCATGGCCAGTAGGGGGCCCCCAAGAGCAATCCCAAAAAATATATATATTAAAATATTTGTATTTTTTGCATGTATGAGTGATGCTTTCTGTATGATCAAATATATATTATTGTGAAAATAAAACAAAGTGAAAACATTTTAGTGCTGCTGCTGATGTAGGCCTATACTGCCGATATGTCAAAGCTCAGCTACCGTTATTGCTGTGCAATGTGCACTGAGCATACAAAGTAGAGGTAGTTGTGGGGCAAAACAATGTCGCAAAAAAGGACATATGTTAATCAAAGAGATTTGTGAAGGTGTGTGAATGATCAACAATCAATATTACTCGCAGAAATAGAGGGCCCCAAATTCAAATTTTGATTAGGGCCCCATTAAAGGACAGCCAGATGGCATTATTATCACTTATTATCTACTGAAAGCTAATCCAGAGGGCACTTTTTCCACTTTTTTATGCTGTTATGCATTAACAGTGCAATGCTATCACTTTTAATAGACTAAAAATACACACAAAGAGCACTTTTGCTGCATATTATGTCTTTGAAGTATATCTGGAGGGCAGTTTTACCTCATTTTATACTCTAGAATTAAATCCCGGGGGACTTTTAATATATTTTATGCATTTTAAAGGCATCCAGAGGACAATATTTTCAATTCTTTACAGTAAAGAGCATCTAGAGCAGGGGCGGGCAATTAATTTTCACATGGGGCCACACGAACCAACAATAATTTCAATTTCAAATCAGGGGGGTCCACACATGCAGAAAAGCAAGCCTGAATAAGCAACTACTAGTTAAAAACAAGCCCAAAAAAGTGCACCCACGACTCACGAGTTTTACAAGTGACTTCTGAGAGAAACAAGCCTAAAGTCTTGTATAATAAGCGGACTGAGCAACTATAAGGCATCTACGTATATTTTGCCGATGTTTAAACTTGTCTCTGTTCACAAATGCAGATCTAGGATGTACCCACGTGCGTCCAAACGGTAATATAACAACGACTGGGTTTTTAAAATAAAAGCAGAGAGCGCTATATCAACATTTAATATGGAAGAGCATCCGTTGGTCCCTTTTTTTGAAGCTCTGATGTTGGAAAGACATCCTGAAGGCACCGTCTACATCTAAAATACTGGGAGGACAACCATCTGATACTTTTTCATGTTTAATGACGAAAATCCCTTTTGTTTAAGAAGTCAGCTGAGAAACTTTGACCTAAAATTGTGACAAACAATCCCACTTTCCACAGGAACAAACAGAAAACGATCCTCTGCGTTTGATGAAAGCCAACACCATCGACTCTGCAGGAGTGGGAGGACACAGATGAGAGACTGCGTATTACTATTATAGTCCTGATAATGCACAGTGGAGGGTGTGGTTAATTTCTGAACCGGCTGTGAATAATATCTTTGTAGAGGAGGGGAATAAAAGCTTTGATTGAAAGCTTGAATATCACCCCTGTTGACATAAAGAGTTGGGGTAGACCACCAACCCCCACACTCATTCTTGTTCGAACCTGCAGAGACCAAACTGCAGCAATAAACATGAGCTTTAAAGAGCTTAATTATACCTGTGGACGGGCTCCTTGTAGGCTGTAAACATCAGGAAATGAACACCTTAGTGTAGAGGACTTATTCAGACAAGTGCATGCTCAATGAGACTGATTAAACCTTTAATGGCTTGTAGTTTTATGGTTTTGCTTCCTCTCTTTTTGCAGGGAATGTCTAAAATCTGGATGGTGCTTTCGAGGATGCTAAACTGGATTAAATTATCCACGGTTTAAACTAACTTTTATGGGAAACCAAGGGTGGCAAAAGGAGGGAGATAATATACTTCTTGGAAATGCCACCCACATAGAGCAGCGATGATTCATAACACCTTCCAGATGTTTCTTTCGAGCTGTAATGACGTGACGGAGACATGCACAAATAAGCAGGTAAAAGGAGGCCAGAGTTTCATTCATGCTGGCCGTATTAATGCTGACATTATGTGTGTTTTTCTCTGTCAGTCGTTGAATCAGAGGAGAATTTGCGCTGCACTTCCTCGCCTACAGCAGCTGTTTATGTGCACAGATCCCTCCAACACATTATGCAGATTACAGAGATGGTCGATCTTGTTCTTAAGCAGCCATAATTACAGGATAATGATTTCCTTTGTGCTGCAGAAGGAGCCGACAAGGCGGGGATCATCCTCCTCAGGGCCAAACATGAAGTGCCACACACGCAGGAGGCAGATTTGGGTGACAGCGCAGAGTTTGGGGGAGATTCATCACCACAAATAATGAAAGGAGATGCGAAAAAACGGGTTGAATAGAAGAAAAGTGGTTCATTCATGTGGTTGAAGATGGGATGGGAGAGGGGGCCGATCTTACAAAGTTGGGCTCGATCTGATCCCGTCTTTACACTGGGTCTTTGTAAGTAGAGTTTGGTCTAGATCAGCTCTTTGGTCACTTTCAGTGTACTCAGGTAACCTCTGGTCTTACCTGGTTTCCCCTACATAGCTCATATTTCTGCCTCTTATATCACACCTGTCTTTTATACTAAGAACTCATCGCACAAACGTCCACATTTATCGTGTTTGAAATCAAACCATGTTGGACCAACAACGTTTTCGGCATGAGTTTGTTTGGTTTGATAAAGAACTCTTTCACTAAAGTCTGTGCACACTCTTTACAAACTAACTGAAGGATCATTTATGCACTGATGTTTTCATGAATAATAAAGTTAAAAGACTCCCTTGCTATTTGTTTGAGGGTCCCCATACTTCCTGAAAAAAGGGGCATGGTGCTCATTGCAGTCCATTTAAGATGATGTGGAACACTCTGATTGGCTAGAAGAATAATCAATAAATCAAGTGAAACAGACTTAAGGGGAAGTGTATAACTCCAAATCTTTACTTTATAACTGGGACAAACAACAAAAAAGTTAACACTGGTTTTTAATTTAAGTTGATTTTAACCTGAGTGCTGGATTTTAAAACTCAGCCTTTGACCTTTAACCTTGAGACCTTTGGACATTTTTACCTTCACAGCAGCTGAGTATGAGTTGCCCTCTTCATGCTGTGTGAAACAGGCTGGGGTGGTCGTGTGTTTAGACGCTGGATGGCATGCTGAAATACTCCCATCTAGTGGACAAACAATGAATGACAACAATGTACCGCACATAACTTGATCAAAAAGCACCAACACATGCATCTGAATGTGTAACCCTTAGAGCCACTGACATTGACTGCTGTAAAAACATATTGGATTCATATTTTTCCAGATTTTTTTCATGTATCTCTTCATTATTTTCTGCTCTATTCAAAACTAGTAAATGTTTCATTAAGAATCCAAATTTTAACCCTTTAAGGACCCATTAAAACAAAAAGTCACTAATATTGGGGGGAAAAATGGGAGGAAAATGACTGATTTTTATTAGATTTATTTTCTACCATATCAGTGACATTTTGTTTTGAATGGACCCTCAAAGGGTTAAAAAAAATGTTTTCAGATGAAACATTTACTAGTTTTGATCAAAGCAGAAGTTAATTAAGAGATATATGAAAAAAAATTGGAAAAAATATTAACCCAATATGTTTTTACAGCAGTCAAAGTTTTTTTAACGGATGAAAATTTGCCCAGCGCGTATTTTTGACCTGGTGAAAATTTTGAAGTCATATTCTCAAAGTGTCTATCAATATAAGCATCTGCACAAAAAATCATCCCATTTGCTGAAGTAAAAAAAAAGTTATGTGGAAATTAGTGGCTAAATGTTGCCCCTGATTTTAGCCACAGCTTTACACAAGGGTTACCTCAAAAGTTCAACTCACTACTGCGGTGTGAGGACATTTGATTAACTTTGGGAGAAGAAGGGTAAAGGTTGAGGTTGGGCTGCACTGTGAAGTCGACTTAGTCATTATTGTTGCTCCATTTCTCTCTCTAAAAGTTTCCTTGAGTGAGTGACATCCACTGAGCCTTTTGAGCTTTGAAGTGAGCTCTGTGTAATTGCAGAAGACACTAATAAAGAGGTTTCTCTCAACATGGATCAAATAAAAACAATAAAAGAGGTGAGGTGGTAAAAGTGGAGCTAAAATCATGGTATCTGCAGTCCCCCTGAAATGCTAACTCAAAAGGCTGGGGGATGCTCTGTCCAAATGCTGCATCATGCCACAGGACAGACTACAAGTAAACTTACTTTTCTTTACTTTTTCTATATTGTTGATTCAAGTAAAGCACATTAAAAGGTGTGTGTAGGTGCATCAAACAGATAAACCACTCAGGAGACGTTAGCTGCACAAGTCAATGTGATACTTTATTCATGAACCTAGGACCATATATATATATTTATATATATATAAAACACTGTATAAATACTCTATATACTCTACTCCCTTCTGTGATCTCATTAACAAATAAAAAATAATATTAAAAAGCCACATGATTATATTTAACAGGCTGTACAAAAATAAATAATGTTTGGATATTCTGTACAAAAAGAAACCAACATGATAGAAAAACACAAGATGCCTTCGCGGAAGGCAGAGAGACTTACTTATGAAGTATTAGCAGGAGACAAGTCCCTCTTTAGGTCTCCACACACACTCACACACACTCATTAACGCGCGCACACACACACACACTCCTCTTTGGTCTTTGAAGAGTTCCCTCATTAAAGGCTGCTGTGTGAATGAGGGCAAGATATGGCTAAAGGACAAAGTACTGAGGCGTTTAGAGACGACTGGGTGTTAACATGTGCCGCTGGCAAAAACAAAGATGAAGTGCTACAGGTTTGTGATAAATAAACTGGCAGTTTGAACATAAACACTAGGACTATTTATAATCTTATATTCCATACCTGATGGGCTGAGCGAGTAAATTATGAGCTCTTCTCTTTCTTTTGTTTCCTTATATACTCTGCAAGAACCTCCCACCCCCAACCCAAACCCCCAACATGTCTGTCCAGCCCAGCTTGGACAAACATTATATACATGCATTAAAAATATCCTCACGCACACTCTCACATTCTCACACACAAGCATTGGCACAGTAAGCAGCATGCTCCTTAAGGAAATCAGGAATGTCCATGCTCTCTACCTCATGATGGAGGTTAAATGTGCCACTGCTGCACTGAGGCAAGACAGGCTGCAAGCTGTAATCAGTCTCTGGATGCAACTACATGCAAGCGCCATGTGGACTGATTGCTGCCTCTGAAATGGAAGGAATAAAAGGAGCTTCGACAGTCATTGTGGACCCATTGACTTCCAAGAACCAGTGAAAACCTGCAGCACTCTGGTTCTGGATGTAAACATTCATCAGCCTCTCTGGATTGTCCGTCAAAAAAAGGAGGCAGTGAAGATCAGAGTCTTTATCTGACGCCTTACAAAAAGCTGGGTTTACAGGAGGAGGGTAGATTTTAGAAGCAGTCCTTAACAGGCACCCTGATTGCACAGTTCCAGCAGGGGTCGCGGACGGTCTTTGGAGTCACAGCTGTCATGGGTTAGCGTACGCCCGTCGTGGCCGATGCAGCGCAGTTGGCGCTTGCGGAAGCCTCGCCCGCAGGTCTTTGAGCATGCTGACCACTCTCCCAGAAGCCAGGAGGGACAAGACTGGGCAGCACAGGATCTTGATGCCAAAGGACGCAGCTCCTCTGGGCAATCCTTGGCAGGACGACCCTGAGGATCAAGACACACCACCTCCCTCTGCTGCATCCCTCCGCCACAGGTCTGTGAGCAAGGACCCCACTCCCTTAGAGTCCACTCAGCCCCACCGACCTCTCTGATTGCATTTATGGACTGGCGGCGGCCTCCATTGTTTGATGCTGAGCCAGCATTCTTGGGTCTGGGTGCAAAGTAGCTGTACTTAACCCGGGGTCTTGGAGATTCTCCGACGGACAGCACCTGGATAGTGAGGGGCTCAGGGAGAGGGGCGAAGCTGCGGATGCGCTCCAGAGAGGCGGAAGAGCCACTGTATCGCAATAAGGACCCTTGCAAGGCAATGTCCGTCTCCATGGTCATCAGCTTGTAATCCCCATTCAGCAGGTAGGTTCCATCTTGGCGGCGCACGGCTAAGTAGCTGTTATCGTGACGGCTGTTGCCTGGGGCACGCTGCTTGACATCCACGTGGGTTGCACCAGCAGGGATTGTGACAACATCCTGATAACCAGGCCTGGAAGATAAGTAGATAAGCACAAAGGTCATATTTGGGAACAAAAAGCCTTGGACCTTCATGTTTGATAAAAATGCAAGAAAGACAATGACAGCTTCCTTGATATGTACCTTGCACGCTCCAGAGAGCCCGACACCTTCTTGCATGTGGAACCATCTCCGCCGCACAGGCCACATTTATCAAAGCGCTTGTTAGAGCCAATGATGCGATCACATCCAGCCTTGACACACTGGCCTTGAACGCAGACTGAGGTGGAGTCTGGACTGCAGGGTGTTCCGTCAGCCACCTTGGTAAAGGAAAAAAAGATAAAAATTTAGAGTTCTGACTCGTAAAAAATGTTACATAATAGCGTGAGTCAAAAGTAAAGCAGAAAGAGTCTCTTCCCCAGGAAGACAGAAGCCTCAGGGCTGAGTGAAATTACAACTGCTGCAAGTCTGCACAAGAAACAGGCCTGTTCAGTAAATAAACTAAAACCCAAAGGGTGATGTAACACTTTTCTAAATCTGGCATGTAAGCAAATCTCACCTTGGATTTGAGGACAAAGAAGTATCCAGTCCCCTTGGCCCGGCACACCAGCTTGCAGCGGTCTTTGGGTGAGACTCCAGCATACTTAGGCACCCACTCAACACCCTCCCCTGAACCCAGTGACACTTGGGCTGACATGTCGTTGTGGGCCAAGCACTGCTCCTCACGGAACGACAGGCCTGAGAAAGAGGCAGAGCGAGGTCAGATTTATGGCTTGTTCAGCATATCGTGCATGTTAACTTTCACAGCAAAGTGTAAAAACATCCAGATCTACAAACATCACACTAAAGATCTTTATGAACTCAAGAAGAACCGGGGCTAACTTTCAGAGCATTTTTCAAATTTTATACCAGATTAGTCATTCAAAGATCTCATACCATTGGTGTCAGGACAGGCCTCCGTGTTGCAGGAACGGTACTGGATCCTCTTGCCCTCACAGTACTTGCCCCCATTTTTGGGCAAAGGGCTATCACAAGAACGGAAGGAATACTGGACTCCCCCTCCGCAGGTTCGGGAGCAGTCGCCCCAAGGACCCCACAACCCCCAGCCACCATTGACAGGAGTCTGAAAGAACAAAAAACATGAGAATTACAACTTTAAAATGTGAAGGAATAGGCTTATGAGTCTATATTTGTTACAACTACTACTGTTTTAGGGAGCATTCAGAGAGGTTTTGGTTCCTACCTGGTGTTTGGCAGCTTGGCTCTTGGTGAGACACTGTCCAGCCAAACAGAAGCTCTCGTGCCCACATGGTGTTCCATCTGCCCAGGGAAAATTCTTTGTCTGGCACACCAGCAAACCATTAGTTGTCGTCACGGTGCACCACAGAGCTGCACATGTGGAACTCAGATCTGGGCAGTGCTGTGAGTCCTCGCCAAAGGTAAGCCGACACTGGTGGTCAGCACCATAGACTGTGCCAGGCAGAGGCTGGGGGAGTGGCTGAGGTTTCACTGGTTTGTCCAGAAGGCACTGACCATGGCCATTGTCCAGGAAGGTGGTGACCATGAGGGCGGAGCACGGGGACCAAGGCTGCTGCTGATCCAGGTTGGACAAGGTGGAGGCCATCATGTGGGAGCCCCAGTGGGCACCATTGACGCCTGAGCACAGCTGGGCGTCATCATGAGGCATGTTGAAGACGTGGCCTGAAGGAAGGGAATGAAAAACAGCTCTTTGAGTACCTCGTGGATGAAAAAAAATGAGTGTAATGCTTGTTGAGGCAGGCCACAAGTTCAAGCTCAGCTCACAGTACATCAGCTAAACTTGATGCCAACCTATATCAGCTGAGAGTTCAGACAAATACCTACAAAACATCCAAACAGTAATGCCATATTAAGTGTTTTATTTAACCCTTGGGAGATTTTTGCTTCTGCTCTGCCTGCCATGACTTACATACACACATGGAAGGGCAGGGAGCTCCCAGAACAGAGCCATACTGTCAAAATAACTTATTGCACGCAAACAATTCATCCTCTTTGGATTTACTCTTACCGAGTTCGTGAGCCACAGTAAAAGCTGCTTGAAGTCCATCATCTTCAATAATTGAGCAGCTTCGGTCAGGGTCACAAACTGTACCAACATCTGCCATGCCAAGAGTGTCACAAGAGTGGGCACCACACAGGTCCTGAGCAGGGAGACATGGAGCAAGATTATTGTTTGAACACTTATTTTCATTATCTCTTAAACGAGCTCTATTTCTTCATCATCTAACTTACTGTTCTGGTGAAGAGCACAGCCGTATCATAATGCTCAGGATGGCGGTCACTGGGTGGGTTGTGCTGGCGCTGCCACTGGCAGAAGTTGCGGAGGGTCATGGCGGCGTTTGACGACACTTGAGGGCCTTTCTCTTCTTCGTACACCACCAGCAGCTTCACCACTGCCAGGCTGATGGAGTTGTGGATGCTGGGGTGGCGATAGAGGCGGGAAGCGACTGCCATGATGGTCAGTAGGTAGGGTTTGAGCCCGGCGCCGTGGAACTCAGCCATGGATTGATCGGCGACCAGCATGATCTCAAGGTAGCGAGGGGTGGAAACAAAACGCCGGCTCCTGTGGTGAGCTGGGGAAGAGAGAGTGGAGACTGTTTAGACTAAGCTGGGTCCAGAAGGACATGTGGGCTTCTTCAGGCTTCAGTCCTGATTTTTACATCTGTTAAACTTGTGACATTTTTGCATAACATCCAGCTTTTTTGGAAACTGTCTGCAGACTGAGGAACTCTGCCAGTGCTCTAAATAGATACAAAGGCCTTTTTTTCAGGCTCCAAATCAGAGCTCCGGATGTGCCTGGAGGAGCCTGGCCGTGACTCAGCGTCACACCACCGACGGCTCCTCCTCCTCGGGGTCTACATTCCTACTCTGACCTTCTCTGGTGGAAAATTATGCGAGGGAGAAAGCGAAGGGGAGAGGAGAGAAAATCCTTTCTGGGGAAAAATTTCTGCCGGCGCGAGTTGTACCAGGAGGCGATCTTACACGTCTCAGCACTGCCGGGCTCTGGCTGGCCCCAACCCCGCTGCTCCCCTCCCCTTCCTTCGTCATACCTCCTCCTCTTTCCCCTTGGAGAAGTTTCCCCCTCCCTCCACCTTCCCTTCCTCCATATTCGCTGTCAAAAAGGTAGCTGAGTGCACTGCGCATGCTGTGCAACCTGGCACATTTTCAACTCCAGCTGACAGCAGTTTGGTCTGCAAACTAACTGCAGCTACTGACTTAAAAGATTCCCCGTTTGTTGCTAAAATGTTTTTAAATAAAACTGAGTATTTAAATCACTAATTCTTCTAGACTCTTGATTCTTTTTGTTTGATCATTAAACATTTGTGGTTTATAAAATGATTAAAAGTGCGTAAAAAGCGCGGTGTGTTTCTGCAGCCTCACCTGTCTGCTCTGCCTTAGCGGCTCCGCTCCAAGCTTCTTTCTCCAGATTCTTTGGCACTCTCTCCTCGTCCTCGTTGACCCCACACTTGGAGCTCCCCTCCTCAGCCAGAGCAGCACGACCTCTGCGGCGGATGAGGTGGACATCCTGCTCTGAGCCCTGGAAGTCACTGGAGTTGAGGGGCTGGATAAAGTACTCTTCGCCCTCAAAGTAGAATCCGCCCCTGAGCCCGTGGCAGAGGTTGAGCGCGGCGGCGGAGTGCTCCTCTCCGTTCACGGTGCCTGAGAAGAAACACCCCGGTTCCGCTCCGCTCTTGGGTTCCTGCGTGGGTTCGGACTCGGGACTCCCCACTAAGCTGAAGACGAACCCTGGCGCCAAGAAGGTCTGGTCGGGCTCGAGCTGCAAGAACAGCTCCTTGCCAAATACGTCCAACCGGTACTCCCTCATCTCTGCCTCCTTCTCCTTCTCCTCTGGGGAAAGAGTCCGCCACGGTTCGGTTTCACTTTCCGACCGGGCTTCTGGATCTAATCTGACGGGCACCACAGTGCTCTCCTCCCAGGCGCCGTGCGCTGTGCCGACGCACAGAGCGGCAATTAAACCGATGGAAACGCGTAAAAGCAACATCATAAAACAGTGAAATCCGACAACTGAGGAAATTTATTGATATTAAAGTCTCTACCAGGAAGCACGTTAATCCTTTTAAAGGTTTTCCCACTATAAGCTACAAAACCAGAGTCTTTGAACTCCCACAAAACTGCCTCCAAAATTACGCACGAGCATAAAAATCTAAAAAGGGATCAAATCCAGTGCAAAAGTCGTTAAAAGTTATGTGCAGGCTGACTTGTTGCAGAAAAGTCTTTTCATTTAATGAAAATCAAATCTGGATCTCGGCAGTAAATCCAACAGGTCTCTTTCTCTCCAAAAGTCAGCAGCTGTCTCAATTTCTCTCTCTCTCTCTCTCTCTCTTTAAGTTCGGGGGCAGCTTTTTCCTCTGCTGGCCCGTTTGGTCTGATCTCTGCTCTTGCCTTGCAGTCAGAACAGAGCCGGTCCCTCCTATATATCCCCCTACCCCGGGACCACCCCTTTCCTGAGGGCCCTTTGATGTGAGAGGGGCCAAATCCCGTGCGCAACGAAAACGCACCAGCAACCTGGAGCGTTGCCATAATAATCAATCATTGTGGAGGGAAGGAGCTTTGGGCAGAGGAGTGTTTTCTTCTTCTGACGGTGTTTGACTCATGAGATGTACACATACACTCACAGCCCAATAATTTCATCACTGATTAGATTTATTGTCATATATTTGTCATTTCACTTAATTTACCATAAAGTTAAAACATTTGGAATAAGAGGGGCCAAAAGAAAACCCCTAATTCTCAGTCTGGGACGGATTCAGTGCTCTACTTTCTAACTTTTTCCCTTAGCTACAAGCTCTAATCAAGTTTATTCCAGTATAAATCACAGTGACGGGCATGGGTGCATTATAAGGATCAGTGTTGTAGTGGTAGTGCAACTGGAGCCGGTATATGGCAGCAGGTCTGGAGTGGTAACCATACCGGGAGCCCTACTCACCTCTCCCCGTGCCAAGCCGGCTGTGGTGTGCCGTGGCCGGGTTCCTTAGCTCCGCTCCCCGGGGAGAGGGAGCAGAGAGGGGCCGCTGAGGTCTTAAGGTGGAGCGGCTCAAACACCGGGCTGTTTCTGAGGTAAGATTCAAGGCGAGCAGAGCCCCCGTCCTCTGGCTGCTCACCCCGCCCGCCAGGGCTGTTCCCCACTCTGCCCAACACACAGGAAGAGTTTACGCTGGAGGTTCAGGACAGATCACCGGCAAAACTGGAAATCAAAAGAAAAGCAACAAATTAGAGAAAAGTGAAACACTTTTTGAATTAAGTCCGCTTACATACAACTTTTTAGCGACATTTACCAGAAAAAAACCTTAAATGTGTATATTTATACACAATTATACAAAACTTTCATATTCTGATGATTTTAGGAACATATTGGGCTGATTTTAACTACTGTGCGTAACTTTGACTCAGTGGATCATACATCTCTGATGACTTCTCGATGGGATAAATACAAAGTCCACCTTAAGAGCAACAGGTCAGAAAAGTTAAACATTGTTATAACATAATCAGCCAGTAGATGGCAGCCGATAACTGCATCTTAACAACAAGATTTTCCATGCCGCACCAGGGCAATAACGTGACTCATCGCCAGGTGGCGCCTTTACATCATTTTCGGGAAGTTGTAAAAATTAAAACAGGCGTCACTGACCACAAGGGGGCGGGTTTGGATAACGATTGAGCAGGTTTGGTTAAGTCAGAGGGACAATTACAGGGGATGATAGCCAGGGAAGAAATTATATTACACCTTAAAAATGTATAAAAAAAAAAAAATAAAAAGATAAATGAAATAAATAAATGAATAAATAATAAATAATAAATAAATAAAATAAAACAAACAAAAATAAAAATAGTTATATTTGTATGTATATTTATGTGTATGCAAATCTCTCTCTCTCTCTCTCTTATATATATATATATATATATATATATATATATATGTATACATTATATTTTTTCTTCCTTAATTTAATTTATTAACATTTGCTTTGTCCCTTTGTTCTGCCGCATTTTTCTTTTTACTTTTATTAGTTAGTATTATCATTTTACACTCATTTTACACACACTCACTCACTCTCTATTTCTCTCTTTCTCACACACAGACACACACACACACGCACACACAAAGTTAAACTGATATCCTAGCTTATGTCCATCTTGTCTCGTCTTCCCCATATCTGTTTTTTAGTTTGTCGTCCCTCACCTGTCATGTTCTGTTTTGCATCACTTAGTTAAAAAAAGACTTTGTATCATGTGTTTGGGCCTGGTTTGATTTGAACATTCACAGAGAGAAACTTAAGGCCATTCTATCCCTGTTTTCTCTTTTAAATTAACCTAATGCAACTTTTATTTTCCTGTCACACTGCTGCTTATTGCTGCCTGAAATCAGTGTGAGAGGGTAGGTGTCAACAAGGAGCTAAAGAAACAGCCCTGTTTGTTCAATTTCTATGTAGAATATGGACAATAAATAACAATAACAGTCACATGAGATTGTTTGGCTGTAGCTCCAGTTATGAATCCTTATTAATGCTACAATGCTAATCCACCTGAACATAAACAAACACATATCACAGACAGGATCTTGTCGAGTGACACATGCAGGTGGATGTTAACCTGGCTGGTGGAATCCTAACTGTAGGAGCTCTCTTTGTATGTCTTTACTGACATTATTTCAGCATATTATTCAGAATTTATTGATAATTTCCTGGTCCTTGTTCTTGCCTCACCTGCTACATTTCAGACTCGTACATAGACCACCACCAAGAACTGAAAGTGTGAGGATGTGTACTGACTTTTTTTGCAACATTTTAAGCTAAAATATGAATTTCAGTACACAATTAATGACACAGACACAAAGGTATTTAAATATATAGATTTTATGTACATATATTCATGTGGATGACTAGAAAAAACACTATATTCTTACATAGGAATGCATCTGCACAGTCATATTCCTAAGTTAAATAGTAATTTGATACAAAATTACTATAATAAATAAAACTCATCTCATTGTTTCTTTATTCACACATACCAGTTGTACAAACAATAAATTACAAGTTCAGTGCTGTGTTTTTCTGTTGTTCAGCGAGACGGGTTTCCCCACTGGAAGATTCAGAGAAGGTTTGTGAGTGTGTGTGTGTGTGTGTGTGTACGTGTGTGTTGGCATGTATAGTGTGTGTAAGTGTGTGTGGGAGTCCCAAATACTCAAATACTGTGCAAACGATGGATTGTTTCATTGATGTGTGTACGTGTCTGTGTAAATATGGTTGACTACTAACACATATATGAAAGACCTAGTACTTGCATAAAATGTTTATATGGTCTAAATAAATGTGAATGTGTGAGGAAGAGGAAATAGAGCATTTTCAAAGTGGTTTGTTGACCTGAAAACTTTTCATGTTGAGTTTTCGCATGCACATGTGCTAAATGTCTGAGGTTTGCCACACAAGGAAACTGGGCAGGATCCAGATACTGATAGCTGCTACAGGAAGTAGTCCATTATGTTTGTAATTAAAATAACCGAGATGATTTTTCAGGATATTTAAGGTACAATTGCACATTTGACACATTTTAAACAATATGCATTTAACTCACAATTGTCTAAAAGTCCAGTTTTTTGTTGTTCCTTACAATAGTTTAACAGGTATATCTGCAATAATGCAGTTTTCGAAGTGATGGGAAACTCAAATTCTATTTTTAATCTCTGGCAATGGTAGGTGTATTAAAGAAAACTTGCTCACAAAGATGTAATACATGCAATATGTATTTTACAGTAATTTTGGTGTACTGTCCCTTTAAATTAATCTCTTGTGTGGCAAAATCTGAATTGTTGTAAAATGGCTAAATCAGAGTGCTAACAGGTTTACCAATAATTTGCAAATACAGGATGTGAATGAGATAAACAGACAATGGAGAAAGAGTTGAATTGCAAAAGGACATTAATGGTTGCATTAGTGTCGCTCTTGCTGTCGTTGCGAGTATCCAGGGCACACATTGTCATATTAGCATTGCTTCTTAAACAGATAGACAAACAAACAAACAGATATTTACTGCCACAAGAACAACGTGGGGACTGTAAACCTCCCAGCACCAGCATAATGATTGATATAAATGGAACTGAGAGTGAGGAAGCATTGAGATCACAGTACATACTGTATGTGCTTCAAACACAGGCCTGGGTACATGGATGTGCTAGCACTTAGCATGCACACAAAAACACTCACGCACATTACACTCACACACATAAAAAAAAAAATCAAGCATATCCCCAAACGTTCGAGTCATAATTGACCTCCACAATGAGTAAGGAGTGTCGTGGTTACTTTGCCCTTGTGTCCCAGAAGGCTCCCTTCAAATATGGTCAAACAGTGCTGCTGTTTCCGCACTCCACAGGTGACTTCCCCAACACCTCAAGAACCTGATTCTGGTATTCTGGTAGACAGATCAGTCGACACAAGATAAAGAGGGGTCGGTAAGTTGAGAACACTGGTGGGGGCGACTGACACCCCAAGAACTCCTAACAACCTGTTTGTGTATGTCCATGAGGTTGATTCTGTGTAAGGACCTGGTCCAGGTACATCGCCAATTTACAACAAACGAGTTACTGTATTTTACATCATAGGATCCCAATCTTGGGCGTTCAGTGTTTTGGGAGATGGCAACAAAGGTGTAAGACTGCAGAGGGACAGCGGTGGATCAGGGCTACAACAACGACAAAATAAGGACAACGTAGATATTGAGTGCTTCCCATCATTGGGGCTCTTGTCTCGGACAAACTCACGATGAAAGACAAAGGGATACAACTTCCGAATCCCCACAGTGATTGAAACATATGGAGTATTGTAAAAAAAAACACACACAACACACATGCCATTACAGGGCAACACATACTGAGTCTCCAGAACTTGGAGACTGAAGTAAAGACAATCAGTGACTGTCCGTGTGGAAGTGACATGCATGAAAGTCCTCAGCTATGCCAGGGCCAGACTCGTCACTATCAGACGGGAACTGCCATCTGTCCTACTTGCATAGCTCTTGTGATTCCAGGACATTCCTCTGGCGTATGGCCAGGTACCATGCCAATAAGTCTCTAGGTCTCTTGCATCAGGTCAAGGCGCTTTAAGCCAACATTCATTGTCCTTAAAGTCACTGGTCCATAGTCCTACATCCAGCACTTGAGACCTTTATCAGAGGTACAGATTGTACTCCTTCCTATAAACTGTTCCTCGTCTGACAAGTCCCTTCTCTGCTCCAGTCAGCTCAACATTTTTTCACCAGACAGTGTTTAAAGGCAGAAGGTCGGGCACCAAGTGTGCAACCCTTGGACAGTTTCCCGTCTGGGTCCTTGCACTGAACTGTCCGACTCTGCCAGCCTGTGTCACAAGTTCTAGAACAAGTCATCCAGGATCCCGTTACCCACTGAGGTCCTGGGCTTGGGGTGGAGAGAATTGGACCTGCAGGTGGCCCTGGGATCAGGATAGGGGGGACTGGGGAGGTTGTAGTGGTACTGCTGGTGGTAGATGTGGTTCTTGTGGTGGTAGAGACTGTTGTAGGGATCTGTACAGGGATTGACTTTGAGTTTGGGATTAGCGGGGCTGACGGCTGCTGTGGGGTTGTCCGGCGGAGCATGTAGAAGCTATAACGAACATCCAGGGGCTTTTTGGCATCTGTAGCTAGGATCTGGACCACCAAGGCTTCTTGGATGGCACCAGGACCCATACTGTGAAGCCATTCGTCCTTTTGGCTCCAGCCACTGTAGTTGAGCACAGAACCGTTGAGCGGGATGATTGTCTCAGAGGTAGAGATCATGAATTTGCCATTTAGGAGATAATCGCCATTGGGCCGTCGGAGGGCCAGATAGGCGGTGTAGCGGGTCTGGTCCTTGGCCTTGTGCTGACGAACCTTGATGTGGGTGGAGCCTGCAGGGATTTTCACTACATCCGTGTAGCCTTTACTGTTTGGGATGAAAAAAAGAGGTCAGATTAGTGCAAAAAACAGTGTTTTCTTTGGTGTTTTCATGGATTTGATTTACTGGCTTAGGGAGTAGGTCCTTCATAATAAGCTTCAAGACCGACAAGTCCCAACTTTCTTTACCGAACCCTATTTTAAAGAGATATTTCAGACACAACCTTGTGTATGTCCAAGAGGAGACAGACACCTAAGAACCAGGTTTTTGTGCCTTTTACACATTTAATTCCATTGAATGTTGACACAGTATCAGACCAATCACAGTCACTGAAATTTCAGTGATGTTACCCCATGAAAAAGATCAAAGCATATTATAAAGTCCACCAAATATTTAATCAGTGTTGTCCCACTTTCCTCTAAAATACAAAGGAGCACAGCTCACAGATTCGAATTACTTTAGGCATGCCAAACATCCAGAGACTTGCTGACATGCAGCCTGTTTGAGCCTTGAGGTTTTTTCCAGTGAACATTACTTCTCTCCAAATTTGTCTTTTTAGCACAAAACTGATCCTTTAAACGTATATATATATTCGCATAAAGGTGTCACATACAGTGTAATGCACGGACTAAATTTCCCCTTTTCCTTACCTCTTCTTGGTGAAGTTGCCCACAACCCGTATACACCCAGTGCTGTCACCTCCACATATACCGCACTTGTCAAACTGGAGCTTGGAGCCAATGATGCCGTCACATCCTGTCCGTATACATTTCCCTTTAACGCACACTGAGCTGCTGTAGGGTCGACACTCAGTCCCGTCTACCACCTGCAGAAAAACAGCCGCAATCACGTCATCTTTCAGGGTTTTTTTTACAGTCAGTACACCGCACCTTAAATTTAATTACCCACCCTCTGTGAGAACACCACGTAGTATCCTGTTCCTTTGGCTCTGCAGGTCAGCTTGCACACATCTTTCGGCAGCACTCCTGCGTACTTCGGCACCCACTCAACAAAGGTTTTCACCCCTTTAGGATCGGTCTGGGGGCCGTTACGCACCTCGCATTGCTCCTGACGGAAACTCTTATCTGAGGAGAAGATTCAGAAAGAGTTTTTTTTTTAATTAGAGCTCTATCTGACCTTCACAAAATAGAAGTCCTTTATCGGTTGTCTCACTCACTTGATGCTGGGCATGGTGTGACGTTGCAGGACCGATAGATGGCTCTCTTCCCTATGCAGTAGCGCCCGTTATTCCGCGGCGGCGGGTTGTTGCATAAGCGATTGGCAAACTGCACGCCGCCTCCACAAGTCCTGGAGCATGCCCCCCAAGGACCCCAGGAACTCCAGCTGCCGTGGTTGGACGCCTGGAGACGATAAAAGAGGAGATAAGAATTACAGGAAGGAGGCTATTCTGATATGATAAAGCCTTTTATTAAGACAGCATGACCGGACATCTGATCCAACAGCTCACATGTTTCCCCTCAGACTCTGCTGAAGTTTAATTTTTACAGAAATGTGCTTATTTTTGTGTTTTCACCACCACTGGTAAATCTTAGCTGTGATAAAAATGACCACAGAGGAACATTTTATGAGACAAAAACCAAAACGGAAAAAAACCTTTCTGCTCACTTCCTCAGTCTGTACATCTTTTCACAAAGTAAGACACATCATCTGCATTCAAACTGCAGGAAATCTAGAGAGAGTTTGAAGACACTCAAATGGAGGGGTTTGTTGCTACAAGCTGTAAACTGGTCGTCATGCAAGGCAGCAAATATAAAGCCAGTCAGCACTTGGGTCAGGTCCACATGTAAAAGTCATCCGCCAAGGAACGAGTCAGACTTGTCAAGTATCATGTGACAAATAAACGCAGAAAATATCCTTTCTTGTTCTGAGTTTCCCTGTTTCTTCTTCCCTTATCCTGCCAAGAAGAGACTCAGGACTTCAGCTGGCTGTGGCTTGATTTAATTTTGATCTGTTTAAAGAAGGCCAGGAGATCAGAAGAGATAGAAATGAAGTCTCTGTCTGTTCCATCTTTTTATCCTTTTTTTTAAATGCACCGATCAAGCCAGTTCAGAAACACAGAAACACTATCCTTGTGTAGGGGGAGTTGCAAGAACTTGACCCTGGTTTCAAAAAGGTGAAGTCCGCGCTCTCTTACCGAGTAGTGTCTCTTCCTGGTCTTGTCCACACACTTCCCCTGCAGGCAGATGCGTCCTTTCCCACAGGGCGTCCCCTCAACAGCTGGCAGTTTCTTGGTCAGACACACCATCTGCCCCTGCCGGATCACGGCGCACCACAGGCGGGAACAGACGTCCATGCCGGGGCAGACCGTGTACTCGGGGCCAAAGGCGAGGCGACACTGGCGGACGGCGTCGTAGCTCTGGCCTGGGAGCTCCTCGGGGCCCAGGAGAGGCTGTCGAGGGGAGTCTAGGAGACACTCAGCTGTGAAAGGACAGACAGAGAAAAGAGTCTTAAAAAAGCTTCAAATTTTGCAGATTTAACGGTCAACACTTATAGCCAACCAGAGGCGAAGGAGGGCGGGACCTTCCCCTTATCAACCTACAGCGTCCCGGGTGGAAGTGAGAGGACAAAAATGGAGTCTACTTCAACTTCAAGTGATGGCAAATTGGTACTTCTTTTGCTTTCTCAAAAGAAAAAGAAATGTAGCACATGAGTGCATCCAATATTACAAAAAAGAAGAGAACTTGGTGAGTTTCACTGCTTGGTTCAGGAGCTGAAACTGTACCATGGTCGCTTCAGAACCTATTTTCTGGATGTCCGTTGGACAATTTGAAGTTTTGAAGTTCTGCTGAAACAATTAGCTCCAAGTTTGAAGAGGCAGAGGACTAGACACGAGTGTTGAGATGGCTTTCTGTCATGATAGCATGTACTGAGTCGGGGCCAGTACCAGATAAGCACATGAAACTATGGTAACAACCGTTAGCTTACATTAGCACAGATGAAAGTTAAAACAAAGACGTTTAGAAAACTGTTAAAGCACACAAAACATCGTCATATCAGAAATCTGATGCTATGACTCTCCCCAAGTTGTCCTTCAGGTTGTTATCTTTGCAATGTGTGTGTAAACAATCATAAAAAATCAGCCGGTCGGCCATGTTGGATATACTGGTAAATCTGATGTCGCAACGACACGAAATCTGATTGGTCAGAAGTGGACACACAATATGCGAAACTTTAGAAAAATCGACCATGATCCGAAAAAATAAATGCTGCAATATCGCAGAACGGGAAAACGTCGCTGATGTGAACGCTTGTATTGACAGGATACGGGTTCGAAAAAAAATATTGACCGTCCCGGTGTGTAAGGACCTAAAATCTCAATTTCAGGGTTTAATTGTGCAAAAATCAGCTTGAAATTGCAGTTGCTACGAGATTTATGCTGAGAGTGATGCATTTTTTTTTACAAAATGTCATCCCACAATGCTTTCAGGCTCGAATGAATGAAAGTATTTGATGGAGCAGGAATTCAAAGAATGACTCATCTTGGTTTCCTGCCAGTGATCTGTCTTTGGCCGCGCTGCAGCTACAGTCTTTAAGAAGTTAATAGGATCCTAAATGACTCTCTGTTAACACAGATTACAGCTTTGTTTGTGGGTAAACAGCTCTAAGTGCTAGGTGCTGTGGGAGAAAAGCTAAAACAAAGTGAATTCACATGGTTTTAATTTGGCGTTGGAGAAAATGAAACTATCTGCAGGCTGGGAAAAGTGTGGAGAGAACCACAGACGTTTGCAGAAATACCAGCGTGGATCTTTATTGTTGTGTTTTTTCCCACGCTCACCGTTTCCATCGTCAAAGAAGTCGGTGATGGTGGCTGAGGTGCAGCGGCTCCACGGTTTGGAGGCGTCAATCGAGGTGAGGATGGAGGACATGAGCCGCTTGTCGCTGTTTACGCCGAATCGCTCCTCGCAGAACTTGGAGTCGTCGTGGGACAAACCGAGCAGGTGACCTGAGACACGGAGAAGAAAAGGACGCAATGTTCAAACTGTGAGGAGATGGAAACAGAGAGAACTGATGGGACTTGTTAGGAGTTTGCACATACAGCAAGAATGAGAAAAGAAAACACTGCGAGCGCTCAGGTATCAGGTGAATGACATCAGACAAAGCTCCCATGATATTAATCAGGAGGAGAAATGTGCTGACAGACGTGCACGTCCTGGCCTGCTCTTATCGTTGTGTCTCCATGCCTACCTATCTCATGAGCCACCGTAAATGCGGCGTGAAGTCCGTCATCCTCGATGACAGCGCAGCTTCTCTCCGGGGAGCAGATGGTGCCGACGTCGGCCATACCCAGGGTGTCGCAGGAGTGGTGGCCACAGAGGTCCTGGAGGGAGGACATGGTGGGAGTTAAAATCAGAACTGGGAGTGAGGAATTTAGCGCTATTGGTGTTTTTATGGCAGCAGACTGTATTCAGTTGTTTTGACATGTTAAAGGTGAGAGAGCCCCAAGATAAAATACCCTCCCGTAGGGCTGGGTGATATGGAAAAAAGTTTATCATGATATATTTTTTTTCTATCAGTCGATATCGATATATATCACGATATAAAAAAGGAAATTTAACAGTGCTTATTGGTAGCATGTCTTTTGCAAAACAATAAGCTACTCCATCTGTGAGGTCTTTGTGTCTAGAGAAAGCGGACTGAATGGTTGGCTGTTTCAGCTGCATGGGCGCCATGGGCTCCTTACTCCGCTTGGGGTTTGTAAGCTTTTGCACCTTTTGCATGCTCTTCTGCCTGGCACTGCTTCAAGGGGTGAAAAAAGATTTGAGGTATTCCCCAACTTCGCGAGAACATGTACTCGACATAATTCGCAGTGCACATTACTCTGCTTCATGTCCGATCTAAAAAAAAAACAAAATAACTCCACACCACTGATGATTTCTTGCCAGTGTTGTCGACAATGTCATCATCTGTTGACTCTACATCTGCATTTCTGCGGGGGGTAGCACTCATTTTCTTTTTTCTCACTGACAGTGCTGTCGGCTATGGTTGTGTGTAGCTGCAGCCTGATACTACGCAGTAGTTTGCTACTTGGTTTTATTCAGCGCATGATTGGTTCAGTGCGAAGCGGACCCGAAGCAACTCCCCTTTTCATTGGCAATCCCTATCGTCTACCAAAACATGGCAGAATGCAAACCATCAAAAAGCATTTTGACTGTGTTTTATATTGATATAGAGGGAAATTGTTATTGTTTTATTGCCCGGCCCTACCCTCTCGTCATATCAGGTCTTTATAAACAAACAAAAGCTGCTGCTGGGCACAGCTTGTCTAGTACAGTGGTTCTCAAGTCCAGTCCTCGAGGCCCACTGTCCTGCATGTTTTGGATGTTTCCCTGCTCCAACACACCTGATTCAAATGATCAGCTCGTTATCAAGCTATGTAATGGCTTACTAACGAGCTGATCATTTGAATCAGGTGTGAAGGTGTTAGTTTGAATCTAAGGCATCTGCTTTAGCTCTGATGGACAGATGGACATTTTCAGCATTATGACTACTCTGAATTTTCATTTTAAGATTTAGAGTTTTTATATTTCATCTGAAATGTTACACAAGAAGTCTGAGCAGGCCTGCGAGGCTAATTATCCCTGCAGCAGAAACTCACTTTTTAGATTTGAAAAAGTTCACCAAAGCTACAGAGGATATAATGACGTTTTCACAGGCTGACTCCTGCTTCCTGGGTCTAGCGATTTTGATATGTTAATTCAATGCAGACCCATTTGATTTTTTTTTCATGCACTGCTTTTAGTAGCCACTTCCTTCCTCTGCTTCAACCATCTCCCTGTCTGCCTGTCAGGGCGCCAGAGTACACTGTATCGATCTTTGTTTGGATTCCCACACATGTCCATGCAGAGGAGGCCTCGGGGCGCTCCGCTCACCCGACCCCGCTGAGTGCAGAGATCAATCAGGTCATCATGCTGTCACATTAGAGCCCAAAGAGCTGCACATGGGCCTGAGTGCGTGTGCGAGTACACTGAATATGTAGGGATGCAGAGCCAAAAATGTACACACACGCGCGCTCACACACACACACATGTCCTATGGTGAGGATGAATCGTCATGTTAAGTGGTGCTGACAGGCCTGCTGGGTCCTGGGAGAGAAGCTCTCCGGGGTGGGTGTTTGCCCGACCAGTTTGGAACAGACTGTCTTGTGTTCGGAGCTCACACACACATGACTGACTGGGTAGGACCACCTCACTCACACACACACACACACACACACACACACACACACACACACACACACACAAAAGCACTAACTGTAAAAGCTTATGTACAATCATAGTTTTAAAAAGTTGGGTATGAAGTTGATAAAAATACTCTTTATCACTCTTTATTCCTCACCACTTTGTGAGAGACTGCGTGAGCGAATAGCTTAGCAATTCAAAACATCATCTATGAGGCTTGTTTAAAACACTTAAAACACTGTCTCCACACACCAAGCATGAGTAAAATCAATCGGGCGAATGAATTACATGTAAAGTCAATGCAAAGACGCAATTAGACGCTCCTACTACTCTGGCGGCGCGAATGACGCGAATTAGGCGGGAGATAAAAATGTCTCAACTTCGCATCGTGATAACTAATCAGCAAGAAGGTTGCCGGGTGATGTATGATGTATGAAAACATATGGTTTGTTCACTGTTATCTAACATGGAGGACAAACTGATCGTGTTGAATTATATGATACCTTTCCTTTCAATTACTGAAACCGGAATAAAAAGAAGCTCGCCTGTAGGCAAGGGAGTGAGGAGGTTGGAATACCTGGTAAACTGAAAAAGACCTTTGTCTATTTCTTGATCCCGCCAGTTGAATTGGCAGGGATTACAATTAATATTACTGTTGACGTATGAATGAAGCGAGTAAATACTATTCATTCATGCATCTAGATTCGCGCGAATTAAGCGAGTAGATGATTTTACTCACGCTTAGTGTGAGCGCCCCGTTAGAGAATCTTCAGAAACTTCTGCACAAATGGGACAAATGTCAAGATCAAAAACAGACATGACTCTGTAGTGGAAGTCACCGCATGGACTGTAAATCACTCATAAAACCATTATCTGTGGACAGGGTTTGTCACTGCATCCTCAAATGGGGAGCTTCCACGTCAGTGAAGGCTCCAAATTTGATATGATTAAAAAAAGTTTCAATATTTAACCAAATATGGGCTTTAAATAACTTTTACACAGTGCACTGACTTTAGTGGGTAGAAACTTGCCGACATGGATGCTAACATGTATAATGGTGCCTTTTAATAGTGCATTAGCACTGCGTAAATGCACACATACACAAGCTGAACAGATAATGAGTCCCTGCACTGTCAATTAACTTTTGCACACACAAGAAGCAAACAAAAGGGGAGTCAAAGCTGCTGCATGCATGGCTGCAAAAGCAAAAAATGTGCTGAAGTGTGTCCTTATGCAGACGAGTTTGGAAACGTGTTTATTTTGAGTTACACGGTGAGAACGTGGAGAGAAGTTTCTCTTTACCCATTTCCCACACTCTTCCACCCCGACTCTCTCTACACCTCCTTCTCTTTTCATTTATTTATCCTCTCACACCCTTTAGGCTGAGAGCTGTTTGTGTTCCCATCCATCTCAAACACACGACTCGCGTTGTTTTAACAGGATGCGAGATGGTGAAAATAGAAGAAAGGGAATCTCCTCCTGGAAATTAAACAACACAAAAGAAAACAATTCGTCTCAGGTGTAGCTGCGCCGAGTCTCCTCACATCTTTGTTTTCATTCTAGAAGAGAGAGAGGGGAGGAGAAATACGTCCAGGAATCAGATGCCGGAGGGAAAGGATAGAGAAGCTGCTTGAGACGTTACAGAAATATTGGCAGAAATAACAAGAGAACAGGTGGAGAACTGGCTACAGAGGTCATGAGACGTTTAGACCAGAGTGTGTGTGTGTATGTGTGTGTGAGTATGTGTGTTTTGCAGGTTCACTTGCAATCTAAGCCAAAGCTTGCGTTAAACAAACAGCCAGCCAGACCCAGACCCAGACACACACACACACACACACACACTCTCTTGCAGGAGTTCAGAGTAAGTTTACCTTTGCGGGAGAAAAACACACAGATTTCTACCAACCTGCAAATCAAATTGGACAAAAACCAGCCCTGAAACATTGACCTGACAGACCGCTAACAGCTGATCAGTGGAGACTGACAGGTTGTCAAACAGACTAATTTCTAAGTCGCTTTCAACACCTTCTCTTTTACATGTCAGCAGGTACTTCAGCAAATCTGAGCTACGCAAGCTGCAGAGATTCGGAAACTGAGAGTCAATCACTTTTCCACCTGTGTGACTCAGACTGTAGAAAATCAGAACTACTTATTAAGGTCATAATGTCTACCTCCTCCATGTAAACAAGTACAACATGAGTCTAACTTTAAAATCAAAACACCCACCAAATAAAGTTCCACAATCATGTTTTTGTTGGTTATTTTTAGCTCTCATCTTGTGGATTTTCTCCTAAATACTCATTTTTCTGGGATTCTTTTGGTTTGATATCACATGCAATAAAAACTGGGGTATAGTGCCTGTTGACAAAAGCGATACGTATGCTTCATCCTAGGGGGTCCTAGCTGCTGCTTTCCCTGCCTTGTGCTTAACTTGTTTAATTCTTGTTTACACAACCTGGAAATTAGTCAGAGCACCCTTGGTTGACAAATATCATGAAATAGGTAAGTGGTGAGATGATACTTACTGACACTAACACTTGAGCTATTTAACTTTCCATAAGTCCAAGTGCAAGTGTCCCTAACACACCAGCAACAACACATAAATCTGTTCTGCTACACACTCTAGCAATCTGAGAAACCTCTGCCATGTTATCTTTAACTTAAAAGTGTGTTTTGATTGGCAGACAGGGCAACACTATCCGAATCCAACTGCACAGATTCTGACTTCAAAATGATACAGGGTATTTCGCTTCATTTTTGCACAATTGGGCACAGTAGAAAGAAGCTGTTTATCGTCATGTACAGCCAAACCCGTACATCAAAAGTGGTCCCAGTGCTGATCCCTGTGGAACACCAATATACAATCATCTAAGGATACATACATCATTACCAAATGTTTGTGATTTGCCATTCACAATCTGTAGTCGAGTTTGATCTCCCCGATGCGTAATGGTGTCAAGAGAGGAAGGTTTATGGGTTGTTTTCGGGCAGACTGGACTAGTCTGTGCCCAGTTTTATGTGTTGGGAGGGTGGTGTCTGGGGTCAAGGGTCTTGGATCCAAAAGCTGTCTGCCGGTTGTCTACATGTGCCAGTGGATGTGAAATATCAGGAACAGTTAAAAACAAATAGAGGGAGTAGCTGTGATGGGGGCGAGGGCTGGGAAATGTACACGTTAATGTTGAGCCGCATGCAAACACTGAGGAGGAGGAGAGGATGGGTGAAGAGCCCAGACTGTACACATGTGCACATTCCCACATTCACATCAGGAAGTCAAGTGACACGGGCATGTGTTGAACACGTGTGGAGGGAATGGATTGTGTGTATTTACATGCCGAGTCCACATCAGTGTGATCTGACATCAGGCTCTGTTACATAAGTCCCCAAACTGATGTGGTTTATCAATTTTTAGTGGAGTCATGTGGTGATAATACAGTATGATGTTATCAACTCACGTCATCTCTGGGAAAGTGTAATTGTTACTGTCAGTTCATCTGTTGAGTATTTTCTGCTGATAAATAACATTAAGTACAGAGAGATACCACCATTCTTTAAGACACATTTTACTTGTCTTTATTTTAATCGATTACCTGACTTTGGGTCGGGTTGACTCAGCTCTCCCAGTATGGTGCTGACCGCTTTTGTTAGCTTTAAAACGCCTCTCCAAAAACCAATGGATGACGAGACTGAGACTGCAACCATGTCCTACACACACTACAGGAACCATCTGCCAACCTGTTTTTTAAAAGTCCAAAAACAGCGAATTCTGATTTCTGAAATATAATGGACAATACAGTATGTCCAAATTATAGCTTCAAACCAGCTGAGATAGTCTGACAAACCAACAGGCTACATCATTCAGTGCGTTTACATGCACAGCTTAATTGGATGCAGCTGAGAAAATTGAATTATTGACGTGAACGTGTCCTTCTCCCCAAAACTAGGGGGCGATATGGGTCTTTTCAGCGGCGCTGTTTCCGGTTGACCCAACAACAACAGCAGGTCCATACCAGATGTCAGAAGTGGCTACAACTGCTGCTGGGCATTTTCGAGGAAGAACATGGAGCATCGTACAGCGTTGTTTTTGTCGTACATGATGTAAGGGCGACTGCAGATGAGATGCACGCTACTCCTTTTCTCTGGTGTTACAGGGGCGTGGCGCACATGCACATGCTGCTAGTGCTACCTTCCTCGTCCATCATGGATACTGAAGTTGTGACGACTGACGTATTTATTGGAGCGACAGACTGGCTGCTTGCGATTGCCAGATTGGGTGGCTTTTCGCTAAATATAAGGCCTGTTTACGGTGTGTTTTAGTTGGGGTTCCACCTGGACATCTGGCACACTTGTGGCACACAGACGCCAGAATGAGCACGTACAACATCAACACGTTCATACCCAAATAAAGAACGATACATTCACGTTCTCCCGAAATATAAGCGAGTTCATAAACGATTGTTCATTGAACGCGTTTGGGCACAACACCGGTGTTGACAGGCACTCCAGTTGTCCGGTCTTAATCAGAGTAAGGCCATTATTCGGTTTTGTTATGTAAATGCCCTAAGTGTGGATGTTTGCTTTTCTTTTATAGACTTTTGAAGACTTTCCAGATCGTAGGACAATTCCTTGAATGATACTCAGTTCTAATATCTATGGATTTAAATATCTAGGCATTGCTCCTAGGGACAAGGTAGTAAGCCTGATACCTAAAACATGAGTGTAAAATGAGAAAAAACAAGGACATAAATCTGTAAGTCTGTATTTTGCATTTATATTTAAAAGTTTGGCCTGAGTGAAGAGATGGTAGCATGACCTCAATCAAGGTTTAAAAATTGGCATTTCAGTCGCATTAGAGGTATCTGTGAGCAGTTTTAATCTAGAAATTTGAGCTTTTACTCCAGAAAGTTTCTCTTACATCAGAACCAGCATGCATATCCCTGCAGCTCCCTCTGTCCACCTTACAGTAGGTCTTTGTCTGCCGTCCCAGCTCACAACAAGCCAACACAGCCATGCATAGCATGCTCAGATACACACTCAGGACCGTCCTGAGTCCCCTCAATGTGCCCGTTGTTTTGTACCGGTGCTGGTATGTGTGGAACAGGGTGACACCGCCACATGGGTCAGCTCACTGCCGTGTTGGGGTGTTGGAGTAATTGGACCTGACCACAAAGAGACAAGTCCCCTCCACACCAACACCACCTCCTCCATCAGGGAACAATGGAGTGGTCTGACTTCACTGTCACAAAGTCTTCAATGAACTTCAGTTCTAGTTCACGATCCAGTTCCCTGCTCAGTTTCCACTGAGTTCAGTGAACGGTTTATTTTCCAAAGTAATCCCAAAGAAATTATTTAACACGTAACCTACTTCTTTTACTGTCTTCTCTTCTTTTCCAACCAATAGTATGAACCACCTGAGCCAAAGCAAGTTGTTTCCTGGCGAGCATCCCGCAAATGGAAACTGTAATTGCTGTTTGTAAAGTGACTGAATCGGAGCAATTTTCACATTGTATAGAGAGTTTTTTTGTGACACGTGATTCTGCAGAATGATTAATGGCATAAGGAAAATGTGGTTCTGAGAAATTACAGGGCAAAACAGCCTTGTGTTTTAGAGCTGACAGCATCAAAACATGCCACATACTGTATGTAGCCTCTTCAACCCCAAAACTGCGATCCAGCTGGATGAAACCTTGAATGGAGGTGCCAGTATTTTAAAACGCTGGAGCCATTTCTCAAAATTTGGGGTCTAATTGTCTGAAAAGTACAAAAGGTTTGGGATTTGCTTGCTTGTTTCAGTCGATCACAACAAACAGACTACCAGGACTGTTAAATCATCTTCATGGTAGCAAGTCTGGTCTGAGTGAGCAGGGATGATACAACAATGAGGCCTCGTGTTAATGGATTCCAGTATATTGTCCGATGGTGGAGGGTGCTGACCACTGCAGACAAATGCAGAGGTGGAAAAAACCCAAAACAGGCATGGTGAACCCTCAACAAGAACTCATGCCAGGACATTCAGAATTGGACTCTTATCTAGAGGTGGCAACTGATCAAGAGTTGTAGCTACAACAGCTGGTCCTCTAAATGTTTATGTTTGTTTTTGCAAGTAACAACAGAATAGTTGCTGTATTTAACACTGAGGCATGGTTACAATCGCGAAGTAGGAAGCACGATTGCTTGAGGCGTGGGAGTGAGGTGCTTTTACATGCTCGCTTATGCAAATCACTCCTGTCATTACATCATCACAGGAGCCAGTTCAAATCGACTTGTAGATGCCAAGTTTTCCCCATAGCTAAGATACAGAAATGATGCAATGCTCAGGGTCATTTGACTGCATATACATTTTTGAAAGTGCAAGATCAACTTGTAAAAGTAGCAACATCAGTTACTTTTAAGTATGCAGGGTATTTTCAGCATTATGAAATTATAGGCGAAACAAAAACCTATCAGCAGCCTCTACTTACTCTTCAGGGAGCAACTAAAGGTAAAGGAGCTCGACAGGATAATAACTGAAAATCATAACTCTTGATAACCAGCCTTAAACATGGAGAGGGATAAGGCTTCTGCAGGCTGCTGAGATCAGTATCGGCCAAAATGGGTTTGAAAATATCTGCGAATTAGAAAAAAAGAGCAACATAACAGCCAATCTTGGTGAAAAAAAGCATCTTATTACCTCAACAATAGTTCCATTTCAGTGGGGATCCTTTTCATAATGCTGTCAGACTCTTTCAATAACATGCTGAGCCTGTCAGTGGCAAAATGAAGCACTTTCAATGAACTTACTTTGACTGGGATCTTCTGCCCTAAAGGATTAAGTTGCAGCCATTACAGCCTGTTTCATGGCGCCATCTGGATCACTTCCAAAGTGTGCTTTGTACCTATTTGTCTTTCAGACTCCAAAACATGTAAAGATGGGGTCCAGGCTTGAAAAACACGAGAATCACCCTTTAAAAAGAAAGGGCTCTCAATGGAATGTGTTGCTAGGATACAAGCCCTGCTTATCTGTCTGCTATAATGACCGACATGGTAAAGTAACAGCAATTTAAGCTCTCAGAATCCTGAAATTGGTCTTTAATAGTCAAAAGGTCCAAAGGTCAAAGTTAAATGAAGGCATTGGCTGCTTGTTTTGGCTTATTTACCCTGTAAAGAGGTCATGCACCAGCTCCGTTCTCATTACCGTGCACGCCGACCAGAATTAGCAGGTAGTTTGTCCTGCAGAGACACAACAGACTGAGGTCAGGGATCTGCGACGTAGGGGTCTGCACCGTGTAACAGAGAGGGATCACCTGCTTCTGCTAATGACAGGTAACATTTACAGTGGGAAAAAGTGAAGGTGAGACATGTGTGGATGAAGGGATGGAGACAGGCTTTTAAATAATGAAGTGCTGCAACAGGTGAGGTAGAAATGTACTGCTAACGTGACTAAAGCAGTGCCAAAGACGGGCAACATTCAATATTTCATTAGAGTTTAAGTCTAAGTAGAAAGAAGAAAATTTAAACTTCACCACCTGTCATGATTCACAAGTTTCCTGTCTTTAAAGACCCTTGCTTCCTGTTCTTAAGATCTCAACGCCTTCTTTCCATGCCCACCTGACCCTAACCCACCCTGCCAAACCCAAACACTTCAGAATGGCACGTCTTCCGCTCTTGCTCTTGCAGGTGAAGCGGCACCACAGGTCCGTAAAGAGGTTTCCTGCCAACCAGCTGACCTCAGGTATGTGCTGCCGTCTGCTCTGCCAACTCGCTGCAGACGCCAGGGGATCCCAGGTAATACTCCCGCCGCTTGCGTGCTACAACAAGACCCTGCATGAGTTCGACACAACCGCAATCCAAGGTGAGCTATATGACATGTTAACCACCGTGAAGCCACACCCGGAGGAGGTGAAACTGAGCGTGTAGATCTGCTGCTGCTGCCTGCGGCTTTGCTAAAAAACAGGCGAAGAGGAAAAGAGAGAAAGGGATGGTGAGAGAAGGACTAAATGAGTGTGGTCTCGGTAAACGCACGGCCTCTCACAGGGTGGATATGTTTGTTTTTCTGACAGCTCCCAACCCCAGCTGACAGACGCTGGAGAAGTAACTGGGAAAAAATGTGCAGACTGGAATGATGGGAGAGAGAGAAAGAGGGAGAGAGGGAGGGAAAGGCTTGGAGGACTACATAATTAGATGCAGTTTCAAGAGGAGCTTTTTGGAGATATTTCTACAGTGCAACCCAGCTGATGATTTCAAACCCACTCCCACTACAGGAAGCGTTTTTCCTGCGGGGGGGGGGGCATCAGATCACACAGACTTCGAGGTTTTTTGGCTGTCTGGGGATTGGGAGGGTTTGGTGGAGGCTGGAGACAGAAGGAGCCTGCCTAGAAAAACACCAGAGGCAGGAAATATAGTTTTATGAGTGTTTGACTGACACTGCACGCAAGAATGAGGAGAGACAGGAGGAAGAACTATATGGGGAGCGGATAGTGCCACGAATAACCTAAGGAGACAGATGAGTGACTTTTACATGACAGGAAGGGACAACGATGATGAATATGTTGCTGTCCCCAGTGGAATCATTGGTAAGCAAGCTGTTCTTGTGCTAAATATCGGCATGAAGGAAAATTGGGTTACTAGTCTATGCACTCTAAAGCATTGCAAATATAAACAACCCAAAACAGAATCAGGTAACTTAAAACACTAATAAAGGCCAGCCTGTAAACATGCATGTTTTAAAACAGTATGAACTCTAAAAATACACACTTAACAATGCACTTATGTACTTTGTAGGCATGCTTTATGGCAGCGTACAGAGTACCGCGTTGGCATTCTTTATGACAACTGCAATGACATGCTCAGTAAGCAAGTTTTATGACAATATGCTACATTCACGTGCTACTAGTTTGGTTTTGTGAGTCGATCTTCTAGCCTTGGTGTGTTCACTTGTTATTGTTTGGTTAAACTGTGTTTAAAGTTACCTTGCTTTTCAATCAAAGTTGAATACTAATTATCACTTTGGCTAATGTACCTGACTTGTTGTTACGAGGTTAAAGAACATGCTAGCGTTAACTATTAGCCTGTTATGTTGATGATAATTACAATGTCAAGTCCACGGGTCGTACACGGAATTCTTGCCCTAGTTAAGTCATTCTTACAACTTGAGCAGGCAGTCACGTGAATCGCACTATTTAAAAACTTGCTTTCGGTGTATCTGCCTCCATACAAATGCAGGGATAGCTCAAAGATACTTTGTAAGCATTGTTTTTGTTGGGACGTTTCGCTTACAGGCATTGTGGATCTCTAGAAACCCTTCGAAACCCAATACAGTATGACTCTGACTTCGGCATAGACTACCTTTTGTCCTAACATCAGTCATCTGTCATTGGCACTATCTACTCACCATAGCTATATGGTAAGCAGGCTATGCCATATCCACCTATATATGATAATGATACGGGTAAAAGGTTAACAGGGGGCGAAAGTAACCCCTTTATTTGTCGTTTCAAGAAGTTATCGGGAAAATATTACTTAAAAAATTTCGCATTCATTGTTATTTTCCAACATGTTTTGCCGCCAAAAAACTGATTTCGTTGGAGGCTAACATGCTGCCCACCGCGTGCACGACCAAAATAAAAACAAACCGTTACGTCACACCTGTCTTGGCGCTGTTCCGCCTCTCCTCCGCCCCTGCCACGGAAGAGAGGCGGACCTGCGCGCTGTGAACAGGTGGAGGTGCTTAGGAAATGCGAGGGGACTTTTGTTTACCTGCCTGGTGAAGAGGATGGCGGCGTCGTGGTGGTGCTGGTGGTCGTCGTCCAGTGGGTTCTGCTGGTTCTGCCACTTACAGAAGCTCTTCAGAGTCGCTGCCGCGTTCTTGGACACCTCCAGCCCTTTCTCCTTCTCGGTCACCGTGGTAACCTTCACCACCGTCAGCCGGATGGGGTTCTCGATGCTGGCGTGCCCGTACAGCTTGGAGGCGATGGATGCCAGTGTTAGCAGATAGTGGTTCAGGTCCTTGCCGTACTTTTTAGCCATTGTGTCATCCGCCACCAGCAGCAGCTCCACGTGCCTGGCGCGAGACACCGACCTCTTGCGCCGCTCGCCATGCTCCGGAGCGGCGTCTTTGGTGAACTTGCTCCACCATCTCCTCCCCCGTGCGCCGTGCTCATCCGCCTCCTCCGCTCCATGCTTGCCGCGACCCTTGTTTCTGCGTCTCCCCAGCGCACCTCTGCGTCCTCGACGCGCGTCTCGCGTCCCGCAGCTCTCGCTGCCCTCATGCATCGCCTCAAAGCTGAAACTCTCGCGCGTGAATACATGGAGCGCGCTCTCTGCGTCCTTATCCTGCAGGGTGCGCGCGTCGTGCTCGTGTCCCTTTGCCCTGATGATTGGCGTGATGGTGTAGCGCGTGTGTTTCACCGCGAAGAAGCCCTCCAGACCCCCACCGCAGAGGTTAAAGACGGCCAGAGACTCCGGGTTGGAGTCCACAGTCCCCCGGTACACGCAGTCCCGTTTCAGAGGCGGAGGGCTCTCTCCCATCAGCGCGAGCACATACTGGGGACTGAAGTGATGCGACAGCACGGACTCGTCCCGCTCCATGTCCAGCTGAAACCGGCTGTCATCCAGGTACACCAGGTAGCCCACCTTCCCTCCTCCGTGGTAAATCCGGTCAATAGTGCGCACGACCCCGTCCGTCCTCCGGGCAGGTGTGAGCAGCGACCCGTTCGCAGGTGGAAGATAAAACCCCTGGAAAGTAGAAACCCCGGCTCCAAGCTCCAACTCCACGACGCACAGCAACAGTAGCCGAAAGCAGAGCATGCCCTCGGCCAGAGCAGCAAGCAGCCGCACCATTGTTCATTCCAACACGAAAACCATCTAAATATCCACTAAAAGCACCCCAGACTGTCCGCAGAGACAACTTTGAGTAACTGTTCCTCCAAAAAGCGCATCCTCCCGGTGTCCAAATCCCCCATGAAAACACACACAGTTGTGACCAACAGGCGAGCAAAGCAAAACCATTCAGGAAAAACTAGAAAAGGAAAAAGAGCAGCAGAGAGGACCTGTGTGCAGACTGGAGAGCACTGAGCTGAACTTGGAGAACAAAAACACAAAGTTTGCTCTTAATAGGACCCGGAGAGAAAAAGTCCTGCCCCCTTTGCGCTCAATCACCACTCCTCCACCCCCCCTCTCTCCTCTCCTCTCTCTCTCTCTCTCTGCCTCTCTCTCTCTCTCTGCCTCTCTTCCTCAAAGCAGAGTAAAGTCAAGTGCTGGAGGAGAGAGAGAGGAGGAGAGAAACCTGAACAATGCTGTCACTGGAGTATTTCCTATTGCCTCAGCAAAGGAAAGAAGAGCCTGGTACAGTCTGCAGGGCCGTCAAAATACCATTTCATCTTTTTGGAAGTGGAGAGCACAGCATGAAGTTTCCTTTCTTTTGTTTCCAGATAGAGATAATAACGAATTCCCAAACACGCTTATTAAACATTAAACCCCGCACTGTTGCTCCAAAGACGGACACCATTCATCTTAATCCTAAAATGTCCCAATTAAATACCAGGTGTAACCAAACCTGTGCTACTTTTAATTTCATTAATAATCCAAGTTTTTTTAACCAGGAATACTGACTTTATTTCCCAAAACTCTGGAGACAGCAAGAATCAAAAGTGGCAAACAACACACCTCAAAATAAGCTTTCCACTTAGCAGTTGCGATGAGGCACATCTCAATAGCCTCTTGGCTTACTACAACTTAGCTTTTATTGTTCTCCATGTATTACAGTGTCGTTTTGGGGATTCATAATAGCACTAGAAATCCATTAACTATGCCACAGTATGTGATACTTGCATCATGGCAATGTCTAAAGTTGTAAAAACGACAAAAATCGCAACATAAATATTCCTGTAAAAGTCCAATTCACTTCTACAGATGTTCAAATAAGCAGGATAATGTCTGTAATGTAAAGTGACGCAAGCAGGCCGATCAGAATTCATTGCTATGGCGATGAAAACAACAGTGAAATCTGAAGGGCCATTTCTTAAAGATGTACAAATAAATCATTGTTCAATCAATATTGTCTGTAAATCAATATTTTTGCCAACCAAGGCATATAAGAATTAACTGCCGTGGAGCTGTTGATAACTGTTGAAACTTAACAGACACGAAGGCTATGTTCACACTGCAGGTCAATTCCAATTTTTTAACCATATGTGACACATATCTGATTTTTTCATGTAAGTGTGAACAGTGCAATTCAGATTTATTCAAATCCGACCCAGGCCTTATTTGTATGTGGATATAAATCGGATATGTATCCGATGTGACTGCAGTGTGGACGCCCAGGCGCGTTCATCCGACCTATACGTCATCAATATGCGACAAACGTCACCATTGTTCGACAACACAAACAGGCGCGGAAAGCAATTTGTGCTTTGTGCGCATGCGGGCCACTTCATGGACGCAATCCGTTCACATTAGATGCCGCATTCATTTTTGTGATGTGAACGACCGGACAAAAAGATCGGATTTAACAAAAAAAATAACCTGCAGTGTGAACGAAGCCAAAGTTAAAGTTAAAGTCATGATGGTGGTATTTGACTTTATTTCAAAACTTTTGTCCTCAAACTTGAAATTCAGGATTCAATGTTAATGTCAAACTTTACAAACCTTACCGTCTTTCAAGAGATCAAAAATGTAACTACATCTGCTTTTGACTGGAAAAGAAATTTTGAAATTAAATTTCTGACTTTATCCTCTAAATTTTGCCAGCAGACAGAAGTTCTAAACCGAATCCCAGGATTCCTCATTAATGTCAAACTTTGAAGTCTCTACCATCTTTTGGGAACTCGAACTTCATTCCTGGTTTTGATTAAAAGTCCGATTTCAATCTGGAAACTCAGAATTTTAAATCTAAACCCAAATTTCTAAAACCTGATTACGCAACCTTCCACTTTGATGACCCCTTCTTTTGTTTTTCATGGTTGCATAATATCAACCTCACCCTCAGACGGGAAAGCTCCGCACGCCTTCCCTCCCAGGACCAACACCATTAATCTCAACTCCAATACATCCCCATTAAACACCAGTTATTTTTACACTTTCACCACTTTGACTCTTTTAATAATTGAAGGTCCGACAGGATTCAACTGGAGAGTTTCAGCAAACTAGATAATTTATGGCCATTCCCCCAGAATAAGAGTGGTGGGAACTTACCGTTCCCGTGTGAAACATTTAATGGTGTGTCAGCAGCAGGAGATGGAGGAAATCTGTGAGCATGCATGAGGTGGGTGCTATAATGCTGCTGCCACTTGAGAAAGCAAAGAGAAGTGTGTGTGAGTGCGAGACTGCAGGTGTGTGACAGGACCTGGAACTACCCTGTAGGTGTGTGTGGTGGTGCCAATGGGATGTCAAACCTGTGTGCTGAGAGCGATTTAGCCAAGCATAGACACACTCCCAAAAGGGCAGAGTGGCTTTTTCGAAAAGTCTTAAAAGTTCCAACACACTGCTCATTTGCTGAGTCACCTCACAGCTATTACCTTTGCGCACAGACAAACACGAAGGGGGGGTCGAAGTGTGCGTCTGCATGCCAAGAGGAAGCCCCTTTTCTTTTTTTTCTTGAAGATTCAAGAACGGATATTACATTTCAACTTTCTTGCGTCAAGCAGCGAGAGCCCATGTCGGCTCTCCTTAGGCGGCGAGCTAATCCCAAAGCCCTGTCTACATGACCGTGGGTGGTAGGATGCAGCCAGGGAGTGGGCGGAAGCGCGGCCAAAACACGGAACACGGTGTGCTGCCATCGTAAGCCTCGCCGCTACCCCCCCCCTCCCCTCCTGTCAAATCCCAGCGTGGTTCGATTCACACATGAAATACCACACTCTGAGGATGAAGTCTGCATTCAAATGAGCCACGAGAGAGTGATCACAGAGCTTTGGCCAACACAGTCTCTATTAAGAGATTACATACTCGAATGTTGTCTTTAAAGACGGGGTCTGATGTTTGTGTGAGGAGTGTTTTGGTTTCTGCTTGTAGTGGGTTTGTAGTCTGAGCAGGATTAGGCTTTGGTGTAAACAAGAAAAACAGTCAGTGTGGAGAGCAAAAGCAGGCAGAGCTCAAACAATCAGTCAGTATGTTTACATGACACTCGAGAAAACCAAATTATTGCCTGACTTCAATTTAAGACTGGGCAAGTGCATGTGAACACCTTCGTCTGACTAAAATCAGAGTTGGAGAACTCCGATGAAGACACCCAGATAATGCCATTGGAATTTGATTTTCTCTACCATGTAACCGACGTATTTGGAGTATGATTGGACGATGCATGTCCCCAGAAAACGTACTGCATACATCATCGTACAACGCTGTACGATGCTCCATCTTCTTGAAAATCCCCAGCAGCAGTTGTAGCCACTTCTGACGTCTGGCACCGACCTGCTGTTGTTGTTGACAGTTGTATGGGGTCGGAAACAGCGCCGCTGAAAAGACCCGTATCGCCCCCTAGTTTTGGGGAGGCAGACACGTTCACTTCAATAATTCGATTTTCTCAGCTGCATGTCTACTCAGACGAAGAGCGAAATCTGATTTGACGAAAAAAACAAACAAATTACGAGCTTAGTCTGATTAAACTGTGTATGTAAACGCACTGAGTGTTTTCAAAAGTTGTGTTTTTCTCCTTTTGGAAAAATATTTAAAAAAAACTTGCAATATTATTTTAACAGATAACATGATATTGGCAAACTCTAGACCCATTAATTGCTTATAAATAACCAGAATTGGCTTCTTTGTCATGTTGATACCACAAATAAAAGCCAGAGTGAAGCCTCAACATAACAATTTACTGTGAAACTAAGACTCACTCTGCAAAAGTGGCCTGTTTTGTGTTTTACTAATCTGCACCGAATTGTTGCTTCTACCAACCCATGATCTGTTTTTGAAATAAATTTGAAAACCGAGTTTCTCTTTCAGACTCATAGCTGGCAAAAACCTGAGTAACTTCTGTGAAACTTAGACTCACCAGACAAAGCCTTTTATTCTTACCTTTTACAAATTTGCACCATGATCACAGACTGATCATGGTGTCTATGGACAACTTGGCTCCACCTTCCGCCAGTATACGGATTTGAAGCTGAAAAGCTCTCAGTATTTTCGAGAGATTTGCTCCATTTCCTGAAACCAACATTGCGCAGTAGCGTTGTGCGCATTCGGTGGGAGAGTCGCTGTGGTGACGCTCGGCTTAAACAGTGTATCCCCTGGGTGAGCTATGCAATCTTCGTACGCCCATAGGCTGTATCAAGTGTCAATCATAGAAAACATGAACCCCCTAATAATTTTTAAAAACTGAGCTGTAAAGAGAAAAAGAGACTTGAGCACAAACCAGTCTTACAGTAACTACATGTCAACATCACAAGCATGTTCACATGTTCCATAGCTCCATAGGGATTGCTGGAGGAGGTTGGATTTATGACCTATACTACAGCCTGTCACCAGAGGGCGCTGTTCTTGCGGTGGCTTTACCCAACAAGGAGGCAGACGCTGTCCTTTCTATATACAGTCTATGATCATGATACAGTCACTTCTTTAGACCTAAGATCTGTCCATTAAATAAACCATGAGACCTGGTTTTCCTATCAGGTGCTGTTTACTGTGAATCTGGGACCCAGAAACTGAGGAGTGAATGCTTCTCCTGTCGAGATAATGAACAAAAACACAAAAGGGGTTTTAATTCCAGATAAATGTAGACTATGATACTGTTGATGATGTACTATGTAGACTGTTGGCCCATATTACACCCTGAAATGCAGCCCCACTAATCCTCCACATTTCAGCACAGTGACCACCGCAGAGAAGATCCGATATCGAGCTCATGTCCAAATCACCCAACTTGTTATGCAACGAACCTCCCACCCCCACCAGCCGACTCTTTTTCTCTCTGTCCTCAAGTCTTGTCTCGAGCCGCCCCCCACCCCCCACCACCCCGCTGCCGCCTGCTTCTTCCTTTACACCAAACTGTCAAGTGTATTACCTGCTGTAAAAAGGAAGACGCCCCATAAAGACAGCAAACCAAGGCGGTGTGAGAGAGGATGTTTGATTAGAACAGTGTGATGTCAAGACAGACCTCGTCTCTGTGTGTTTGTCAGACCTGGGAAAACACATTTTCTTTAATGTTAGATATATTTTTTTTCTCCCTGTTATTGCATGACCATATATTTGCTTCTGGGGGTCTTCAGAGGCTGGTATGTTTGGTTATCTCCGCACAAATAAGGCTGCTAATACACGCGGGGGCTTGTAATGCAGCTGCAAACTTGTGGCACCGAGCCCGAGCACAAAAATTTGACAACTTTCCACAGCTTCTTTGAATGCTTTGCAAAAAAAAAAAAAAAAATGACACAAACACCACTCACACAACGACGTGCACACTTCGGCTCCCACAATGTCCTCCCCTCCCCTCCCTCTTCCTCTCTCGTCTTTGAATCTCACACACTCCCAGCGCCATTGGATCATTTTTAATCCCTATCATCTGAAAGCGAGATGTGTGCCAAAGCAACCATATGGACATAAACCGCCCCCATTATCCACACACACACACTCAAACACACACACAGTTGCACAGTAACCCGCATCACACGTGCAAAAGCAGGCTGCATACAGTATTGAGCGTCACCAAAACAAGTTGTGTGTGTGAACCCGCGTGCAGAGCCACGTGTGTGTCGGACCAGCCCACTTCCTACGGCGGCTGGGAGAGAGAATCCAATACGGTTAATTGACAAGCCGAGCCTTTTACATAACCGGCAGGCTCTATCTAAGTGGTGGTGTTACTATCCCCCCCCGCCCCTCAGGCGCTGCTGCAACTCTCCCTCATCTCCTCTTCTGCACACACACACTCCATCCTTCCCTCCATCCGTCCTCATCCTCTGTTCCTTCATGGATGTTAAACCGGGATGAAAAGGCTTCAAACGGCAATCACAAGCGCTTGTTCCCATGATGGTTGAATGGCTGATCGAGTGAGTGTGTGTGTGTGTGTGTGTGTGTGTATCCCCTCCTGCATCTCGAGTGTGTGTACATAGCATCTGTTGGCATGCACCCGAGGGAGAGCGCAACATCTCCCAGGTGACCCCCAGGTGCGCGCGAGGAAGAGACACAAGACAGAACACAGCAAACTCGTATTCACCATGAATGTATATTCATTTAAAAATAATGATACACATACAAAAGAAGGCCATATTCAAATAAAGAGGCACATCTATACACACCTGTAAACAGAGATAACACTAGGATCAATTTCAAGTAAAATGAAAGACTCTTCAAAACATACCAGAAGGGTTTCTACGTCCCGCTGGATTAACTCAAAGGTTGCATATGGAATTTAACGACATCCCCTATTCCAGAGAAGTTACGACTCTGTAGAACGATGATAAAAAGTAAATTTGCAAAATATTTAAACTCAGTATCTAATTGAATCCAGTGCACAAACATGTCAAACATTGAAACTGGAATTTTTAATTTTTTTTGCTTTGTGTAAATAAAACGCTCATTTAAAGTTTGACGCCATCAAGATGCAAAAAAAATCAAAAAGTAAAAAAAACTGTTGTGACATGGATGCAATGCTCAAAAAAAACTAAAGGTCATCTTTCATCTTAAGACTCATTTGCACATGGTTAAATACGCATATACAGATACAAAAGGAGCTTCTCTGCATCCTTATTTTGAGGACAGTGTAGTGGCAAACCATTGACTCTTTAAAACACACGATCGAATACTACGTCCATTCTCCTACATCGCTGTCATGCTCTTTGCGGTCATGCTCTTCTAACTCTTTTTTGAGGGTGAATTTTGAGCCTAGCGCACGTATTGCTAAATTTCTATTCCGATGCTAAGGAGGCGTGAAAGTACACGCCATTACTTCCATTAAAAACGTTCAGATCTACTTTTGCATGTAGGGGGAGCCCCCATTGAGATTCATCTGCAGCAGGTTGGTAACATGACTGGGTCAAGAGACTGCATGAACGAATAGTTCAACAGTTTTGGAGTTTTATTCCTCCGCACAATAATAGCAGAGTAGATAATGTCATTTTAAAACATTCAGAGACTCTACAAAACCACTAGGCAGCAACGCGCTAAAAACGGACATGACTCTGATGTGGAATTCAACTGGCGAGCAGCTTGAATTCCACATCAGGTAGGAACGGAGAACACTTTCAAAACTTTCCGAACTCCAAAACCGGGTCTCCTCAGTTCCTAAACTTTAACCATACCCTTGTCCTGCTAAAATAAAAGAATGAATAACTACTTGTTTCAACATTTGATGTGTTGTCTCTGCACAATTTTCAATCAAATCTCAGACTTAAATACCTCTTAACAATCACAATCTGTTTTTACTAACATCTCACAAAGCCTACCAAACTGTAGAGCTGGGGATTTATCTTCGAATGTGTAAGAAACCAGAAAATATTTCCTCTCCTCGGGGCTTTTTCTGTTTTGTTGATTTACAGAAGTTTTTCCCGCAGCAGAGAGCACTCCGTCCCCTGTCTGTCCTGACTTTGAGCACAGTAAACCAATGGAGATTTAAAACTTAAACCCTTTCAAGACACTGGAAGGACAAAATAAATTATTAAAAATACCGTCTTTAATAAAAAGTCTGCTCTCTAAATGATAAATGATGAATGTAAACCAGCGTGACGAATGACTTAAAAGTTATTTTGTCTAACATGATAAGCATCGTTTTTTTGTGTGAGGAAGGTATACAGACGTCTGCTTGTCTTTCATTCAGAGACGCATGTTTTTCATCATGACAAGGACAATCATATTTCAACATTTCTACAAAACTGTAATCATTTGTCACATTTACATACTGCATTCACTTCTTAGAAATATAAACATCCCCTCACTACCTCCACGTGATTTCTTTATTCGCCACTTCAAGGCTCTACTGCATATCATCATTCATGTTACAGTCAAAGAATCTGTCATGTCCTCTAAGGTCTTGGAGTGCCATGGACTCTTTTGCAGTTAGTAAAAACCTACTTAAATATCTAAAGTTAAATATTTCGGATATAGAATACAAAACCATTTGCTATTTTTGTCGACAGCAGCAGTGTTTTAATTTTCATTGACCTTGTGCTGATTCTGATTTTTGATTGCATGTTTCCCACCTCTATTAGCGATAGTTGTTTTTTTTTGGTACAGTGCAAAGATGTGTCAGTAATGCCTACTTGAAATTTGTGCGTTTGTTTAAGGGGAAAGAACATTTCTCTGAGCTCTGATTCTGAATTCAATTTCTGACGATAAACTTGGTTTCAAACTCAGTTTCTTTGGATGAACAGTTTTCTCAGACTTTTGTCTGTGTGGTAAAAATATACACTCTCAATTCAGATTCTAAACTTTATCTCAGAAAATGAAGTTTTAAATTTAGACAAATCACGAAAATGAAAAGACAATCAGAATTTTTACTTTATTCTTCAATTTACGATTTAGAATCTAAAATTTATAGAATTTTCCCCCAAATGCTCCAAATTCAGACAAGAAATTTGACTCTATATGCAAGATTCTGTCTCTACTCTCCGAATTCAGTTTATTCCAAATTCAGATTTTGCCTGACATGTTAAGTTGAATCAAGTCTCCCACTTTCTGTACAAAACTCAAACGCTCGTTAACGCTCGTTTACATTTTAGAATTATGTGCCTCTGATCTTGAAATTCAGTTTTTTCTTGTCAGAATTCCGGCTGAATTCCTTAAGTCTCAACTCTTGAGTTGAAAATTTTACAAAGTTTTCCTTTGAATGAATTAAATCAAATGTAAACTTAGAATTTAAAGTCATTTCAGAAATTTTCTTTAATTTCCGATTTTTAATCTAAAACTTTAAGATTTTTTTCCCAAATACTACAAATTCGGACAAGACATTTGACTCTATCTGCAAGATTCTGCCTCTACTCTCCAAATTTAGTTCATTCGGTTGAATCAAGTTGAATCAAGTTTCCGACTTTCTGTACAAAACTCAAACGCTCGTTAACGCTCGTTTACATTTTAGAATTCTGTGCCTTTGATCTTGAAATTCTTTTTTTTTTCCTCTCAGAATTCCATCCGAAAAAAATTCTCAACTCTTAACTTTTACGAACTTTTCCCCTGAATGAATTAAATCAAATGTAAACTAAGAATTTTGAGTCATTTCAAAAAATTTCTGCAACTTTAACCGCAGATTAACAATTTTAGTCTCAAAATTCTTTCTTTAAATTCAGATTTATTTGATTCTAGTCGCAGAATTCCCTCTTAGGTATTTTAAACTTTCACCTTCGCTTCACATCGTTATTCTGAAACTTAAATTTTATTTGTCTCCAGTGAGTCAAGTCAGAATGTTTAGACCTCAGGATATCCTTACATGAGGCCCAAATTCTCCTCCGCAATCCGAAACGGAGAATTTTTAAAGTACAAAACCCTTTCCTGCTCACTATTTTCTCTATCACGAGTCCAGTTTGATAAATGATAGCACTCACTTTGCATTTTTATGATCCTTTCGGTGTTGAAGTTAAACGGCATGTGTGTAAACAGTTTCATTTGGATAATTCGACTCTTGCATGAGCATCACTTGTTCAGAGTCTAAGGCATGTTATGAACCATTCAAACCTTGCTGAGGCTGAGGCCTCAAAAAAAAAAGAAAATAAGACCAAACAGATCCCTGTGTAAAAAAGTACGACACAGAAAGTCCTTTCAAATGTAAAAATAGAGACTCGGAGCTAAGCTAGACGGGCTCACGTAAGCTGTGATCTCTCAGAGAGTAAAATGATAGTTTGAGTTACTCTGTGATGCTTGACGGTTGTAGGGGCTGTGATTACATGGTCCTAAAGTACAGTGATTCAGTTAGTAAAACAAAGAGAAGCTTAAGATTTTCAGCAGATATGTTGTCGAGAGATTGAGGAGTGTGTGCTGTTCAACAACAACAAAGTCTGGTAGCCGGTAACAGGGCGGCTAGGGCAGGTCTTAACGGTACAGCGAGCTGCGTCTCAATCAGGGCTGGACCCTCGGAAAGAGCCGCCGGGTGAGCTTATTGCTTCTTGCACATGATGCGACTATCTTTAAACACAGAAAACGAGGGTGCGTTCAGGTGGTGACTGCGAAGTTTAGTGTTCTACAGATGCTGTTTGATGATTTCGCTCTCTGTGTTTAAAGGCCGGTTGAAAATGTTGCAGTTCTTAAAAAGGTTAAAATATGCAACATCAACTTCAATTCACAGGTCTGAAAACAAAAACCCAGAAATCACCGAAATGTAATGTCTGATCACCTGAATGTTCGACCTATTTGCAGTGGATTGTGGGAAACTGATTGCTGCAAAGGTGTCCTCCATATTCAGACGAACAACACTCCATTTGTCGGATCTTCTTGCCTCCGCGCTCCGTTAAGACACTCACTCCTTTTTTTGAGGGTCCAGCCGCTGAATTGTGACTCAGCAGCCAACCTTCGGACCCTCCCCTTGGCCACACCTGATCGGCTGACCAACAGTTCGTCATCACTGACCACTATCAGGTCGTGTGGTCCTGGATGATGTCTGTGATTGGCTCCTTTGGCTTGTCAGTCAAGGGCAGAGCAGAGCTGTAGGGCAGCGAGGAGTTGCTGGAGGGGAAGTGCCGCAGGGCCAGGGGTAGCTTCTCGGAGGGGGTGCACAGATGTTGAAACCGCTGAAGGGTCAAAAATCACAGTGAGTTAATTTTTCAACCTTCAAATCTTTATCACAAGGCAGAAACAGGTAAAATGGTGCTGGTGTAACCTGTGACAGAGTTCCCGGGGTGGTGGCCAAAGCGTAGATGGCCCAGATAGGGAGCAGGGAGACGGAGGAGAGCGTGAGGATCCAGCCAAGTGTGGTGGCCCAAGGTGGAGCGACCAAACCCTTCCCCAGTTTCAAAGGAGACCAGTGCACCAAAGAAAACATGAAGGTCGCCTGCAGGGGACGGAAAAGGGGTGGATGAAGGATGACACAGTGGTACCATTCTCATCTGAGCTTTCACTGCGACAATACTTGAGGAAATAAAGTGGTGTCTGTGGTGTTTATGCAGCAGAGTCATGAAATCCGCTTCAGGAGCACCATCATACTTCCTTGTCTAATCTTAAAACCAATCTGCTTTCTGGTGTTGCCACAAGACACAGTATTTTGGACCTCTTCCCATCTTTTCAGTCTCTCTTAAATGAACTTTTAATACCCATTCCTGTTACAAACATGTTGTTAAATCACCCAACTCTTGAAAAAATGTTCCTCCAGGTGTTTCTATTTGCGTTACGCAACTTTTTTAGTGTTGTGTTGACGCTCTCCCGCCTATTTTTAGACCTACTGCTGGTATCAAAGTGAACACGGGCGTAATATTATAGACAAAATAACACTTTATTGCTTCAACACTTGATAGCTTGTCCGTGCTCTTCTTTCAGTTAAAAATAAGAGTTTGACTGATTTGAAAACCATCAAACTCTGTTTTATCAGCATTGTACAGAGTTTCCCAACTTTCTTGGAACTGGGGTTACAGCAGGGCAATAAAACAAACACATATGGGTTTATATATTGTAAGTATTTCAACATATAAAGAGACCTTATATGATAGGGGAGGCAGACAAACAGACAGACGTAGAGGGATTTGTCAAATATTCAAAGCACGAGTTTTTGTGTATATTATTTCATAACAAGCAGAGGCTGAGCAGTGTGAAGGCAGGACAGCAGGGAGGGGGTTACTCACAGTGCACACAGCTGGGGTCAAGTATTTCCAGCACAGTCTGAAGACAGGCAGAGGGTTGTAGCCCGTCATGTCCCTGATGTTGTCGCTGAAGCGCTCTGCTCCTGAGGGCCGAAACAAGAACAACTCCAGTAAGAGTGTGGTTGTGGTTTGGTTTGGCTGTGTGACTGAAAACCAGTATTTTCGCCAGTATAACCACCACAGAGGAAGAGAAACACTGATTCAGCCGTTCAGTTGAAATGTTTCTGTGGTAAAAGTCGAGGTAATAAAAGGGTTATGTGTGTCAGTTAGCTTTAAAACTCACTTTAAAAGACCCACTTCGATCAAAATCATGTTTTTCTTGTTTTTTATATGTTTACATGACTAAAAGCTAAACTGAAACTAAAAGCGAAATTGCTTTTCTTAGTATTTCCAAATTCAGTATTTCTACGTAGCTAATCCAAGCTCCGCCTCCGGGGCCCCGCTATGCAGGCTGGACTGTGAGAAATATAGAAGACGATTGCGGAACAAGCGTGTGCATTAGCAGATTGCAATGTCCTAAGGACATTAGTGTCCGAGAACTGAATAGCTCCTATGTTACCAGCTACTCCTACTACACCAACAATGTTAGGCAAATTGCTAATGATCTACTGGAGCTCTGCAGAAGAAAATTCATAATCAGAACTTAAAGACCACTAATAACACTTTAAGTAGTAAAAAAACAAAAAAATAGACAATTGGAGTGGGACTTAAAGTAGTTTTGGTGAAGAAACAGATGATTGAAAACAAACAAAAATGACTGATTTTGAATTCTGATAAAGCTTCAATTGCACCGCTTTCTACTTGCCCTAATATTTAAGTTTTAGTGCTATATTTTCAAACTCCCTGTTTTATTGGCGGATCAGTTTTCACATTTTGATCACCCATTTTAGCATAAGTAGGTGTCACTTTTCTAAATCAACACACTTTAAGCAGTGGCCTTCATTCAGGGAAGCCGAATTATGGGCAGCAGGAGAGCGTCGGCGTATGCTCGGGTACTTAAGCGACTGTAAAATCCCACAGTCATAAAAAAAGGGGGGCAGGAGAGGTGCACTCGAGTCCTGACCGCCGTGTTACCCAGTCCACTTACAACCCCTCTCCTCAAGTCTGCTGCTGCTGAGTTCACCTACTGCTGGGAGCGCCATAAAAACAGGCGTCCTTGGTATTCACAGGCTAACACACACACTGTCCGCTAACCTGCTGGACTCTTTGGTCAAATCTGCTCGAGTTCACATTTTTCTATCAGTGTATTTTTTTAATTTTTATATATCATTAGCAGCATTAAAGCAAAAGTTAATCTCAGTATTTCACCACTTCTTCGTAAACTTCATTGTTTTGAAAACTCGTCATGGTCCACTTGCTAAAGTCAGCCGATGAGTGACGACAGATAATACTTTGAAAAGCTGAGCTCCTATCAAAACAAAGACTGATAGATGGCACACACACATCATCTCACTCTTAAACAAACAATGATTCCTTAATGCTCTAAAGCTCCAGGTCTGACTGAGATGTGGGCTCCCTGGGGCCGCCAGACTGAGACTGAGAGGCGACGGGGCCCGGGGCTGATTTAGGGCCCGGAGGAGACAGACAGGGGCCTGGCTGGGAGCCAGTCTCCTTACAACAGTGGGTAGCTGCAGCCATGTTAATATACTGTCTACTGACTTGCACTGGAATGCAAAGGAGGGAGGAAGTGGACTATTGTGTTTTTATCAGATTGAAGGAACTACTTTCATTAGTGGAGGGATAAAAAAAAAAAGTGTTGGGCTCTTGGCGCTGTTCCTAGGTTTTATTTTCTGCATTTTTTAAGCTTTTTCTAATTTGGCAGAATTGGGTGTCCTACTGTCAGACTAATGAGCTCCAACAGAACTTAATGAAAGTCAGACATGAGGCGATGGCAGGACGTTTTTAATGAATTAAATGAGTTTTAAATGAAAGGATCAACAAAATTCAGAGTAATGAAAAGAAGGAAAAGAGGAACGTTTGAGGCTGTAAAAGAGAAGAGACAATGGGAGATACGAGAGAGGGAAGGATATGTAAGAAAGGAAAGGAAAGGAGAGAGGGATATATAAAAGGGAGGAAAAGAGAGAGAAAAGACAGGCGACAGAAAGAGAAATGAAAAGACAAAATGAATCAAAATTTAAAGAAAAGAAAGAAAAAGGTAGCAAGGGAAAATGAAAAAAGATAAGAATGAAAGGATTAAAAAGAAAAGGAAAGACCAAATAAGGAAAGGAAAAGGACAGAAAAAATCCATTATGAAAAGTAAAAAAAAAGGAAGGAAGAAAAAAATGAGGAAAGGAAAGAAAAAGAAAGGAAAGAAAGGGATGAGAAATATGAAAAGGGAAGGAAAGGAAAAAAAATAAGGAGAGGAATGAAAGGATGAAAGAAAGAAAGAAAGAAAAGGAGGGAAAAGTAAGGGACCTAAAAAGGGGAAAAGAAAATAGAAAGAAAGAAAAAGAAAGAAAAGGAAATAAGGAGAGTAAAGAAAAGAACATAAGGAAAAGAAAGGCAAGAAAAGAAAAGGTAAAGAAGGAAAAAGACAGAAAAGAAAAGGAAAGACAAAGAAATAAAGGGGTAGGACACAGAAGGAAAGAAGAAATTAGGAGTTGGGGAAAAAAAGAGAGGACAAGAGGACATTGTGAAAAGTTAATGAATGAAAAAAGGAGAGGAGGAGAAAAAACATGGAAAGAAAAGAAAAGAAGAAGTAAAAAGAAGAGAAGTACTCAACAAAGAGAGTTTTGAGATTCGTACCGTAGACCCAGCCGATGGCCAGAGACTGAAAGATGGAGAGCAGCAGCAGGCTGGCTCCACTGCAGGAGAAATGGTCGTAGATCTGGAACACGTACAGACCCCCCTGCACCAAACAGAGAGGAAAAACACATCACTCTGGATCTGATTCTGCATAAACTGACAAAAGCACAAACGTTTGATCCTGAGCGTGCGTACCGGCGTGATCATGACCAGCCCGACCAGGAAGCAGATGATGCAGACAAACATCAGCAGCAGCTCTCTGCGGTGTCCTCGTCGGATCAGGTGAGGGTACAAATCCGTCACTGACGTCATGAGGGCCTCCAGACTCACAAACTGGAGGACGATGGAGCGAAAGTCTGGGTCAGTTTTCGCTCAAATAACACTTCCTAAATAAAAATTAATCACAGTCTTCAGAGTCAGCTACCTGTGTGTCCAGCCCCAGCATGATGATCATGAGAAAGAAGCAGACGGCCCACAGCTGGGGTACCGGCATCATGGCTACAGCTCTGGGGTAGGCAATAAAGGCAAGACCAGGGCCTGAAGGAAACCAAAACAAGACATGGATTTACTGATTATTTAGTGCAGCTACAGCCTTCTAAAACACTACTTCCTGTTTGATGGTTTGGGTCAGTTTGGCGATCTTGTTTTTCCCATTTCATCTCACCTGACTGGGCCACAGTGGCGATGTCCACGCCCTGCTCCTCAGCCATGAAGCCCAGCACCGAGAAGATGGCGAAACCTGCCAGGAAACTGGTGCTGCTGTTCAGGAGGCACAAGAGGAAAGAGTCCCTGCAGGAACGGAGATAACATGGTCTTAAAGTGGGACACAAATCTGGAGGAATCAGATAAAAACAGTTTCACACTCAGGCCAAAAGTGTGTTAGGTCAAAGTGGCACACAACCGAGTCCAGGGGGGGTTTTAATCCTGGTTTTTGGCCTTGAACTGGGGAGCTCTAGCCTGTTACTGTAAATACCAGCCCGGAGTTAAGTGCCTGGCTCCTCCTGAGTGTGTGTGTGTGTGTGTGTGTGGGAGTAGTGAAGTGTGGGAAACATGGCAGCCAGGCCTTTCTTTAAGGTGTGGCTGTATCAGTGTGTTTTCTCTGTCCATTCCAGCCATTCTTTGTGGAAGCCATCTGACCAGACCAGAGCCGGCTCACATTTTACTTTTCACTGAGTGGGTTTAGGGCCTGGAAGGAGACCATCAGAAGCTACAAAAGACTGTTGTGTGTTTCATGCATGACAAAGTGTCTCACTTATAGCAGTCATTGTTGTATTTGTTGTAACTGCCGAGCGCTGTGAGACTCCCCAAACAGATCCCGTACGAGAAAAATACTTGGGTACCTGCATCCATCCATACCTGTGTGGAGAGAACAGAGGACAGGAGACAAGAGCGAGACAACGGGGGACTTATTAGAACACTTCTTCTGGTTTAAGAGTCTTGTTTAGTTTCTACTCAGCTCACCGTTCACCTCGATAAACACATCATCACTAACAGCTCACCTGAGAGCCCTACCTGTGTGCAGCTTTACCCTCTGAAAGAATGACTGGAGCGCTTTCTGCAGACTCCAGCAGAGACTTTTTTTTTAGTGTCGTGTAAATGCGTCCAAAGTGCGAGTTCGTGAGTGTACCTGTGGGTCTGCCAGGCGGGTGTGGTTGGGTTTGAGGTAGTAGATGATGCCCTGGCTCGCTCCGGGCAGGGTGGTACCGCGAATCAGCAGCACAAACAGCATGGCGTATGGGAAGGTGGCTGTCAGGTACACCACCTAGAATGTACACAGCGCGCAGGGAGAGGAGGAGGGGGATGTGGTCAGGACGGTACGGGGACAGAGTAAACAGAAGAGGACAGGGTGTGTGGCGTCCTCAAACAGAGCTAAGATGCTAAAAGAGGGAAACCTTTGAAAGTTGTGGAGTTTGTAAAAGCTGTTGACGGATGCCGGAAGTGACAAAACAAACACGCCCGACGAAATAAAAGCAGCCATGAAAGAGGGAGACTGATGCTCTGTTTCGAACTTTTCCACCATTTTTGTTATTTTAATAAAATGAAATAAGTCACTGTCACTGGAAGAGGCCTGGTTTAATGCATATTGACACATCTCTGTGATACAATTTGCAGTACACATAAAGGTAATGTGCGCTAGAAAAACTGCTGGAAAATTTTAAAAATGTTAGTTTTACCCAACCCTTAAAGGGATATTCCGGCATAAATTTAAGTTATCATCAAACACACTGTAACACAGAGTTAGACACCCCCTCGAGAGATGAATATTGCTGACAGCTTGCTTCTCTAGTTATACCAACTTTAGTAACGACCGCACAACAGTAATACACAGCGGTCTACGTCTCCACACACAAACCTCAACCAAAAAGCCACTCTATAGCCACAAATAATGCTCAGAACAGCACCTAACTTCAACAACAGTACATACAGGGACCAAACACAACTCACCTACTCTCTTCCAGCAGCCATTTGTTTGTGGGGGAGCCTTGAGGAGTTGATCACCGAGTGCAGCAGATCAATTACATGAAGTAATAATCTTCATAACAATCATTTTGCATTGCAGACATGGTAGTTCTTCTGTCTGATTGCATATCCATAAAGTAATGATCAGAAATGTTCTTTCTTGAGCTGCGAAACTCCGCTGCACTCTAAAGAACTACTAAAGAAATTAGGCAAAGTTAGAGAGATATTTGGTGGCTTCTACTGTGACTGGGACCCTGTATGTACTGTTGATGAAGTTAGGTGCTGTTCTGAGCATTATTTGTGGCTATAGAGTGGTCTTTTGGTTGAGGTTTGTGTGTGGAGACGTAGACCGCTGTGTATTGCTATAGTGCGGTCGTTACTAAAGTTGGTATAACTAGAGAAGGAAGCAATAAACAAAATCCATCTCTCAAGGGGGTGTCTAACTCTGACCCTGCCCTAATTTTACGCCGGAATATCCCTTTAAGCACTGTGTTCAGTATGCATATGGCCACTGAACGCGGAGGATAATGTAACTTCCTTGCTCGTGGAAGTTCAGCCGTCAGCCTCCCGCAGCGTAAGGACCCCGCTGTGTTTCCTGCTCACCTTTCCGGTGGACTTCACTCCCTTCCAGACGCAGAAGTAACAGACGAACCAGACCACCGCCAGGCACACAGCCAGCTTCCAGCTCACTGGACCCAACTCGTCCAAACTGCTGGAGAGCCGGAGCACCTCCCGTCTGTAACACACACACACACACACACACACACACACACACACACACACACACACACATACACAAAACAAACACACCAGAAATGAAGTTAATGCGCGATAAGGTGGCAAAAATTCACCACAGGCGGGAACCAAGGAGGCTACACTCACTCCCAGAACTCCATGACGGGAGAGGTGGCGTTCTCAGGCAGGCTGCTCTCATTGGCTGACTGGTTGTGGCGGTCAAAGAGGAAACACGACTCTGTATGAGAACACACACACTTTAGACCTGCACAGGTACAGTTCCACCTTTAACATAGCAGACCGGCCTCCGATATCCTGTCTAGACTGATTTGAGAGGTAGGTTTAGTCACAGGGTGTAAAATAAAAAGACTGCAGTACCTCTGCTCGCCATTAGGGGAAAATTGCATGGAGGTCTATGAGAAAATCAGCTGATGATTTCTTACCTTACATGTCTCACTCTTTTGAACGTTTTTGCTAACATTAAGTACAAAATGAGCATATATAAATATCAACCTTTTAGTTTCGGGGTGTCCCGATACATTTTTTTGACTTCCGATACGATTCCGATATTGTAGCCATCAATACTGACTGATACCGATATCGGCAATAAATTGTGCAAGACAAGTTTTTCACACTGTTGTTGTGATTTTTGGGCTAAACTTGCTGGTTAAAGGTGCTGCTAGATAGAGGTGCCAGAGCGGAGTCTGGCATGGACTGCTTGTATCAGAGTGCTGGTATCGGAGATTTTAGATGCAGGCCGTTTTTTTTGCCGATATCGGACCAATATCCAACATCAATATCGTATCGAGAGAACCCAATTTTAGGTGCACCTTTTTTTGGATCTGGGGTCCTGCATAGACTTCTAACACAAAGTACTGAGTCTGCACTGACCGGTGTTCCAGGTGTTGTTGCAGTGCGACCAGGGCAACTCTGCCTGGAAGCTGTAGCACAGGTAGAAGAGAGCCCAGGCCAGGATGACGATGTAATACACACAGCCGTGGAGGATCATCACCTGGCTGGCGTAGCCCAGACCTGCAGAGAGATGAGAGAGATGGTTTATAGAAGTAAATCTAGTAACAGAGAAGCTGGAACACAAATTAATCAGCTTCAAAGCCTTCGCGCACACTTATTCCATTATCCTCCAGTTGCAGATTAAGCACCCACTTGACTTGCAGCCCACATCTAGTTTATCCTCATTGAGACTGAATGACGCTCTTATGAAGCCTTGAGTGGGTTAGAAGGCAGACAAAGTAGTTGATTGTAGCCTCCTCTAATCATATTCAGCCCTTTATTTGATGACGGCAAATGAAATGCGCCAACAAGTGAGGAATTCTCGCAGAAGCATGTCTTTGTTTGTGTATGTATACAAATAAATGTTTACACAGCGCCTGTATCTGCAGTTTGTCATCACGCTCCACACACGGCCTTCACATTAGTAGCCGTCAACAAAACACTGGTGTGTGCGTGTGAATAAGTGTGTGTGTATGTGTGCATCTGCAGGCCATATGGAGCCAGCAGCACTTCTGCACACTCTACATTTTTGTCATTGAGCGGGCTCGAAAAGAAAGAATGCCAAGGTCTGCTTTACAAGGGCTCCGAATTGAACAGTAATTAGTTTAACAGGAACACTTTGTCTTTTATAAGCAGTTTAAGCCTTTTGAAGGACTTCTCCTTCCCTATGGTTACTCAGCGCCGCCATCCACACCGCCAGGTAGGTAAAGAAAATGATCCTTACTCTGCTGGAAACTTTTGTGAGAACCGCTGCAAAGTTACATGAGCTGTGTTTAAGAGCAGAAGGCAGAAAAAGCAGCTTCATTGTCATTTGGTAACACTGACTCTGCTCCAGGGCTGTTCTTTTACAGGCTTATTGAGTCGAACCTTTCTTTCGAAGAAACAATCGCACTCCCTGTTCTGCAGACCTGAATCAATTTACAAAGGTTCGAGAAGGAGATGCCCAGTTGACATGGTGGAGATCATGTGAAGCAATCAAAGCTCCCAAAATAGACTAAATGGACCTTTTGTGTTTAGATTAGATCTCTCATATCAAGCTTTAAAAAGCAAGAATTAACCTCAACTATCAGTCTTAGAAAAAGCAATCAAAAACTGAGCTTATCTCTTGGGAAGCTCAGCTGCTGAGTTAAAATTACTCTGTGTTTTGAGTTGGAGCTTCCACCTACAAGCTAAGCGTACAGGTGCAACTGCATCCTAAAAACCTGCAGAGCTCAGATACCCTACTTTTTAGAATTATTTTTGGAAATACCTACTTTTCTATTTGAGAAAAAAAGTTTTTTAGAACTGTGGTAATTAATATTTTTCCATACTTTATTTTTCATTTTACATACTTTTTAAGACCTGGAAATTGATCAAATTTTTTTACATACTTTTCCATACTTTCTGTACTTGCGTAGGAACCCTGGACTTGGGTCTAAGGGGTCACTCTTGGGATGGCATGTTGTGATACATTGAACCATCACCAACCTAACTGGAACTCCTGAAAAGTGCACATGCTATTGTACTAACCAGGGATCCCTGGGCATTAGTGAGTAGTTAAGATAGGGACTTAAAACTGTTGTGAAATGTGATTAAAATTGAAATTAATTGCATTTTATGTGACAGCCTTACTACAAGCAGATAACTTAGCCTTGGGTACTCTTTTCGTTACATTTTCCTACTTTTTAGGTGTTAACTACTCGGGGTGGGAGAAAAAAATCGATACAGCATAATATTGCAATATTTTGTCTGGTGATATATCGTATTGTCTCATTGACCAAGTATTAATTTTTTCAAATTATTGCTAATATGAAGTCAAATCTATGATAATAGAAAAATAAAATCAACTGTTCGTCCAGTGAGGTTGGCAGAGGTGACATCATAGAGCAAGAGAAAGTTGGTACAACAAATATAGCAGCACCTGGGGAAAGACATTAGGAATGCAAGCAGGGCACAAATGAGATGGACCTGACTCATAAGATTTGCAAGATGTGTTACATGAAAATAAAAGACTGTGTAAATAAGACAAACATAAAGGAAAGACAAATGCTTAATTAGCTTAACAGTTGAAAAATGTATAAATCGCAATATATGGTATCACAATACTCACTGTCTTGCAAAATGTTAAAAATCGCAAAAATGTTGTATTGTAGCCAATGTATTACAATAACATCATACAGTGGCCCAAGTATCCTGATAATATCGTGTTGTGGCCCAAGTATCGTGATAATATCGTAACGTGGCCCAAGTATCATGATAATATCGTATCGTGGCTGAGGTATCGTGATAATATCGTATTGTTGCCCAAGTATCGTGATAATATCCTAACGTGGCCCAAGTATCGTGATAATATCGTATTGTTGCCCAAGTATTGTGATAATATCGTACTGTGGCCTAAGTATCGTGATAATATCATATCATGGCCCAAGTATTGTGATAACTTTGAATCGTGGGGCCGCTGGTGATTCCAACCCTTATAAACTACAGCCAATTATAAAGGTTTTTATATCACATCGCCAGTAAAAAGCTGTAATGGCTACAAGATGTTGTTATTCTATTTTATCACTTATTCTTCAAAACAGATTCAACATTAGCTTTGAACACAAGGGAAAAGTAGTAAGTGGTAAAGGAGGTCCTGGTCCGACCCCATGCTGTACCTGAAAACCTAGATTGTTACCTGTTGGTTGCATCAAAATGAGACAACAGCCTGTGGGTTCTGATACTGGTTTTTCTGTGCAACATAAACCAAACCTTCCAAGGCTAACTGTTATCGTGTCATGCCATAGACGTGACTGAAGAACCACATCATTCATGGGAAATGAGGCGTCAATAAACGGTACCTACTTCCAAAAAAAACTAACCAATCACATCTTGGTTATTTGACATAGTTTCATTTGGAGTTTCACTGCTGCTCTTGCGTTTCATTCCTCTTAATGGTTCATGCTTCGTATCACTGCTGTTTTTGTGTACTAAGCTAATGCTTGACTTGAACTCCGTGGTTGGACAACAGGATCCCAAACAAACAAAGTCGACCATCCTGGAGTGCGTATTGTCATTGGCCGGCAGGCTGCGTGTCGCCTTCGGCACTCTGGAGTTGTTTTGAAACAACGGCTGAGACTCGATAGGATCTGCACACGCATGCAGCTGGCACAGCACAGCACACTTTCTGATCAAGGACAGATTGTTACTACAGGGCTTGAGAATGAGGAGAGATGGAGGAAACAGGGGGAGACGCTGACAGATGTTGGTGAGCATGGAGTCATCCCACAGCCAATTATTACTCTGCAGTTGTCACTGTATGCTGTCATTTACTTTGCATGATATGTGGCAGCTTGCAAATCACTTCAGTGGTTTGCTAACTCATTTGGATTTGCCCTTGTTGTTTATTTCTGTCTGAAACCTGCAATTGAATCCTTCTGATAAACGCATACAGACATGAAGGAAGTAGATAAACTCAGCAAGTGCACCAAAAATTCAGCACACAAAGCAGGTTAAATAAAAATCCTCCATCTCTGTGTCCTTGCTGAAGGAATGCTGGCTCTAAACTGTCAAATTATCTCATGCATAAATTCTCTGACTACTTTAGCCTTCATGCAGCCTGGCATGTGATTCATGGCAAATTTGGTAGAGCATAAAAACTGGTCTCACTGCCCCCACGCAACAAAATGTACACAAACAAAGCGTGGACAGATGACGGGAAAAAATGAGGCAGTGAGTTCATCTGTTGGCAGCATGTGGAAAACAAACTAATCTAACTTCTTCATGAATGTTTCCACAGTTGTTTTAGACAGCCGTATGAGCTCTGGTTTTTGGTAATTTACTAGAAATGTTAACATTTCAGAGCAAAAGAGTGCATGTGTCAAAATGATAAGCAGTTACTACGGTTGATTCTGAGTATTCATTGTCATCCACGAATTCCTGGTAAATGCAACAGCACATAAAGTTTTCAGGAGGTCCAGTTTGGCTGCTTTTCCTGTTCCTTTAAGGTTCTGTTTTCATGAAACTATTGTTGACTGTGACATTAAGGACTTTTACTATTGCACAGAGCTAAAGAGGGGCCACCTACAGTATCCAGGCAGGCATGTTTTCATCAATATTCAATATAAATTTTGGACCTAGGTATGATTGTTACGAATGTGTTTAATCTGTTTCACTTTGACGCTGATTTTGGCGTCAGTTTGCGTAAATCAAGTACTGCAATGTCGAACACAGAGCTCTCAGTATTTGAAAGCTCTGTTGGAGACCAGTGGAAAAGAAAATCAAGTTTTTCATGTATAACATTGACAGTTTAAATGGGTAAATGCCAAAAAGATCACTGTACAAAAAAAAATACTTAGATACCTGTGACAACATTTAGAAACTATTTCAAATTGATTACTTTTCAATTTTAAAACAAACTAGGTATTAAAATGTGTCCACACTGACTTGAAGAAAATGCCTTTTTTTGTAATCCATGGACAAACCATCAACTGAATCAAAATCAGGCACAATTAACAATCTTTGGTACAAACCAGCGATAGCACACACTGCATCCGAAAATAGCAGACGGTTAGATAAGCGTACCCCCAAATAATGGGCAGATAGTCCTCCAGGCGCTGACGCCGCCCAGGCTTGTGTATTGTCCCAGCGAGGTCTCCAGGAGGAAGAGGGGGATGCCGCACAGGACCAGGAACAACAGGTAAGGGACAAAGAACACACCTAGACACAAAAACAGTAGAGTCATGTTACTGGGGTTCCCTTTGTTTGATAAGTCAATGCCAGCACTAACATTTAACGTCAGTTTTAACTGTAATTTTTCCCTTCCTGTTGTTTATTTCACACATAAAAATCGATGAACAGGCACATTTGAAGAACTTCCTGTCATGAACCCATCTTTAAGATGTCAGTCAATAGAAATTACTCATATCCTGTCTCTAGAAAGCAGTTAAGAGACATCTTTACTTTCACCAAACAAGAAAAACAAGTTGGATAAAAAAACGAAGACATGTGTCCTTATTCTAATCTGAATCTTCTTTCGTTTCTCCTTATCTCCAGCATCCAGCATTCCTCACCTCCTCCATTCTTGTAGCAAAGGTATGGGAACCTCCAGACGTTGCCCAGCCCGATGATCTGCCCCGCTACAGCCAGGAGGAACTCCGCCTTGCTGGCCCACTGTCCCCGAGCCTGCAGGCCCTCTTTGGTGCTCTCTTTCCCATTAGGGAGTCCACTGTGGTGAAGGAGCGGGTTTTCCTGCTCTGGAGGTATTTTATCAGCCATGACTGGTTCAGGTAGAGACACAAGCACACCCCTGGATGAAAACAACAATAGAAAACAGGATTTGAAACAACAGATTTTACACTTTTTCAGTTTTTTTTGTTAAGGAAGAGAAATTAAAAAAAAAAAATTAAAAACGAGGCCCGCTTACATCTTCACAGCTAGGACTGAACAAAGATTCAGCTGTTTTTTCAGACCGTTTGGTAACCACACTTATCTGTGGTGTATGTGTGTATCTCAAGGGCAGACGTTTGTGGGTGTGTGTCTGTTATCTGTGCCTCACAGCACACTCAAGGACTACATTAGTGGAGTTCAGCTCGCTCATCTGGACGGGGACTGTCCAGACTCTATGACTCTATGAAAACCATTTCATCAGAGCAAGTCTTTGTTCCCCATCATGGAAACTTTGGTGTATAAAAACTTACAAAGCTTATGTATGACTGAGGGGATATCTATTTGTAGCCTGGCCTAAACCAGACAGACAGACTAATTTATGCGGTAAAATATTCATATGCAATGTATAGGAATATGCAGTTTGCGATGGAAGAAGCAAGAGTAGTCATGTGGGTCTGAAAAGCCACCTATTGTGTGTTTGCTTTCTATAAGACTAAAAAGTTAAAAGGTTTTAGGAGCTTGTATTTTGCTTAACTGTGTGTGCTACAGTCAAATGTCCAACCACGGTGAACAGTTTTTACTACTTAATGATTTCAATATCAATCGAAATACACTCTATTTGTGTTGTTTTGAGTCCAAACCGACCAGTTAGAACTAGGGATGCACCGATCTGATATTGGATCGGATACTGGCTCCAATATTGACAAATTAACTGTCAACGAAAACAACACTGGTCCGATCCAATGACGTTGACAAAATATTTTCAACACTGCAGAATATATGTTTAGCGTTTGACTGACGAAATGCTCATGAATTTTGCAACTCTGTTCGTTGTCCACCACTCACGTTTTTGTCTAGTCTCGTCTCGTCAACGTTAACGTACATTCGTCTCATCACATTTTAGTCATCTAAGACTTATGTTTAGCTCGTCAACGTCACGTCTTCCTCGTGGAAAAAAAGACTGGATTGGAACGTTGGATCAGCATCATTCATCAGATGTCCGATCCAGTCTTTTTTTTCCTTTTTAATTAATATCATACATAGCGACACAGTGATTCTGTTCTGTCTGTCTAGCCTTGTGCACGAAATGTTTACATGGAAGTCTTACTTCTTTTTGCTGAGTGCTAATGTGCAATTTGTTATTTGTTAATAAATAACTAAATATACATCTGTGTTAATTTGTTACCTTTTTTTTTTTAAACAAGGCTAATGTCAAGCCTGATGCCTTCACTCACAAGGCAAGGTATACAATTCATTCATTCAACAGTAGTATTAGATCGGTATTGGATATCAGCCGATACGCTCAGCCCAGGTATCGATATCGGATTGGATCGGAAAAAATGGATCGGTGAATCTCTAGTTAGAACCTCCAAAACACAGAGTAAAATGAACAAACAAGCAAATCAGTGGTAGACCAGCAACTCCCATATCTGCCTCAGGTTAAAGTCAGGCATCTTCCTTTCGTTGAACTAGTGTTTTAAGGGATCTGATCAGGTACTTAACCAGCAAGTTGCGAATTAAGTGGTCTTGCCTGACTGTCCACATTTTCTACAAGATGTTGCAGCCATTCAAAGTCATTTAGAGATAAAAATAGAGCCCAAATTTAACCATTTGTCCCCCGTTTTTTGCATAATGTCGTCTGTAGGCTATTATGTAAATATGAAGAGGGAGCTTTAGGTGTTGTAGTCCTCCAATTCTGCTATGCCATGTGTCATAGTGGAGGTTCAGTGTTACATTAAGCTGGTTTTGTAGTATTACCTTGAAGAAGCTGACCAGATTTTAGGTTAATTCTAGAGAACTTGCTTGCTTTGCTGCCATGTACGTGCCGTGACCCCATTTAACTCTTCCCCCCCTGTACATTATCCCCATGTTGTGCCATGTGACCAAACATTGTTGTCATAATGGACACAGAAAAGCAGCCACCTGCCTTTCCGAAACCACTATAATAGAATGAGAGTGATATGAAGCGATAACGGTACTGAGGCACCACGTGAGCTCAGCTACGAGCCCGGTTATGAATACAGTGAAGGATACATATGTAACACTCATGACAACGTACCGCTGTAACTGCAGGGAGCTCAGGCGTGGTTTGAGTCTGATGTTGCTCTTCTATTAAACCCTCAAGTGAACACTTGAAACCTGCATATTAAGCTTTCACAGGTTCGTCTCTAGAAAGCAGTAATCGTTCACAATCCGACATCACGCTTCCTACCTCCGCGCTTCCTGTTAGGTCTGTACACCGCGGACACCCCCCCTCCGGACGGTGAAATGGTTTGTTCCAGCTGTGAGTGGGGCTGCTCCTGACCGGTGCAGCGCAGCGATCCAAATATGTTGAGGGGGAGCACACTATGTTCAGTCCTGCCGCCTGGAGTTTCACAAACACTTACTGTAACAGGTTACGAAACCTTCTTAAGTTACTATTAGTCTCATTAAATAAATTAAACACAACTTAAACAGCAGTCTTTACAAAAAACACTACAGCCGAAAGGTAAAAAAAAGAGGGCACGAAAGAGTAAAAATACTAGAGCTTCTGTTATTGAAACTAATAGCATCCTGCTACCACAACGGATACATCCTCTAAGATGACGCCACCCGCATGAGGACACGCCCCCTGAAGCACACCCCCATTATGTAGCCAGGGTTGACCACAATCAAAAAAGAGAAGTTACATAGTTGTACGGTGGCCTTGAAGGTCACAAGCTTTTCACAAACATGGAAAACATTTTCATTAATGCCCCCCCAAATTAAAAATGAACTAGACACAGACAAACCACACAAAACACCAAAAGTAATTCACCAGGTACAAAACTGAATCATGAGACGCATTGACAATTTTGCCAAACAACATTCAAGCTCATATAAGGTTTCTTGGGTGTTCATAAATTTGTTTCAATTCTGTCCGCTCTTGGTGACATGTGTTGGCTTTCTGGTTCCATAAGACGTAAATGTGAGATGATTAGATTGTGGAATTGTTTACTTAATGTGCCAGAGGACAGGGTCAATAAAAAAGTGTTTATTTGGAGTAAGTGAAATGGTTTGCCATGGGCTAAAGTAATATGTGCAGTATTTGAAGAAGTTAACCTATGTAGTAATAATTTAACCTGCTCAATACCTTCAAGGTAGAGCAGTGGTTCTTAAGTCCAGTCCTCGAGGCCCACTGTCCTGCATGTTTTGGATGTTTCCCTGCTCCAACACACCTGATTCAAATGATTAGCTCGTTATTAAGCCATTAAAGAGCTTGATAACGAGCTGATCATTTGAATCAGGTGTGTTGGAGCAGGGAAACATCCAAAACATGCAGAACAGTGGGCCTCGAGGACTGGACTTATTAGAGTTAGAGAGAAGTTGTTTGCTTGGTTTGAGACAAAATGGTCAAATGATATTTTTTTAAAGCCCAAATTACAAACATTCATCCAAATTAAGCACAGTTATGGCCCTGAACCTTATGTTAAAGCAAACCTCAAGAAATCAAAGGTCTTTAATGGCACAGCTGAGAACAGGAATCCTTCCCTTGAACCTTGAAGTCGGCAGACTTAATAAAACATGGCTGAAGATGATAGGTTGTGTGAACTATGTGAACTGAATGAAGTGGAAAGTGAGTCACATTTTCTGTTATATTGCCCTTTACATGATAAACTGAGAACTCTGTTATTTACTGCAATGTCTGTTAAAAAAAAACAAAAAAACAGACATTTTCTGGTATTCTGATGATGTTAGAATGAACTGGCTGTTGAACTTCAATGTCTTTAAGCTGGCTCATTTTTTTTCGGAAGCTTGGAAAAAACATCAGAATTGTTTATATGATTAAATGGCTTAATATCTGTTTTCTGGTTTTTATCTGCTAGTATATGTTCCTTTCCTTTTGGTGTCTTGTAAGCCCACTTGGGGTGGACACTTCCTGCGCATGACACATTAATAAAAGTTTTAATCAATCAAAAAATCAATCAGATATAAGGAGTTTTTTGCCAATTAATGATATTCAAAATCAAACATGATGATACACAATGAGACTTGAGGTTTTAATATCCTTATTTTTGTCATCTGAAACCAGCAGAAGGGGTCCAGGCCTTGCAAGTTAAGACAAAGCCCTGTCTTTACAATTTTCATGAAAACGTCAAGTAGAGTCAAGACTGTTTTGTCAACTGGGGATGCCAAAATTAACCCAAACCAAAAGGTCCTCACAGGAGCTTTAAGAAATGTGAAAGAAACTCTCAAACATAATTTAAAACCAAGAAATACTGGGGAAGAAAAAAAATAAAACTCTAAAAATGCAAAAAAAGATGAAATTCATGTAACATTGTGTGGTTTCTCAAACATTTTAGCCATATGGAAGTTACTTTTGCACGTAGAAACTCCCAAACTGCTAAAATTTTGTGGACATTTAATGAAGTGTATATTCCTGGTACTTGCTGCACTGTAAATATAACTTTATCTATTCTGATATTTATCTCCATACTGATACATCCGACTGAGCATTTTTTGGTCTAAAAGAGGTCTAATAGACATCTAAATGTAGCCTAGACGACTGGTCTAAAATCAGGCTAACACAGGTCTAAAATTGAAAGTTTTTTTGATGTCTAAATTCAGACCAAATCTAAATCTGGGCTACATCTATACAACACTGTATATTGCTCAACGGCTATCATAATTATTTTGGTTAAGTACTTGGAGATCTGTTATGCAACTCACAGTTGCTTTTTGAAGTAAACAGTTATTGAATAAGAGGTTAAAGTGCAACGTCTAAATTCCGTCTAAAAATATACAGAATCTAGATGGTTGAAATTAGGTCTAAAAAAAAAACTAGACATCTGATAGCCGTCTATTGCTCAGTGGGGTATAGCTTGCTAAACTATGCAAAATAATTCCAATTCACTTTTGTTTTGAGGCTGATTTGCACCCTTTTCAGTGTAATTTCTGTCCTCGTGTTTTGAAAATTAAAAGTAGACCTTTGTATTGTAAGCCATAAAGCTGTGAATTTAGTTTTGGAACAAGAATTAACCCAATTACATCAGTTACTGTAAGTATTTTAATGAAATCATAAGGGTTTATTTTTCATTATCCATATTGCCAAAGCCTTTGACTCCTTGTTGTGGACTCTGTACCGTAAATGCACTCAGCTTCTCAACCATTTAGGCCATTTAAAGCAGCTTGCAGCACATTTTAATGGACTGTGTCATTGCCTGGGCTCGTTCAGCTGAGCATTTATAGCCACTGTAAAAAGTCCTGGCTCCAGCTGATACTCTGCACTTTGGACTTCATTCAGAAAATTGCATTAGGCGCATTAGGTTATATTAGTGGGTTTCTAAATCACACGCAAAAGTGGGTCTCATTGTAGTCCAATTTGTGGATGTATTTATAAGTGTATACTTGTGTTACAGCTAGATGGATGTGGAAACACTAAGATGTTTCCTTGAATGAGTTCTTAAAGCCCTATACTTTCAAGAACTTAAACGTGCCTGATCTCTTAAAGAAATGACTTGCCAATAATTGAAATACTCCTGGCTGCAACAGCATATACAAGCAATTTGATGCCAAATTTATGAATGAAGACTCAGCTACTGCAAAATCCAGAAGACAATCTATTATTAAGGGGAAAATGTTAAAACTGTGTTCCTGTGTGACATCTTCCATGGTCTTCAGCAATGTACACTATGTATGCAAATGTGTATCCTCTGTTGATCCTCTGCCTTTAAGCAATTCACCAAGACTCACGCCACTTCCATTTATCAGGTTCCACATCTTAAATTGGGGAGTCTTTTGAATTAAACTAACACTTAGCAAGGTTTATTTTACTCAACAGTTTAACACTGTTTTCTTTGAATGCATGATCATATCCGAAAGAGAGTGAAAAGTAGTAAAAGTTTCATTGATTAGACCAGAAAATGATTCACTCCCATCAGGAGGCCAACATGTAGTGCCCAAAAGGTTTTAGTCTTCTACAACAACTCTCTCTATTCACTGAATAACCTGCTTTATCATCGCAAATAACACTGCTAAAGCTCAAACACACGATCAACTTCTACGCAGATGACATGTTCCTCTACCCAGAAGTGCACAAAAGCAGCCCTGGTTCTGTAAACAGGACAGACCCAAAGTGGCCATGATCGAACCGTATGCCAAATTACTGGTCTTACTCAGATACCTCTGCCAAACCTTTAATCAAATACTTGTAACAATTTCTTTATATCTTGCCTTTTTTAGTCTCATTTAGTTGAAGTCAGGAAGGAACCTAAATGTGTTCGCCAGCCTGTACTTTGATTAATTGAGTCATCAAGTAGAGAAATAAACAGAAATACATAGTTTTCTATGATTATTTATACCCCCAATAAATCATTTTTAGAAACACTTGACTCTTCTATTGTTTCCTGGCAGGTCTGAAATGATCTACTGTCACATTTAATGAGGTCAAGATTGTTTTACTGGAAAACAGAGCCTGTCCTTGGACACACTGTGTCCACTACATCAGGATGTTGTGTCTCTAGATTACTCATTCCTCCTGCAGAAGACAATACATCACATAGCAGTTAAACTAAACAAAGAAAGATGAACTTTTTAATTCAGGTTAAATAATACTTTGACCTGCACAAAAGCCGATCCTTTAATGTGATTGTTTTTGTTCTTGCAGTTCAGTCAAGGACATTGAACCCTTCTTTTGGTCACAGCTTTTATGGTTTTGTTGATAAAAGTTTATGACACGATAATGTTTTATTGTTAGAAATTTCCCTCGAATATAACACTTTCACCTAAATCTATGCTGCAGCTAGATTCACTTTGTATTTGACTTCATAGAGTGAAAATATCTTTGTTAGAAAGAGTTCAAACTAACTTGAAAAACACTTTTTGATGTATTGTGTCAATTAAATGATTTCTCTTCACCAGTTTTAGCCAAGATATGATAGAAAAGCATTGCAACAATCTGAATTTTCAGATATTAAATATGGAGAACTTGAATTGCTTGATATTATTTTAAGAAATGAACTTTCTTTAAATTCTGACTCTTAAAAGTAGTAGAATCAACACAAAACTAGTATTTTCACCCTGACATTTACCAAATACAAGTAAAGACTTTTTAAAATGGCATTATTCACAGCTTCAATTAGGTGCCTGTATGAATCAATGTCAAATTTACTGAGTCGCCCTCATTAGAAGTCAAAATTCCTCCTCCAAAATTTAAAGTCAAGGGTCAAGAGTCAGGAAGTGGTAAAAACTCTTGCAATTATGTACAATGCACAGGCACACATCCACACGTGTGCCTGCATATCCTCTCACCAAATGCGGTCTCTGCGCTGCGTCCCGGGGGCCAAATAAAATCCCAGCGTTAAGGGTCCTTCAATACAGTCGTCTTTGTTCTGTCCTGTCAAACCTGCAGCCCTGTAAACCTGGTGCCACGGTGTGTAACTCAGG